TACCATATCAATGGCATAGATCCATGTGAAAGATCAGGTTCGTTTCCAGCTTCTGTTTTGTTTCATAGTCATTTTTGTTTTCAGCTGAAAGTCACGATTGTATTTTAATGTGAGAATAATTCTATTGTAAGGAATTACAGTGTAAATTCCAGGCAGATTTTCTGCGAGTGTCCAAGGCATATGGGTATGTCCCTGTTACATTTTTGCACTAATTTACCTTAGTGGTTACAGCGAAGACAGGCGGCGGTTGAATGTGGGGAATTTACATTGGTAAGCGGGAGTGGCTATCTGACACTCGTAACTAACGAAACATTCGTTCATTTCTGCTAATGTTGGTAACAACTGGAAGTTACATGCCGAACATTGTTGACATGTAGTTCTTTTATGTAAGTTATATATAAAACGTATGGTGGCTGATTTGTGCCATTTGTGTTTTCGTCCCGCGACCCCGCCAAGCGAAAAGTCGAGAATTAACAAGTTAAAATGGCGGGGTCGCGGAGCGAAAACACGCTAATTAGCGGGGGCGCGCGGCGAAATTTAACAAATAAAACTTCGCCCCGCGAGGGCGCGGAGCGAGAATAAAGAAATAAAACGGCGGGGGCGCGGGGCGAAATTTAATAAAATAAAACTTCTCCCCGCGCCCCCGCTAATTAGCGTGTTTTCGTCCCGCGACCCCGCCAATCGAAAAGTCGAGAATTTACAAGTTTAAATGGCGGGGTCGCGGAACGAAAACACGCTAATTAGCGGGGGCGCGCGGCGAAGATTAACAAATAAAACTTCGCCCCGCGAGGGCGCGGAGCGAGAATTAGGAAATAAAACGGCGGGGGCGCGGGGCGAAGTTTAATGAAAAAAACTTCGCCCCGCGCCCCCGCTAATTAGCGTGTTTTCGTCCCGCGACCCCGCCAAGCGAAAAGTCGAGAATTAACAAATTAAAATGGCGGGGGCGCGGGGCGAAAACACGAATGGCACAAATCAGCCACCATAAAAACGTTTGTAGCCTATTCATTACCTAGGACTTCGTTGAAGCCGGTACTTTAATAAAAGAAAAATGTCAAACAGATTTAGTGTAGAAAGAGCACAGCGATGATTATTCGAATGTAGTTGTAAATGTGAAATGCCATAAAAAATTTTGGAAATTCTAAAAATATTTATATCAGTACTGCATTAGCTGTACAGTACATGTATAGTATTTTAAAAATAATAATAATAATAATAATAATAAAGACTTTATTTAACGAGAGAACTCATTTGAACAAACAAATCAATCTTCCATGAAAAAGCATATTTGTGAAGTGATATGATTCTGTTTGTTTGTTTAAAATTGGGTTTTATGTCCCACCGACACATTCTAGGCCATATATTATATTTAGTGGACTTTGAGAAAGAGAAACTCAAGGAACCTAGAATCAATCTGCGGCTAAAACAAATAGTGGTACATCTTCCGAGTTAATAAAATAATGGGTCACAAGTTTGATAAAATGCAATACACGTCCATAGTTGTAAAACTTGATCTGCAGAGCATGTTTAAGTTGTGACGACATACAGAGCTTTCTCAGGACGTAAACTTGATCTGCAAAGCTTGTTTAGGACAAGAAACATCATCTAAAGAGCTTTCTTCAAACTGTAGAGCATTCTTAGGTAGTGAAACTCGATCTGCAGTGCTTGCTTAGGACGTTAAACTTGATCTGCAGGGCTTGCTTAGGACATGAAAGTTCATCATGAGCTTTATAAGGACGTAAAACTTGATCTGTAGAGCATGCTTAGGACGTGAAAGTTTATCTACAGAGCTTGTTTAGGACATGATACTTTATGTCTTTAGGACCTTTTAAATTAATCTAAAATTTTCAAATACAATATCGTTATTACTGGAATATTACTTTGGACGCCACATAAATTACATAGTAAATATTGCACACATCAAAACAATACAAGATGAAACAGTATGTTTATTTAAATTAAATTTATTTATAAAATCCACATTTAACAACATACAATAATTAAAAAAAGACAGTAATTAATAGGTTAAAAAACAAACAATACTTATCAATGATATATTTTTCAGTTAAGATAAACTTTGTACCCATGGCAACAATAATATACACAAACAAACATTTCATATCAATCACTTAAAATAAATATCAGGTAGTGCTTTTCTTCCTTCATTTCATATATACCATTAATTCTCCATTTTTGTCAGAGCACCTTAAATATTCCTCATATATATATATATTTATATATATACATGTACACACATACAAGTATGTAAAAGTGACTTCAGTTTTAATTATACTTAAATTACTTAATGTATAAACATGTTTCACCTTAAGGTCTATAACCATGCATGAAAATCATATGAGTAATTTTGGTAAATAATAGAAGTATAATTACAGCTTTTTCATATTTGAAATATTTACACAGTTCCAGTAACGTTTTGAGGTTCATTTTATACTCATAATGGCTTATAATATATATACATTTGTATATGAATAAATATACAAAGGGAGGTAACCTAACAATCATTACCTTACTTTTATCTTTTTAACATCTTGGTACTCAAAATAACATATATTTGGGACATACTGTCTATATTATGTTCAAGCAAACAGTAGTTAATTTTAATTTATAAATTTACATTTTTACATTTCAACCAGTTCTGAGACAAATAAAGTGACTATGAACTAAACAATACAAAACAAAAGGACAAAAACACAGAAAATGTCGAAATTATATACCCTATACTTTATAATACAGATAATTGAAGAAGAAAAAAAACAACAACAAAAAAACCAAATAAAAATAAATAAATCCAAAACATAAAAAGTAAGTTAAACCAAAAGTTTGTAAATACCAGTGGATTTCTAATAGTGTTATCGCACACACATATGGGTTTTTCATTCATACATTTTTTATTTTATTTTTTTTGTGTGTGTGTGTGTTTTTGAATATACATCATAACATAAGAAGAGTCAGCAGCAAAATCACAACCTAAACTATATGCATGGTGATAATGATGAAAATGACTGGCGAAAAAATGAAATTATGCCCCTTGAAGTGCAGTATGGTACAAGGAAACAATCACATACAAAAAAACTACCAGGCATACTGCATTTCAACATATATTATATCATATGTAAAAATATTGACATATCTTCTACACAAATAATAAAAAATTATAGAAATGGTAATGATTTCAAAATATCACAGTCAAAAATAAAGGCATATATTATTTCCAAGAAATATAAAAAAGATATTTTTTTAATTCAAATTTTTAATCAGTGTTGAAAATGAGTGACAAAGAAAATGATTAAGTGACAAAAACTGGTATATTTTTTAAACTAAAAAATATGTGGAGATCCTAACAAAATAATCTTAAAATACATAAAGTACAGGGGCCATAACTCTTAACAAAATGTAAATTTAGAGTTAGCCATTCAGCCAGCTAACATAGACACAATACTTCAAAATTAATACAAAGAAAATACCAAATACACAAAAATTAATCAATATAAATTAATAATGAGTGGATTTTTTTCCAATCCTGAACTAGTTCGGTTATTTTAAAAAATGAACTCTTCTGGAACAGTCCATTCTTGATTTTGGTGATATCAAGATGAAAATGCCTGTTCTGTTCTGTGCCTGGCCTAACTATGTAACCAATTTACAATTCATAGTTCCACATTAAAAGCAGATTGAGTCCATCATACAAATCAATACTAGTAAAGGTTTAAATTGGGGGGGGAATAAATAAGGAAAAAATGAAGAAAAAACAATAAAGGAAAAAAAAAAAAGATTTTTGCTTATGCAACAAGTTCACAGCATCACAAATAGTGTCAGTTATTTCAGATTCAAAGCACCAACTGTGACAAATACAGAGATCTGCCAAGAATTTGAAAGTACTGGGCCCTGGGCCCACTTGGTCTGAAAATGATGGGCCATTTTTACCAAAGTATGGGCCTTGGGAAAATAAGTAAACATTGACCAAAATAACTGTTAAAAAGTTTGTAGATACATGTAATTGAATTTCCCCGGTAATAAAACTTAAATCATATTTTATGACAAGTGGTTCACTTATAATTCAGTACTTTACCAATAATTAAAAATTATGCCTACATGATAACTTTCTAACTAATATTAATTGCAGCTGGAACATACGATACGTTATAGTACATCCCAGATTGCAGGCAAAAATGAAAATATTTTTTTAATGGCTGCTCAAAAATTTGATATGCAAATTTATTCACATAATTGCTGGTTCTTACTTGTAATGTCTTATATTGTGCATTATCCATTTAATTGTTCCTACTTTGCACAAAATGTCCCTTACCAATGTATATTGACGAATTTTATTGCCCCTTGTATGCCTCTGTGTAGACAGCATACATCAAAGACATTTGCCGACAGACCTTTTGATCATGAAAAAAGTCATGCACAATGTTTCTCTGATTGGTTAATCACCCTGTCAAACATTCCGATGACGAAATATACATCTTTTTTTTACACTTCATCAGCCAAAACTTGCGTGAACTTGAGTGACCTTAGGGTTGATCAAGTTGAACACCTGTCAGATTATACTGTAACTTACAGCATTTCTTAAAATAGCAACACTTTTTTTCAGTTACCGATAATCATTTTAAATATTAAGTAGTTGTATAATTTTGTTTGTTTGTTTATTGGATTAAATTTACGGTAGTAGAAATGAGTATCTGTGTGGGAAAGGGATTATGAGAAGAAATGCGGTAAGTAGATAACATGGACAAAAGCTATAGGGGAATGGATAAACTAAAGAATATGCGTAATTACAGGAGCATGGGTAACATGTTGCTGTTGGTACCAGTTTTGACTGGATGACTAAATAACCCAGCAGACAGTTTTGTTTTCTTATAAGTCTGGCACAGATTTTAGATGCGCCAATGGCCCTTTGCTGCCGATTTTACTGCGCCATTCTCATTTTTTTAGCGCCAATGGCGCAAAATCGCGTCCTCGGCAGATCTCTGCAAATATCTCATTTCTATTTGTTCTAAATGTCATTTCATTCCTTAGCCATTTTCTTGAAAGGAACACTATCTATCTATTTATACAAAATGATGTTACTTATTACCTTCCATAAACTCACAGCAAGCATGTGTGTGATAATAGCTGTGAAAAGACATTAACAACAAATGACAAGTAAAGCAACATAAGCTTATTTTCCTTGGATGTTCCATTTCGGGAGACAAAACTTTGGAAGTCAAGGTGACCTTATCTTTGTTGAGTTTTCATATTTCAAAGTGATAATTATACAGTTGATAGCAAACAAGAAGGTTTTAGGTAATTTCATAGTCTCTAGTTTCTTCTTAATCATTCACTAGGAGATTTTGAAATATTCCTGGGCCGCTGTCCACTGCTCCGAGGGAAATCTGTACGCTAGTGTGGTCCTTAAATCGGCTTCTTTTGATTCCCGTTTTTCTTTATCTGTAAACATAGGTCAGTATGTATCATGTATAAATTTAAATATTTTCAAATGTTTTAAATGTATATATGTGTAATCTCAGGACAGTCTTTATACAATAACATTAATTATCAAATAACAAAAGGTAAGCCACTGGCAAGTTGTTTTTAGCTCTTAGACAACTTCAATAAAATTATACATGCATATCATTTCAAAACTTATATATGATACTTGCTAGTTTGTTCTGTTGGATTTATTAAGTCACACTGACATAGTTTTGTTTGTATGATTGGATTTTACGTAACACCGACACAGCATAGGTCATATGGCGACGTTCAAGTTTTACTGGTAGAGGAAGACCTCAGGTACCTTTCCCTGCATTATTCAGGCACAAACGAGCATCTGAGTAGAACCACCTACATTCCGTAAGCTAGCTGGATAGCTTCCTCACATGAAAGAATCTAAAGTCCCAGTCGGGATTCGAACCCACAGCTTTGAGGGACAAGTGGTTTGAAGTCAACGACCTTAACCACTCGGCCAAGGACGCCCCTACTGACATAGTAAAGGTTATATAGCTACTTCCCAGATCTACTGGTGAAAAGACCTCATGTGCCCATTTGTTTATTAATTCAAGCACAAGTTGGCTCCTTAGTAAAACCACCGACCTTCTATAACTTAGCTGGATAGCTTCCTCACTTGATAGAATCCAAAGTCCTTTATAGGATTCAAATCCACAGCGGTGAGGGGCAAGTTATTGAAATTCTTCAAACTTTATAACTTGGACAAGTAAGCCTCCAATAGATGTATTACAGGACTTTAATTGAAACATAACAATAAAGTTTTCATAGTTTGTTTTTGTTTGTTCATGTTTATTAAGTCTCAAATTTATTTCACTGAATCAAATTATCGTCTTTTATTACAAAACATTTAAACCCCAAAATAGAAGCTATTTTTAACATGGTACTCAAGGATATAACACTCTGAACAAGAGCTGTCCGTAAGACAGCGCGCTCGACTTTTTTATTGCTTGCCAATAAAAAAAGTTTTTGCAGTAAAAGGCAATACAAGAATCTCTGTATTTTTAAAGTGAACAATGGCCATGAGCATTAAGATATTTAGTGAAGAATTATTTTATTATGACATAATTTATGGTAAAGTGAACAAGTGGATAGGAATGAATTTTTTTAGATTTTTTAAGTTTTTTAGTGCTTGCCTATAATACAAAACATTGACAGTTAAGGGCCATAATTCAAATAAAATCTTTGACAGAATTACCCTCTCCTGGACATGTTTGGGAATCATGATTGTAAACAAGTATTCCAACTTTCAAATTAATATCTCAAACAGTTCAGTCAAAAAGTGGACTGGTACTAAAAACTTAACCAAGATTCTAAGTCGATAAAAGGCCTTAATTTTTAAAACAAATCCTTGACAGAGTTACCTTCTCTTGCGTACAGATGGGGTAATGATGTGAAATAGCATTAAAAGTTTCAAAGCAATATCTCAAAGGGTTAAGGCAATAAGTGGATTTACCCATATTCAATGTATTTTCTAAGTCAAAAAGGGGCATAATTCTGTCAAAAACCTTGACAGAGTTATGTCCTCTTGTCTGTTGATGAAGGTCGTGATGGTAAACAAGTATGGTCAGTTTCAAAGCAATACCTCCAATGGTTTTGAAATAAAGTGAGGTGGTACAAAAAACTTAACCAAGCTCAATACACTTTCTAAGTCAAAAAAGGGCCATAATTCTGTCAAAAACCTTGACAGAGTTATGTACTCTTGTCTGTAGATGGAGGTTATGATGGTGAACAAGTATGGTAAGTTTCAAAGCCATACTTGTAATACTTCTGAAATAAAGTGGGGTGGTACGAAAAACTTAACCAAGGTGTGACGCCAACGCTAACGCCGACGCCGACGCCGGGGCGAGTAGGATAGCTCCCCTTTTCATAGAAAAGTCGAGCTAAAAATTAGACACATGAAATAATAAGACATTTGAAATAATAAGACACATGAAATAATAAGACATTTGAAATAATAAGACATTTGAAATAATAAGACACATACCTGAAGATTTTTTAGATGATAGAGGCTGGCTTGCCAATACTTCAAGCTGCTTCTCCTGCAAGTGACAACAAGATTTACTTTGAATAATTTATGATAAAAATCTCCCTAAATCTCTATATATCAGTTTGGGATATCAGTAGTGTTCAGGTGATCAAAATAATTTACTTGGTAATAACTTATTATTTTAGTTAAACGAGGCCAAATCTATATATGATCCCCCTGCCCCAACTGCTCTTAGTAGTTTTTTGGGATTTTTTGATGGCCGGCCAGTATAAACATCACAAAATTTCATACTTAAGGTTTGACAAGATCCAGAAAAGCTTACTCATGGGTCCAAAAGTTTCTTTTTCTCTTGTTTTATTTAGTGTAAATCAGGGACAATCTAAAATTGGTACTAAAAAAAAGACCCATTCCTAATAAAAAATAGTGACCATTTTTACTAATTTTTCTTACATTAAATATTGATCTAGGAGTAATTGCTTTGGATTAAAATAATGCTAGATCATGAAGGATTAAATTTAATGAAAACAAAGGTTGTTTGTTTCCATTAAAAGGTGGATCTCTATATATTTAATGAAGTTTAAAAACTGAATATGTCTTTATAGTAATAAAACATTCCCAATTTCTATTGTATTCAATTCTATTCATTTTATACCATTCTGATTGGTATATGAACCTTTCCATTTATTAATTACGGAAAATGTGTCCCTACTTTGTATAAAGCACGCAAGCAATAATCAAGCAATAATCGTAAAACATTTATTCAATGTAAAAACCATTCTTATTTAAAAAATACAACATCTTCCATATCAGTTTTATATTTCCTTATCATCTCCTACCCACTTATCTCAAATTGACCCACGGGGAATACAAACCGTTTAACCCTGCATACAAGAAATTAAGCACACATAATTAGTAACATGAATTTTTTTCAAAACAAATTTTCCGAGTAAATGCACTCCATGAATACAATGAATACATAGCGGTTAAAATGTTAACTCCGATGTAATTTGATATTTATTCTCAACTTGAACCAATTGTTGTTTAAACCTCTATTTAAAGTCGTAAATCAGTGTAAATAAACAGTGCATTACTAAGGGACTCGAGTGCTTTTCTGAAAACCCTTTGAGAGGACATCAATCTATGCGTAATTATGGTGACAATAGGATTCTGCTCGCTGATGAAATCAAATAGACGACAGAGATGCTACAATAGATAGATGGGTTACAAATACAAAAACCACCCGCGGAAAATGTGTTTGTTTTCCGGACACTGGAATGGAACCGTGCTTTTTCAATGATAATATTGATAATGGGGAGGGGGACAAAAAAAAAATGATAAGCCATATTTCAATCATGTCCGCCTTGTCTGCAGAACATCTCTAGAATTCCACGTCCCCCTTCATTCAATATTTGTTCGTACACTTTTGATTTATAATCATAAAGTCGAGGAAACAAATTGATTGTAAACTAAGGATCAGGTTTTTATCCGCGGAATAACAATCAAGATGAAATAGCCGCGTGTAATTTAAAGCTTCTTGTCACTCTAATTGTAAAAGCCATTTTCTCACAATAAATTGATTCCATAGAAATAATAATCACATTGCAAAACAGTTATTAATTTGTAAATTGCTTTTCCCTGTGCAAAAAGTTATTAAATATCGCTGGGAAATATAATAATAAAAAAAAAATCACTTAAAACAGGAATGAATTTATCAATTTCAAAATAGCATAATCTTCGGAATAATTATCAAAGTCAAAGGACATGGAATATTTTTTTTTTCTCTCACTTATGTTCAAAAGAGTTCACACTATAAAGGAACCAAAGCGGTTGCCTTTTAAATGGAATTAAATTTCTACCAATCATAACTTATATCTCCATCTAGAGTTTAATGCTGTCACTATAAAGGGTTACATTAAAAAGGAAATCAAGAATTAATGGTTTTAACCTTAAGGCACACTATTATTTATGTTCCACTTTTAATTTATTATTACATTGAGTAATGTTACTATTTCAAGTCATTCCATTATACACTGATTGATTTTTACATGGAATTCTAGCAAATTATGTTTTCAACATGAAGTCTGATGACTTATCTTCAAGCATTTTGAACAAAATATTTAAAACATTCAATTTTTTCATGATCATTCACCAATGGTTTAGAAAAACAAGAGGGCCACAATGACCCTGGATTGCTCTCTTCTTAAGTATGAGGTTTGATTATATAACTATTGTAGAGGACCACAAGGTGATGCAAAATGCCTAATATCTAAGTTTTGGGCAATAACCTTCATTTTAGGTATTTTGAGCTACTTATTCATCAGACTGGAATCATTCATATATTTTTTAAAGAGGTCCACATAAGAAATTTTTCTGTGATGTCTGGTCAACATCCATCTTGTGATTAAGTAGAATGATGTTGTTTACAGAAATTGCAGACAATGATTGTCAATGAAAAACAGGCTAGGGACAAGTTACCATCATAATAGTTCAACTTTAAACCTTCTTCCTCAGCCCCCTACCATTCCCATCTCTGAGACCACAAGAGGCTTCATAAAAGTACTTTGAACAATCAAATTATAGTTAACAAAATCAAAATTTAAATTCTCACTGTTATCATTATTCAATTCCCTATCATGTTTTAATTAAAGCAACTTACCTCAATAAAATTAGAGAGTAAAACACAACTGAGTTCCTGTTCCAGAATTTCCCGGTTGGCCTGATTATTGTAGCAAGAGGAGATCAAGGTTGGGAATAAGATATTGACCAATCGGGGATCAGAGAAATATTGGAACGGTAGTGAACACATCTGCTGTAAAACTGTCGGTGGCTGACCAGACTGGATCACAACCTGCAACAAAATAACATCATGTGTTACCTGTATGTATAATTGATCTACATATATTATGACATAACTGTATGATTTGTATAACATTGTATATCTTCAGTGAACTAATATATGACATAACTGTATGTATACCTACAGTGAACTAATATAAGCCATAACTGTATGTATACCTACAATGAATTAATATAGGTCATAAATTATTGTTTATCTACAGTAAACTTATATATGCTGTAACTGTATGAATGTATACCTACAGTGAACTAATATAGGTCATAACTATATGTTCATCTATAGTGAACTGAAAATATGACACTAATATACAATGTTACTGTTTATATATCTACAGTGAACTAATACAGGACATGACTGTATGTATATTTACAGTGAACTAATATATCATGTAACTGTATGTTTAACTACAGTGTACTTAAAATATGACACTAATATATGAATATATGATGTAACTGTATGTATATCTACAGTGACCTAATATGATGTAACTGTATATAAATCTACAGTGAACTAATATGATGTAACTGTATATACGAGTATATCTACAGTGAACTAATATGATGGAACTGTATGTATATCTACAGTGAACTAATATGATGTAACTGTATGTATATCTACAGTGAACTTATATGATGTTACTGTATGTATATCTTCAGTGAACTAATATGATGTAACTGTATGTATATCTACAGTGAACTAATATGATGGAACTGTATGTATATCTACAGTGAACTAATATGATGTAACTGTATGTATATCTACAGTGAACTAATATGATGTTACTGTATGTATATCTTCAGTGAACTAATATGATGTAACTGTATGTATATCTACAGTGAACTAATATGATGGAACTGTATGTATATCTACAGTTAACTAATATTATGTAACTGTATGTATATCTACAGTGAACTAATATGATGTAACTGTATGTATATCTACAGTGAACTAATATGATGGAACTGTATGTATATCTACAGTGAACTAATATGATGTAACTGTATGTATATCTACAGTGAACTAATATGATGTAACTGTATGTATATCTACAGTGAACTAATATGATGTAACTGTATGCATATCTACAGTGAACTAATATGATGTAACTGTATGCATATCTACAGTGAATTAATGCATTACATAACTGACTACAGAAGAAACCACTTGGCATCATTTAAGACACACTGTACCTTAAATGGAATCTTATCAGTGTATTTAGATATTGACTCACAGTTGAAAGATATAACAAGATTTTTTTTATACAAGGATACATAATCTAACACTTGCCTTTCCCAGTTTTATATTGATGACAAAAAAGTATGAAAAGTATATTTTATGGAAAATTAGCAATCAAGCATGACTAAATATTTATAATGATATTGCAATAATAGTTGATTTATTAACATCTTTTTTTTAAACGACTAAGTTTTATTGTTAATGCTATAATAACATAAACATTATAAATAATTATGAACTGAATTCATCCCTATTAATAAATAGAATCCAACATGAAAAAATAAATTTAATTTTTGTATTCCCTAACAAAAACCATGCAAATAAACAATTTCTATTTCTCACAAAACGTTAGTTTAAGAGGGTGAAATGAATTCATGTATGATAACCTGTCAATCAAATACCATCGCCAACTTCAAATTAATTAGAATCTTTCAGTGTACGCCAATGGGAAAAACCGCAGGACATAATATGACCATGTGTTGCATCTTGATACTGGCAATAAGATTGTCAACATTTTCTTGCCTCGTTAAAGCCAAGTTGAAAAATAACAATAGGAAATTAACTCAACGTCTCACATACAACACTTTATAATCATAACACTTCTCAAATGGTGATGAAAAAATTTCGAAAATAAATCCAATCAAATGCTTCAATGAAGATTATCTTAAAAAAACAAAACAAAGATGGCAAGGAAAAGAAAACAATTAAGTCTTGGTGATATTGAAATGCTAGAAGTAAAAAAAAAAAAAATTACATACTAATGAAATGAAGAACTTGGCTTTAATTTTTACTAGGTTATTGCTCTTTTCAGCACTTTGAAAATGGATATGGTTAACCTAAACCGGCAAGTTGAATACATGTATATCTTAAGTTCTATCTATACTAATTGCTTCATTAAAAATTTGAACACTTACTCACCAATACAAAGTACATGATATTGTCAAGTTATATAACTGTGCCATCCTTATAATTAATGTGATTTGTATGCATTTAAGCCCATCCGAATGTATAAATTGAAAAATAAAATAAAGATGGAAAAGTATTTATTTTATATAGGATTATTATATAGGTAAAATTCAAGCCTGAGATATTTCTTTGTATGAGGTTTATAATGCTCGTACAAGTGGGAAAATGATGTTATCGGATCTCGTACCTTGTGAATAATTACTCATATTGTATCAATATTGGATAATAAAATGTATTTTATGGCTTTAGATTAAATATTATTCATATTTGGCATTATGATATAGATTTATGAGAGATTTCATAATCCACAAATAAATTTTGATGTAGCGAAACTTCTGAAAAGAAAATTTTTGTACGAATAGTTAGCTTGTATGATTATTATCATCTAGAAAAATCAGCAACACATGAAACGTATAATTTATGGTCCTTTCACCAGTGTATCAGGTACAGTAAAACTTGTCTGAAATGACCCTTGATGTAGACAGAATATTATTTTTCTGCTTTACAGAAGTATGTCAAAATGTGTATAATTATGTTTAGGTATAACATTTTGAAAAAAAGGATTAGTGTGTAACTTAATGTCTTCATTTGGAAAGCTAATGCATTTCTTCCTTAAAAAATATCAGGAAATGTTTCGAATAACTGAATTTAATTTTAGAATCTGAAGAAAAAAAAATCAGGTTCCTATACAATGTCCTACAATATAAGAATCTGCCTGAAGATTTTGAAGTAGGACATTCATCTATCATTGAAAATTTAAGGAATCCTTTGGGAAAACTAACTTGCTTTTTCCGACTTCCACTTATACGCAACAAAGATTATGAGCCAGTCTCATTGTGAGTCTGTATAGACTGGTTTTAATGTATAACAAGGAAGGAGGGTACTAAAGTAACAACACATCAACACCTAAATACTAAATATAACTAATAACTAATAGTAAATATAAGTAAAATAATTATTTGCTTTTGATAACAATTATAATGATTTACCTATGTCATGACAATTTTTATAGTCTGGAAAGACAGTTCTACTAGAATGCTTAATTTTAACATCTTGACATTAAACCTCTCTCATAAACAATTAAACAAATGAGCCACGTCATGACAAAACCAACATAATGGGTTTGCGACCAGCATGGATCCAGACCAGCCTGCTCATCCGCGCAGTCTGATAAGGATCCATGCTGTTCGTTAAAAAACTCTGTAACAAGTAAAGAAACTGATAGCAAACAGCATGGATCCTGATCAGACTGTGCGGATGCACAGACTGGTCTGGATCCATGCTGGTCGCAAACCCATTACGTTGGTTTTGTCGTGACGAGGCTCAAATCTTTCATACATCTTAACATGGTAAGGGTTAGGTTGAAAATTGATACTGTTTTGGAGTCTGATATTCAATATTTTTACTTTATTTACGGTGTTTTTTAACTTCGCTGTGAAAACGATATTTCCAGTATGACTTGATTAATTCATGTCAAATTAGATCAGTATGGCTTTAAAAAATTAAAATACTTTGATCAACATGGTACGGTTAGACCATCGGTTTCGGTGACTGAACTTGTTGAATTCCCATGTCTATTATCATTATCACTAATGACTTTTTAATTGCTTCTCAATACCAATTAGTGTATATTCAAGTCTGCTTTAAATGCGATTTTTTTACTGATTTTCTTATTTATTTCCTCCCAAATTATTTAAGTATTTATCCATCGATTTATATTTTTATATTTGTTAACTCTAAGCCAATAATATCTTTTTTTTTTTTCAACCTTTTTTTTTAAATCCAACAGAAAGGGGTCATCAATTAGGGTTTGACCATAATCCATGCTATTGAAATCGTGACTTTATAACTGCTGTATATGTATATGCGAAAGTGATAATGGGATGGTTCCATGACCCATACTGATCATTTGGATGGGGAGAATAAATGGGGTCACCCTTATTGTTTGGGACCGAAAAAAAACAACAACAACAAAAAAAGGTAAGCTTTATGCCACCAGTATAGAATCAATCTGTCAGCAGGTATGACCAATCTATTTGATGAAATCAGCAAGTTACTGATTCAGAATATAAATGAGCTGCGTCATGACAAAACCAACATAGTGCGTTTGCGACCAGCATGGATCCAGACCAGCCTGCGCATCCGCGCAGTCTGATCAGGATCTATGCTGTTCGCTATCAGTTTCTCAACTTGTAATAGGGTTTGTAAGCGAACAGCATGGATCCTGACCCGACTGCGCAGGCTGGTCTGGATCCATGCTGGTCGCAAACCCATTATGTTGGTTTTGTCATGACACGGCTCAAATAAGGGTGAAAAACTACTTCTTTCTTGTGATTCAGGATATTAAATGAGTATGAGGTTAATACTGAATTTATTTAAGGAGTTAAATAAAAGTATATTATGTGAGCCTCTAGCGAGCATTATATTATTTTTTTCAACAAGTCCAATAAATTCAGAAATGAACTTGCACAAATTAAATATTCTATTTATTACATACCAAAAATAAAGACTGTTTGAAGTGAAAAAGAAGCATTTTCACGCTAACATTTAGAGCGCCTTAATGCTATGTTTGTATATTGCAAATGCAACACATCAAAATGTATGCACGGCCATGCAACAAATAAACATAACTTTTTATAATTGTTACAAAAAAACAATTCCAATAATAAATATTGTTCATTTGATAAGGAAATATTCATGATTTTATATAAATATTTGGTAAGCGGGAGAAATTTCCTGTAAGGTCATTTGTTTTGAATACCCAAAGTTTATAATCAGAGACACATGTTTGTTACAAAATTATCATTTTTTATTAAATTGTTGCAAAAGAAAAACTAACAATGAAAACATAACTTTCTATAATTGTTACAAAAAAACAATTCCAATTATAAATATTGTACGTTTGATATGGAAATATTCATGATTTAATATTATTATGGTAAACGGGAAAAATTTCATCTAAGGTCATTTGTTTGAATATGCAAAGTTTATAATCAGACACATGTTTGTTACAAAATTATCATCATCTTCACAACATTTATGAATTACAATATTATCACCCAAAATCATCTTGGTATACAGGATTAATTTGCTGGTCGAGTCCCCAGACGCGCAGTTTTAGTCATGTAAAATATTACTGATTAATTTGTGATTTTAATCTTGGCACTACAATTTTTTTTTTATTATAAAGAAAATCTAGTTGTTTCAGAAAGTGGTAAATGACTCCCTTGGGTGTAATATTTAATATCTTCTAAAAGCCTATTGAATTCTGATCACCATCTTAATGATATATACTGTGTATGTCGGTATAGATGAACAAGATGGAAATTGATTTTTGCCCATTGAAACTGAAACTGTTAAAAATTGATCTACGTAGGTTGGTAGGTTGGCGTAAAGAAAAATGTGATAATATAAAAGTCAGAGATTGAAAGAAATAGTGCAGAATGCAACATTAGTAAGACATGTCAAGATTAGGCCGATATTTTATTGGCCAATTGCCAAGGGTTTATTAGCCAATTGCAAATAGTCTATTTGCCAATGGCCAGTTTCTGGAAGGAGCCAATAGTCAGTGTTTTAAATAAACACTTCTTCCTTTCAAATGAATACAAATATTACCCAAAGTTTTCATTTGTCATTGTATTTTTTAAAGTGTTTAATTTGACATTAATGAAATTAAATGAACTGTATTGATATGTTATTTAATTTGATACGAAGCTTTAAAGGGATGCCACTTAGTCAGGTTTTTTTGACATGACAGTACTGGGGGAAAAAATCATTTTTGCAAAATTTGTGTAAGTCTGATGTAGGGTGTGCAAATTTTCAGTACATTTCTTTATTGTCCTTTGCAGTTTTTTTTTGCATTTCATAGTTATTTAACTTGCCCAGATCATGTACTTTGTACTGATTAGAAAGTGTGTAAATAATGAAGTGATTGGTACAGTTAGAACTTAAGAAAAATCCAACTTGCTGTTTGAGGTTTACCTCATGCAGACAGACGGACAGAAGGGTCGACAAATTGATGGTTCAATTACTATTTGCTGGGGGGGGGGGGGGGGGGTAAAAATATATATATTAATGAATTTGCAGCAGCAATCCAGCAATCAATTCATCAGACTGGTCATACAACAACAGTATGTGTAAAGCAAACGTACCTGATTGTCTGAGTTTCGAACGGTGAAGTAGCCGACACACAGTATCACTTCATGAAGTAATTCTTCAGCATTGTGGTGAGAACAGTACCATATAAGATAACTAGCTATATGACGAAATTCTAATGACATGCCTTCCTGACCTAACGTGCTCTACAAAATAATAATTACAATTCATATAATATAATCTTGTTAGACATACAGTATTTTGACTTTCACCTTTTCACACACTTTTATACACCAAGTTAAAACATAGTAATTATTGTACAAAAATATGTTATCACTTATGATAATTAGTATCTGTCCTGGCATCAGTCAAGAAATTATATCATAATGTATATATTGCTGCCATGGGCCGGTGGCGAATATCAATAAATAAATTGTCATTGTCACTTTATACCCTTGGATGGACATAATATCACTCGAAGGACTTGAAATTGGTAAAACTATAGAAACATTCATTATTGAACTAGAAGGAATAACAGTTACTGTATATGTTACTTCAATTTTAAAAGTTCTTTATAGATGTTTTTCAATATATGTTTTACTTCATGAAAATTTTGTTGCTATTTCTATTAATCAAATTACTATCAATGTTTGTATTAAACTTATTTCTATGTTATGTTATGTTTTCTTTCCTGGAACCAGAACACATATTAAATGAGCCGCGTCACGACAAAACCAACATAGTGTGTTTGCGACCAGCATGGATCCAGACCAGCCTGCGCCTCCGCGCCGTCTGATCAGGATCCACGCTGTTCGCTTACCAACTCTTTTACAAGTAGAGAAACTGATAGCGAACAGCATGGATCCTGATCAGACTGCGCGGATGCGCAGGCTGGTCTGGATCCATGCTTGTTCGCAAACCCATTATGTCGGTTTTGTCGTGACGCGGCTCATATTATAAATTATGTAACATCCGTTAAACTTCCTCGCAGAGTAAAATTCAGATTAACTATGTGTGTTTGAACTTTCAAACCAAATACAAGTATACAGACAAGTTAATCAAAGTCCTCAATCTATTTTTTAACATCCTCAATCGTTATTTTTTATTCAGTTGTTAACGAAGTTATTAACACACAAACCTGCATCATGTCAAGGTCTAACGTGGCCATATGATTCAGCATTCGAAGACCCGTCGTGGCCACGCCTAGTGTATGCTGTGGGAACTCGGGCGGGGCCTCCTCCCCTCTGCTTGGCGTACCAGAGTGCAGCAACATACCGTACAATAGAGATACTATACCAACAAGTTCCGTCACTTCAAATGTTGATATAAGCTGGGTTGGATCCTCTAATTTTTTGTTCTCAAATATAGAGGATTTTCTGAAAGAGACAAAATGAGAAAATAGTATAAGCCAGGGAAAAATAGTACTAAAATTAAATATGGTGATGAACCCATAACACTTTTGGACAAGATGCAAGCTGGTATTTTTTCTAAAAAATATAGCTCAGTTTCAAGTAAGCTTTTGTGTCAGTCTATTTTTCATAATGAATTGATTTTTTTCCCACCTAAAGTATATAAACCCCTACATTTTTCACTACCTGGAATTGGATTTAAGTCCAAACTATTTATGTGTTATCTATTTTTCCAGAAGATACTTAGTACTGTTTCATATACAAAAGAAAAAACGAAAAATAAAATAATTTGATTGGAAGAGAAAGGGGGAAAACAAGATAGTTCAAACTACATCAAAAAACCACACACACAAAAGATCACAAAACAGACTTATGGTTCATTGCTCAAAATCCAAATATGGTATTAAAGGCAGGATATTAGATTCTACAAAGCCTTCGCAAAAAACTTTAAGTCTATTTCCTCTATTTTTTCTAAATCCTTTTCACATGCATTAGTCAAATAGTCTCTATACAAGCATAGAACTAATAAAATCAATCGAGCAATTTGCCAATAAAATTATTAACCATATGGACGAAAATCTCTAACTGCTGAGCAAACCTAACTCCATTTCTGCCTGGGGCAATATTGTCCCTTATTCTTAATTTACAAAGAATAGGAACTTTTGTTCCGCACACATCGCCAATCCATTATCTTATTTGTCGTAAACAATTTGTATCATCGCCAATCCATAGCAGACAATCTGCGTTTTTTTTCTTCCTCCCCGAACTCCTGGAAGCCCTAGCTTTTATTAAGTTAGCTCTATTTTGATGTGGTTTCCAAAGAGAGTCCTGAAAAGCTTCAGGTTTTCACATTCAATTCTTAACACCACAAGTTTTCTCCCTCCCGTAATAAGTAAATTAGTGAAACCCCTCCAGAGAATTTTGTGTTGACAATTTAATTGTAAGGCTTTTATATTTCGGGTGTAATTTCTACTTCCAGTGCATGCTTTTATTCATTCAGTATAGCTTCTCCGCCATGTTATAACATAAAAACATAAAAAGCGCAAATAACCGCAATAAAAACTAATCAACAAATTGGTTTGTAATCATACGGCATGCTTCATTCTATTTATTTTGAGACAAGCCACCATAAACACAACAATAGGGGGGACATGGCTGACCCCTAATAAATCATAACACCCCATGCAGAAACTGAAATACTGTCATTGACCTTTGACCACATACCAACTACATAATTAAACAAATTGGTTTCAATGCAACTTCAAAGGTCACTTTTATTAACCATGGAGGCAAGACATTTAAAGTAATTGTTTTGATGACAGAAATTTGAATTAATTAATACTAATAACACTGTCATAGAGACTATTTCATATATTCTCTCATCTATTAGGCACTAAAAAAATGTGCGAAAATTTTCACACAATCATGTTCAAACAACAATATTTTACCCAGAGTCTTTGGTAACCTCAATCATGTTTCATTTGTGAAATAAAATTGTCCCAATGTTTAATATCAAATTATTCATTATTAGTTTTCAAGTGAATATAAAGGTATATATTTGCTGCAAACATTATTCTTTAAAATTTTTCCAAAAGAATATTTCCAAAATACAAATAAAAAGAACTTTTTTATAAAACATATCCATTAGATATAGCTAAAATTTGAAGGTTATGATCTCTTAAAAAATGCACCTCTACACAGTATAGGTCATATGGCGACTTTCCAGTTTTATTGGTGTAGGAAAACCTCAAGTGCACCTTTGTCAATATTTCAGGCATGATTGCGCACCTGAGTTGAACCACTGATGTTCCGTAAGCTTAAGTCTATATAATATATAAAGCTGGGTAAGGCTAAGGAACCAATAACCTGTTGGAACTAGTAGTGATAAATCTTTGCCACCAGTATAGACTTAGACAGGCCTGTATGTCCGACAGTCTAACCAGCCTCTACACTATCGGCTGACAAACTACCTAACAAAATGTCCCGCAATATGGACAGAAAATTAATCATACCATAAAAAACGTAGCAAATTTCATTACCAATTTTTTCCAATAGCATTTTTATTGTCATATAATCATTACCAACAAGCAATTAAAACAAGGGGGATAAAAATCAAATCAAATCGATCATTCTAAAACACCGTAACTTTGCAATAACATAAAAGACCTTCAATGTCATTACACACACTAAAATAACACCTCCATCATTCTAAATGCAAATGATTTAATACAATAATCATTTGTCATCAACCCAAGCTGAACAGATGTTTAAATAGTAATAATCATATTTATTTGTTCATTGTAACTGCCCATTTTCACCCTATGTCCCTTCACCTTCTAACCAAATGGAGAATTTTTCTCTGTGATTTGGGCTGGGTTTCAAATTAAGCAATAACACACCCATCAATGGAGGTGAGGATATTTTCACTTTGGATAAATTACAGTTATAATTTGATTATCACAGAAAAACTGGGGAAGGGGAAGTTGTGTGGTGTAATTAATTTATACATGTAGTTAGGTACAGTTAACAAAGACTGTCTTCAGTTTTACTTTAATTTCAACTAGACATATCACTGAAGGTGATTAATACCCCCACCAACAACTTTGACTTTTTGGAAAAAAAGTATTCTGAAGAAAAATTTGAACACAAACTATCAACTGTGTACAAAGAAATATTTCAATTAATTGTAATCGCAACTGGGGTCTCGAAATAAGCTTGCTATACACCAAGTTTGATTACAATATCTCATTCCTAACTCTAGTTATTGTCAGGAAACCATTTTTTCTATTTTTAGTAACACTGTAACAGTGACCTTGACCCTAGGGGGTCCAAATGCAATACCAACCCAGGTCTTCATATAAGCTTCCTATACACCAAATAAGATTACAATATCTCATTCCTAACTCTAGTTATTGTCCGAAAACCATTTTTAGTAACAGTGACCTTAAACTTGACCCCAGGGGGCCCAAATGCAATACCAACCAAAGTCTTCATATAGGCTTGCTATACGCCAAGTTTGATAACAATATCTCATTCCTAACTCTTGTTATTGTCCGGAAACCATTTTTCTATTTTTAGTAACACTGTAACGGTGACCTTGACCCTAGGGGGTCCAAATGCAATACCAATCCAGGTCTTCATATAAGCTTCCTTTACACCAAATAAGATTACAATATCTCATTCCTAACTCTAGTTATTGTCCGGAAACCATTTGTCTATTTTTCCTAACGGTGACCTTGACCTTGAATCCAGGGGGTCCAAATGCAATACCAACCCAGGTCTTCATATAAGCTTTCTATACACCAAGTTTGATTACAATATCTCATTCCTAACTCTAGTTATTGTCCGGAAACCATTTGTCTATTTTTCCTAACGGTGACCTTGACCTTGACCCCAGGGGGTCCAAATGCAATACCAACCCAGGTCTTCATATAAGCTTGTTATACACCAAGTTTGATTACAGTATGTCATTACTAAGTCAAGTTATTGTCCGGAAACAAACCATTTGTCTATTTTTCCTAACAGTGACCTTGACCTTGACCCCAGGGGGTCCAAATGCAATACCAACCCAGGTCTTCATATAAGCTTGTTATACACCAAGTTTGATTACAGTATGTACTTACTTAGTCAAGTTATTGTCCGGAAACCATTTTTCTATTTTTAGTAACACTGTAACGGTGACCTTGACCCTAGGGGGTCCAAATGCAATACCAACCCAGGTCTTCATATAAGCTTCCTTTACACCAAATTAGATTACAATATCTCATTCCTAACTCTAGTTATTGTCCGGAAACCATTTGTCTATTTTTCCTAACGGTGACCTTGACCTTGACCCCAGGGGGTCCAAATGCAATACCAACCCAGGTCTTCATATAAGCTTGCTATACACCAAGTTTGATTACAGTATGTCATTCCTAAGTCAAGTTATTGTCCGGAAACCATTTTTCTATTTTTAGTAACACTTTTACGGTGACCTTGACCCTAGGGGGTCCAAATGCAATACCAACCCAGGTCTTCATATAAGCTTCCTTTACACCAAATTAGATTACAATATCTCATTCCTAACTCTAGTTATTGTCCGGAAACCATTTGTCTATTTTTCCTAACGGTGACCTTGACCTTGACCCCAGGGGGTCCAAATGCAATACCAACCCAGGTCTTCATATAAGCTTGCTATACACCAAGTTTAATTACAGTATGTCATTCCTAAGTCAAGTTATTGTCCGGAAACCATTTTTCTATTTTTAGTAACGGTGACCTTGACCTTGACCCCAGGGGGTCCAAATGCAATACCAACCAGAGTTTCCACATAAGGTTGCTATATACCAAGTTTGATTACAATACCTCAATCCAAACTCTAGTTATCGTCCGGAAACCATGATGTGGACCGACCGACGGACGGACCGACCGACCAACCGACCGACCGACAAGCTGACTCCTATATACCCCCCCTAAACTTCGTTTGTGGGGGTATAATTATTTTTTGGATTATCATAATAATTATACTTATATAGTTTTACACTTCATTTATTGAAATTTTCTATTCAATTATGTTTGTTTTGTGTGTACACCAAGGTATTACACATTTCTTTGTCATAAATTATGTGATCAGTTGACAGTGCAGTATACATTCCTGGGTAAATAACCAGTAATTTATAATTTTTCAGCAGATGACCAACTTCTTTTCCCACAGGATTCCTGAATCAGCCACAAGACAGAAAATGACCATTAGACAAAAAGTCAAACATCAACTGTCATGGAAAATTTTCGCCTCACCCGAGATTTTATAACCTAAAACTTTATGGACCTTTTAACTAATGCTGATGCCACCACCCAAAAGAGTCAAGACAAAAGTTTGACTTTTTTCTTCGAAAAGTGGAGCTAAAAATCAAATAAAATATGTAGACCTTGATAGTTTTGCTTCATCAGTCTCTGTCAGTGGAGTGGTAGCTTCAAAAAGGACTGTATCAATAATTTAATATAGCTTAAATTGCACAGAACAAAAACCCATCCCAGACACTCCTTAATCATATAATAAATAAAACATAAGGAAGAACTATTTTCTGATCGCGATGTATTAACGATGCTATGGTACAATCATTTGTTCTATCTATTACCCGTGCTCTGTTTTTTTTTTATTCTTCGCTAGTTTTTTCTACTTTCATTCCAACCAGAATCATATCTCCTTAAGCTGACTTAGAAAGATAACGCCTGACTGACAACAGACAATAAAATATTAATTTGCAAATATTTTACAAATGGTTTCTTCGCAAACAAGAAATCGGTAGCAGTGCACTGTTACTTTCTGTGTGTCACATGACATCTGGCGTTGACAAGTGATAGGTCTGATGGTAAGTTAGCCGTGAAATTACGAGATTCAATTTAGAAATTAATATTGATGCTTTGGAGGCTCGTCAATTATTTAATATGGAAGATAACTAGGAACTTTTTTTGCTTCAACACTTCTCTGCTGAAATATGATTTTTTAATGAGATATTAAGTTGCAATTTTCAGTCCGTCTAAAAGGGGCCTTTTACCATGGCTCTTAAAGTAACGAATTACAACCTGACACCCCTATCCCTAACCACTCCCCCCCCCCCCCCCCCCCCAAAAAAAAAGGAGTTACAATGTCATAAAATATTAATCCAGTATTATATTGGGATTTAGTAACATATCATGTTATTCAACCTTTAGTAAACTAGTAAACTTTTTACTGCATCAATGACATCATATTTGATTGATTTACTTCCCTCCAATGATTAAACACATATGTTTTGAAGTTGAACTTTTCAGTGTATGTAATGACATTGAGTTTCAATTTGAATGTTACATTTTTATACAATTTAAAAGTATTTCTTCTGAACTATCAATTTCCTTCATCATTTTTATTTTTGTTTTCTTCATTAACAAATAGTATGAACTTACCTGACAGATAGGAACTTTGTGAGCGCAACAAGAAGGCCGAGACAATTCTGTATAAACTCTGCAGCATCCTTGTCACTGTCTATAGGTCCCTGAACCATCCGTAAATACTGTGTCAACTTATCCACGATACCAACGCTGATAATATAACTGAAAATATACAACAAACCCAAAATAAGTGAAAATATACAACAATTCGTAAATACTGTGTCAGCTTATCCACGATACCTACGCTGATAATATAACTGAAAATATACAACAAACCTAAAATAAGTGAAAATATACAACAATTTGTAATAACGCTGATAATATAACTGAAAATATACAACAAACCCAAAATAAGTGAAAATATACAACAATTCGTAAATACTGTGTCAATTAATCTATGATACCACGCTGATAATATAACTGAAAATATACAACTCAAAATAAGTGAAAATATACAACTCAAAATAAGTGAAAATATACAACAATTCGTAAATACTGTGTCAATTTATCTATGATACCCACGCTGATAATACAACTGAATATATACAACAAACCCAAAATAAGTGAAAATATACAACAATTTGTAAATACTGTGTCAATTTATCTACGATACCCACGCTGATAATACAACTGAAAATATACAACTGAAAATAGATGAAAATATACAACTCAAATTAAGAAATTATACAACTCAAAATAAATGAAAATATACAACTCAAAATAAGTGAAAATATACAACTCAAAATAAGTGAAAATATACAACAACCCAAAATAAGTGAAAATATACAATAATCTGTAAATACTGTGTAATCTTCTCAAATTCAATATTTTTCCTCTTTTTTTTTCCCCAGACAAAATAAGAGAAAAATTTAAACGATTTACCCTCTTGTTAGGAGGAACTAATCTAATTTCCAATTTATAAATGTATACCTCTTTAACTTAAAAATCTCCATTAAAAAACCAACAGAATAACGAAAATTGATTGTGATGGGATAATGATACTTCCGACCTCAGCTAAAAAGGACAACAACAAAATTATACTTTGCCACTATAATTACAACCAAAAATACCTCTAAAGGACCTAGACAATAATACAAAAATCTTGCCCTAATTTAATAAGTCTTGTGTCCAGAATTAGCTAAATTTTAACCAATATAAAGCAAATCATTAAATGTGACACAACATACTGGATACTTTTATAAAAAATAATAACTTCCCCAAGTGTCATCATTTTGTTGTCTGAGGTTAAAATATAAATAATTTCAATCTCATTTAAAATTGATTAAAACAAAAAAAAATACACATCTGATATTAACATAGCATCATTAACATTTGTAGTTCAATGAAATAGAAACAGATCTCAAACACGTCTTGTTTTTTGCCATCATCTGAGAGTAATAAAAACTGGGCGACTTTAATCATTTTAATTAAAAAGTTACACTTCACATGCGAAAGTGCATGTATTAAGGTAGTCTACACGTTCTGTAAATGCAAAATAACCACTATATCCCAGTTCAAATACATTTCTTTTTATCTTCAACTAAAAAAATTTATAACAATGATAAAATTAGTTATGACCCCCCCCCCCACCTCCAAAAATATTTCTACCAAAAGTCAACCCTTCCATATTGACAGGCAATTTTCTTCCAATTCAATTATGTTTTATTCAATAAAGACATCATCCAACATATAAAAGGCAACTCATAAACTTCCCCACCATAAAAGGGAAAAAGCCTTAAGGTGTAAAATTTGCATTATCACTCCAAATATATGGGGGGTTTATCTTTGTGAAATACGCTCTACAGTCTGTCGGCAAGTTCGTCGTTCAACTTATCACCCAGTAATATCTCAAAACTGCCCTGATTTAGCAATAAAATCTTGTGTTTTTTTTTTGTTTTATGAACATGAGCACTATGTTTTCATCAATAAAATCAAATCGTAAGTGAGAGATGGGACCGATGTTTAAGTATGGTGGCATATTACCGGCAATAATCATACGATCAAGTTACACAAACCCGCCACTATATAACTCTTCAATACTCCTACAAACGACCAATCGCAGCTTTATTCAACACTCATATAGCCGTCATAAAATAAATATTTTTCGTTATTTTATGGGGATTAATTAGCATATTTTATCCATTTTCGTGAAATAAAATCAAACAATCTCAGACAGACAGCAATAGTTTTCTCTCCTCTGTATTTTTTTTTGGTACAAATATTGTGTGCATTTAATAAAATGTTGATGCTCATGATACGACTTCAAATAAAATGCATGTACGATGAACAGAAAAAAAACAAAACGAGAAATATTTTCAGAGATGTGATCTGTCTCCCACAGTTGAATTGTTTCATTGCTTTTGTGTTCAAATGAAAATAAACATATGGAAAAATGAAGAAAATAAATCATTTTTCTGTGCCATGAAATATTTCAATAAAATATCAGTATTTAATTACCCGTAGGATAAAAAAATATTAATTTTATAATCCATGTTTTATTACACAAAATATCCCAGTATCTTCAGACACATTACTATTATAAAAGCCTTAGTTTTAGGATATATCTGTGTTACATCATCCTTGGGCAACTTTATTATTAAATATACTTATAACTAGAAGAGATCCCTTTTTCAGCAAAAATAAGGAAGTCTTAGTCTTAAAGTAAAACACCTTAAAAATGATGTTTCTTTTTTTTTCCAATTATTACAAATTATCAGACTCTATAAACTAGTTTACGGACGTGACATAGGCTTTCTTGCTGCATCTTACTCACATTCTCAACTTTTATAACTAAGGTGGTGTCACCTTTATCTGTTTAAATGGGTTCAGTCCGCTTTTTACAAAAACAAAAGGTTATAACATAACCCGTAACCAAATTTTAAACTACAGTATTAGTCCAACATTCAAGAAAGTTTTTGATCAATTTTTTTAACATTACCTTTGTTTTACTATGACAAGATATGAGTGCATCTTGGATGATACAGGGGTAGTAATTACATACTATATTCAAATGAATGAAATAATTAAATCTCTCATATTATATCATTATATAGTATTTTAAGTACATACTATATTCAAATGAATGACATGTTTAAATCTCTCACAATATTATTACGATTCTTATGAAACAGAAAACGTCTCAGTGCCAAAAACACTTTTTTTATAATTATATTTGTTCAGGCAAGGGGACAAAAATGCAGTCTCCAAAAAAACAAACAAACTTGCTTGTTCAGAAAAGAAGGACAAAAATGCAGTCTTCCAAAAGAAAAAAAACTTTGCCAAGGACCACCACACAATTTCTGTCATAGGTCACAGTCTGTATCATTAACATGAAGAAATGGGGGTTAAAACAGGCTAATGTTTCCCTGACAGGCTATTGCACTATCAATTAGTGAAAATGCAGGAAATAACTGACTGGTTCATGTTCTAGCATCCGTTATAGCAATACTGTCTGTAATACAAGTAGACCAGTCCAGAGAAATATGCAAATCCTAGTTCCGGACAATGTCATACAAAAATGACCTTTGCAAAAAAATATTGGGAAAGACAGAGAAATCATACCAAGATAGAGAAATCATACCAAAATGTATGTAGTACATGTATCTGCAAAAGAGGTCAAAACTAAAATAACTAATATAAAGACAAGATATCTTTCAAAAAAACCTTATAAAAAGAACACACAAGTGAGTTATTTTTTCAACTTTAAATCATCCTAGAGAATATATTGCTGCAATTAGTACATATAAAGATCAACCTGGCCAATCAATAAACTATACCAAGACATCATACATACATTCAAATCACCTTTAAGGCATTTTCAGTAATCTATATCTTTAATAACCCTTATCTTCCTGTATTCCTATAATGCACATGCCATACCACTAGTAATACTTTGACTTTGCAACTGTCCATTTCTTAATTTTGGGTTATTCAATATCAAAATGCTGAAACTGAATGACCCTTGGTATAGTTTGTAGGGTATAGTTTGGTCAGTATAGTTTGTTCAAGATTGTTCGGTTAGAAAGCAGTGATGTTAAGGCTTGAAAGCCAACTTTTTTTTTTACAGAGATCACCCGATTAGTAATCCAGGGGTCACTGCAGGTTTGATCATAGAAAATTTTCTATGACAATGTATCTTGGACATTGAGTTTAAAGGTTATTTGTATCTTTTTTATATCTTAGGTCACAATGAACACAGGCTGTCACATTTAATCTGAACACTCACCCAATGGTAGATGTTAAAATAATGTATAAATACACCAAATATATAAAGTCAATAAATGAAACAGCTATGAAAAACTACTGTCACATGGAATAAGTTTTAGGGACCATAAAAAATCTCTAAAATCAATTGGGTTATTCCATTTGTGTGTTCAATACACAAGTAACATAATGGAGTATTGGCGGGCAAGCCCTAAGATGTCAAATACTTGTTGATTAAAGGAGTACAATCCACACAAGGGTTAGTCTGATATGACTTAAAGACAGAGGAAATACGTTCAAAAAAATCAACAAAGCCAGGTTACATGTACATATTTTATCTCCTCAGAATTCTATTCCTTGAAAGGGTATAAATTCAATTTTATGATATTTGTAAAACAATTGCTGGAGCAAACCTGTGACACACAAAAAATAATATCTGATACAATATGTCAGACTGTAATAAAATCAACTTTAAAACATATCAAATTGCTCTTAAAATTGTCCCTGAACATCTAAATTATTTAGTAAAATTTTGTTTTCATTTTTTTTTTTCATGCTAGAATCAGTCTTTAGTTATATAGACTTTATCTTTATAAAATTAAGCATAATAAGAAATACAAATCATTCTACATTATTATATCTTTAACCATTTTATCATGCTTGAGCTGTTGCCACTAACTTAGAGCCGGGCCTAACCATTTAATTTTGTTTTATCCAAACAATTGTTACTGGAAATTTCCAAAAATGGTAATGGACAAGTTCATTTAAGAAATTCAACAGGTAAAATAAAATAATCATGTTTATATTTTGAGACATTCTCTCCTTTGGGTTGCTATGCTAGAATTAAACTACAGATTGTCACCTTAGTGCAGTAATGGGTTAAGTCCTTTTACATTTTATAGGAGTTAACCAGTTATTGCACTAAGGTGACAAGATAATGTCTTTCTATTAATACAGTAATGACAAACATTAACCAGAACTTTTCTCCACAAGTAAAAGTCAACTTCCCAACTAGAGTTAACTGGAAAAAGCTTCAGGACTTCAGAATCTTTTATAGAAATAGACAAATCCTTTATTGGTATAATTTATATAGTGTGCCTGTGTTTAAATGGTTACAATGGAAGTAGAATTAGTCATAGCTGTCTTTTATTATCGACTAATGTCGAAACAAAAAACAATCGTTTTAATTTCTGTATTGTCTAATAGTATAAACATTGGATAACAAATGAATACATGTATCTTCTGACATTTTCCACTGGTGCAGACAATAAACAAAAAAACAACTATAGGAAGGTTTATGGGACCAGCCTGTTCCTGTACCAATATAGAATCAATATGGAAACATTATATCTCTGAAACTCTCCAGAAACCAGAGGCCGCCTGTTTTTATCTCCCGAGATGAAATTTCATTAGTAAGAAACACGGGTGAGGGGAGATATGCATTTGACACTGGGCAGAGGCCGGCAGCTCGCTCTATAGGCAGGTTTACAGATATAGACATGATAGTCGTAAATCAAAATTGACAGCTAAATATGATAACATTATACTCAGCGCTGGGCGAGTTTTCGAAAATCAATTTTTGCTGTGAAAAAACATTTAACAAACAATGATGGATGAACAATTGAATGGATGATTTAATACTGAATTTGTACAGTCTACTCTCATCATGTGTAATTTTTTTCCTTTCAACAAATCAATATGTAAATCTATGGAAATTAATGTTTGTTTGACTTTCATATCTTCACTATGATAGAATGGTTCACAAATTTTTTTTTCATACAGAAGAGTCAAAAGAATAATTTTTCTTAGAAAAGAAAAAACATTTTTTTTCCTTTTTGGTTGATTTTTAAAGAACACTAACACTTTGGTCATAGTGGGTTTTCCAGCTTTTAACTTGTGGAGGAAGACCTCAGGTGCCCCTCTATGCATTATTTCAGGCAGAAAGCGGTGTTTGAGTTGAACCACAGACCGTCTGCAGGCTAGAAGGAAAGTAAAGAATCCAAATTCACTGGCTGAATTCCAACCCATAGCAGTGAGGGTTAAAAAAAAATACCAGTAGAGAGAAAAAGAATACTGCAGCAGAACAGAATGTATGTTCATTAACTCCAAACAATGCAATATTAATGTATATAGATAAACAATAAAGATTAAAAGATTTTTATGTTAATATATATATAAATCAATAAATAAAGGAAGTTAAAATGTTCATTTTGTATTAGATTTTAAAAGACCAGTCAATGGACAGGGTGCCCCACTTTTCTCAGTGCTGGATAGTTAATGAAACATAAAAGGGGGCATAACTCTGTAAATGTGCTTGGCATATTTACCTGCCCTTGAAAGTCAGCAAAGTTTTCAAGTGTTAGAAAAAGGTAAAAATTCTAGGTAAAAAAGAGAGGCAAAAATGGCTTTCAGGATTATCAAAGAAAGTCAAAAAGAGGGCATAACTGAGAAAAAATAAATATTACAGTCCTTTAGAAATACATTCCAGTTAAATTATGTAACAAGTATTCCAAGTCTGCAGTGATTAACTTTTGACAGTTTTTGAGAAATTGACCTTGGAAAAAAACAATGAAGTAAAAATATTTTTAGGATAATCTGTCCTTATGAAATTTCATTTCATGACAAACAACAAGTATACCAAGTCTGAAGAGAAAAGCTTTTACAGTTTCTGAGAAAATGGGCCTTAACGAAAAGATTAACCGACGACGACACAAACACCGACGAGAAGGTCATGACAATATCTCCACTTCAAAAAGTGGAGCTAAAACCTGTTAAACCGTTAACAAATAATCCCATTTTAAAGAATGTCTGACTCTATCTATTACAAACAATTAAACCTATTAATAGGTGTTATTATTGTGGCCCAGAACTTGAAATTTACCAATTAATCAGTTAACCCTTACCGTGCTGAAGGCGAAAATGATAAGTCTTTGCCACCAGTAAAGAGCCAGGCCAGCCTGCACATCCGTGCAGTCTGACCAGGCTCTATACTGTTGGCTGGCCAACTTCAAATTTTCACCTTGATATACCTAAAATTGATAATGGACTGTTTCAAAATGGAAATTGGAAAAGTCCATTTAAGAAATTTACCAATTAATCAGTTAATAAACATTAAATTGAAAACTGAGAAAAACAACATAAAAATTTCTTGAACGTAAAACATAATATTTTATGTGTATAGAAATAAGCAAACCAATAAATAGGTAAATCGTTTCGGCTCAGTAATTGAAATTTACCAACTAATCTATACTAATATTCAATTGAAATCTGAGAAAAAACACATAAAATTTCTTGAACGTAAAACATAATATTTTATGTGTATAGAAGTAAGCTAATGTCTTAACCAACCAATAAACCACTTTATTTATCCCTGAAATTTTCACGACCGAGCGTCAGATATATAAGTTACGATTTGTTCACGCAGTTTTCCAAAATGTCACCAATTAATAATTTAATTGCAGCAATTTTATAATCTCCTAATTGATCCTCATAAGCCACAAGCTGAATCTTGGAGCCTATGACGTAAGTCAAGAGTATATAATTACATAAACTAGGATTATCTATCATAAAGATTTGCTTTCTGGTGTAAGATGAGGGTCAATTTACCAAAATTAAGTGTCAATTTACCCAAATTAAGGCAAGGACTATAATTATATATATGTATATCGATCTCGGACAAGCCATCAGACATTTCCACAAATTTCAGTTTTCCAAGCTTCTTGATAAAATTGAAGTTAATCACTGTATACAGAGGCTTGAACATTATTGCAATACATAATTTTAAACAAGAGCTGTTTGTTGTACAGCATGCTCGACTATTCTCAGAACTTGAGCCTGGATGATGAAGAACTTTCTAAGTTCATTAAAGGCTATAATTCTGTCAAAATCCATAGTTTTGGAGATACAAACTTGCACACAAAAACCAAACTGTGACACAGACACTGGCACCTTGGTGAGTGCAACAGCTCTAACAATTCTTCGAATAGTGGAGCATATAATACAGATACAGAAACCAGTTTAACCATCTTTAAATGCTGTGCAAAAAAAGTAGTATTGCACATCTCACTATAAACTGGAAACTTTTGGTAGCTATAAGAAATTTTAATAAGTTTTAAAATGGGACTCTTCTGATCATTTTTTCTTATTTTCTTGCTGTAACATAACCAGGAAATTCAGAGACCCCCTTTTTCTTTAAATACACTGCAATAGTGTAATAATAATAATATGGGTTTTCTTCAATGTTATCTTCATCTATGACGAAAAGATCTTTTTATAGTCAAAGGGAGGTTATCCTTCATAGAAGGCTAAAATGAATTATACAAAAGTTGAGTGACTTCCCTTTTCAAAAAAAAATAAAGCTAATTCTTATAAAATTTGATTTTGTGGTTATTATAGAATGAAAATCTAAACACTTATTTAAAGATTTATGGCAACTGATCAGGTAAACTAGTGGATAAATATATTGCTTGTAAATTTTTACAAATACAAGAAAAAGACACAGACTTCTTCAGAAGTATTCCACAACAATAAAATAAATATAAAAACACATTCCATAATAAGAATTGAAATAATTAAAATTTATCTGATTTTTTTCCAAAAAACATTTTCATCTGTTGAAAAATAAAAAACGAAAAGGTCAATAACTGTAAATGAACATAAATTAAATGGACTGTGTCCATTAATGGGTCAAAAACAAAATCGTCATTTAGCAGACTTCCTCAACCAAAGTACTAGCAGGGTTATCATAGGTTTAATGAAACACCAAGAAAATCCCTTGTCCTGTAGGCACTGTTAAAAGGTGAAAATCCTGCTTATTGCCTTACACTGTAAGTGTGGCATATCCCCTACAAGTGTGGCACAATACCAGAAGCATTACATTGCCCCTGCAGCTGTGGACACACAAAAGGTATGAACTTGTTTCATTTTACCACTTTTCCCAAATATAAAAGCTTGGGTTGCTACTGGTCAGTGCATAGGTAAAAATAGCAATACATGTAAGTTACTGAGGCAAAGCAAAATGGTCATTCTCAGTTGCTATGGCAAAACAAAATAGTAATTTTCACTTACTTACACAGGACAAATTGGTAATTTCAGTAACTGAGGCAAAACAAATTGGTATTTTTCAGAAACTGAGGCAAAACAAATTGGACATTTTCAGTATCTAGGGCCAAAATATATTGTTATAAACTAAGTCAAAATAAAATGGTCTTTGCCAAAAATGGAGGGAATACATAATGCTCATTTTATTTTTACAACCTAGATAACAACAAAATGGTATTTGTCAGAAACTGAGGTCAAAAATATATGGCTCATTGTCTATTTAAAGTCAAAATGAAGACCTTTTTTTCAAAAGTTAAAACTCATGACCAACCCATTCACATGTCTAAAACACCCTTACGCTGCTGGAACCAAAGGTGATCAGGGTACAAATCAGGCCAGCTTGCGCAACCATGCAGTCTGACCAGGCTCTATACTGTTGGCTTGCTTATTTTAAATTTTCATCCTGATATCCCCTAAATTGATTATGGACCATTCCAAAAACTGGTAGCTGGACACGTCCATTCAAGAAAGTCAGTAAGTCAGTTTACACAAATTTATTTTAGTTTGATTGTGGTGGTAGCTTTAAGTCTCCTAGAACCAACCAGTACTAAGCAATGAATGTCAAGTTTCTTGCTAAAGAAAACAACCGGTTGCCCCTGATGGGGTTTAAACCCACGAGATCAGCAATCCTTAGATTACTAGTCTGATGCGTTAACCACTCAGCCCCACCGCCACTCTAATCAGTAAGTTATGACATAAGGAGCACCTGAAACCATTTGCAAACCATGTATGGACGTCAAAATTTAATACACAAAACTAAACCTTACCTTAGAATATCATTTCCTCTGCTGGTAAATGTGTCCACAGTGTTACTCATTCTTTCTAACGAAGCCTCGCTCGATTTTGTAGACGGGCTGTTTTTAGCCAGGCATGTTAGTATGATGGTAAGGAGTTGAAGGAGATTTATACTCAGTAAATTATGAGGTAGTTTTGGTGGTTCTGTTGTCAAGGCATTACTACTGGTTGCTTGTTCAGTTGGCATCATCAACTGCGTCAAATATAGAAACATAAAAATATGGAGATCGAAAATTCCACTCTTCCACAATTACGTGTAGAATTTAAGAGAACTCTATGCAGGACAAGTAGAACAATGTTGACTGCACATTTGATTAAGAAGCTACTTGTCCTTCAGGATGACTGACTCTGAAAATGTTTTTCAATGTCTGACCTTTATAAGTTATTACAGTAAGTGACGAGAAACATGCTTCTTCACATACAGTTAAAATCATGTCAAATATATTTGCATTTTTTATACTACTGTAAACATGTTCATTGATTTCACTACATTTTTAAAACAGCAAACAACAGATCCAACAGTAAGACAAATTCCTTTAAGTACACATTTACACATTTGTTGGTTTCTTTGTTTTTTGACTGGGTTTTACGTCATACTAACACAGTATAGGTCACATGGCGACTTTCCATCTTTACTGGTGGAGAAAGAACTCAAGTGCCTGTCTGTGTTTTATTTTAGACACAAATGGGCACAAGAGTAGAACTACCTACATTCCGTGAGATAGATGTATAGCTTTCTCACATGAAAGAATCTGAAGACGTTTATGTGACTCTAACCTGCAGCAGTGAGAGCCAAGTGGTTTGAAGTCAATGACCTGGACATTGTATGTACATGTGCAGCTTTAAACTCTATTTTAACCTTTAATTTAAGAACAATAAATATATAAATAAAGAAAACTTACAGAGAGTTGATGGATAGTTAACTCTATAATTAAACTGATCTTATTACTGAACATCATATGATGGCAATTATCATAGTTTCCTTTACATGCCTGTTTTAATACTTGACATGTCAACACCAGAGACCTGTAATAGTAAAACAAATAGAAAGATAGATAAAAATTGAGTGAACCTAATTTTTCTTTGCACAAACAATTTTGATAACTTTTTACCAAAAATGAAATAATGAACTATTATATTTTCATCCTCCTCTATCTAAAGGATTACTTTCTTCAAGCACTGAGCATAAATGCACATGTTGGATATACTGCAGAATGCAACATTTAGTTACACATTCAAAGTGACAGTGGCCATAGGAGAGTTCTGATTCAAAAACAGCAACCATCCCATGTTATATAATATAAAATATATAAATATAACCAATTATATATTTGACTTACTTTTGAGGCACAGGTGGTTGTGTCTGTATGTTTGCTATATCTACTAGCTGTATGATACGACTCAGTGTTGTTAAACCACCTAAATGTCGAAAACTACCCTGGTCAGAAAACACCTGTAATAAATATTGCAAACATTTTTAGTGTAGAAATTAATTTTTTTTAAATTACTTAAACTTCACAAAAAGACAATTTTCCAGAATAAGATACATGTAGTTTCCCGTTTTCAATTTTACATGTACTGATATTTATGATAAACCTTACGGTTGTTTTCACATTGAAATAAAGAATTTATGTCTATTTTGGCATGGCACTATAAAGGTCAGGCACAAACAAATGAGCCTATGACTGAAAAATCCGAATCAACAAAATAAATGGTTAACATTGTTTGTTTGGTTTGAAAGCAAATGCTAACACAGTTTTACGCGTATCATGGCAATCAGTCCAACTAACCAACTACCCTGGATAACTTTTCAATAATTACCAATTTCCCAGCTAGTAGCTGACTACTAATCCTACATGATTTCTGAATCCGTGATGAGAGACAAATGACCATTAGACTTAATGTCCGCGGTCAATTATCATGGAGAAATTTTATCTCACTCAAGGATATAACCAGCCACCCTGGGATTACACACAGAAAATTTTCCTATTGAGTTAAACAGGCTGAGATATATTTTGTGCAACAGCAACTCAGTGGCCGAGTGGTTAACACGTCTGACTAGTAATCTTAGGACTGCTGACCATACGGGTTCAAACCCTGTCAGGGGCATGCCGTTGTTTCCTTGAGCAAGAAACTTTACATTCACTGCTTAGTACTCGTTGGTTCCAGGAAAGGATTCGAGAGTGTTTCAATAAGTTAAAGTTTATGGAAAGGAATTAATATAAGTGTTATGCTTGTTTTCCAATCCATATACATTGTGATGTAAAAATGTTACATGCTTGTAAAAAATTGATGAATAAAATATGTTTAAACTGAAGTTTCCAACACAATCAAACTAAAATAAATTTGTGCAAACTAATAACACCTTACAACTTTAAAGAATATTTCATTTGTCATACCTTTTTGTCAAATATTCTGTTTAGCTCACCAAGAGCTCTGTCAAGTGCAGATACGCGACTTTGAGACCAGGGACCACTCTCCGTTGACTGCAAGTACTTGTTAATATCTCTTATTACTTTCTGCATTCTGAGAAGAAACATATGTGCACATGTCAAACTAGAACTATCGCTGAATGCGATTCATACCCCCACCAATGTCCTTGACAGAAGAGGACTTGGAAAGGTGGTTAAGGCAATAACTTGTGTGGCATAAATACATAAAAAGAAATTATCTCTGGTGAAAAAAAGACTAACAGTACAGGTAATAGTATAAATATATTATCAAATCATGTTCGAAACAGTTACAAAAAACCTTTCATTTTCCCTATGTACTAAACATTTTAATTTTTAAGTCAATTTTTGACCTTCAAGTGTGGCCTTGACCTTAATCTGGCACACGGGTAACATGGGTTTTGCACATCGCCCAGTTGGGGTGAACATTTGAGTAAAGTTTGAAGAAAATCCTTCCATTAGTATAGAATTTATAGAGCCGACACAAAATACTGTCTAGTATTGATTGTATGTAAATTTGAAGACTTAAAAAGGGGCATAACTTTGTCAAAATGCAAAACAGAGTAATGAAACTTGACCTGCATATCTTATTTGCGACATCTCATATATCTTAAAGTTTCAAACAAATACCTGTGCTAGTTTCAGAATTATTCAAGTACATGTTAAAATTTAAGAACATTTTCTAAGTCAATTATTGACCTTCAAGTGTGACCTTGACCTTTAGAAGGCACAAAGGTGACATAAATTCTGCACATAACCTTGTTGAGGTGAACATTTGAGTAAAGTTTGAAGAAAATTCTTCCATTAGTATCGGATTTATAGAGCCGACACGACATATTGTTATATATTTGATTGTATGTAAATTTGAAGACTTAAAAAGGGGCATAACTTTGTTAAAATGCAATACAGAATTATGAAACTTGACCAGCATATCTTAATTGTGACACTTCAAATACATTTTATGTTTCAAGCAAAAACCTTTTCTAGATTCAGAAATATTCAAATAAATGTTAAAATTTAAGAATATTTTCTAAGTCAATTTTTGACCTTCAAGTGTGACCTTGACCTTAAGCCGGCAAAAGGGTGACATGGGTTCTGCACATCCCCTTGTTGAGGTGAACATTTGAGCCAAGATTGAAGAAAATCTTTCAATTAGTGTAGGACTTACAGAGCAGACACGACATACAGTGTAATATTTGATTGTTTGATATTTGACCTTCAATTGTGACCTTGACCTTGAGCTGACACATGGGTAACATCGGTTCTGCACATCCCCTTGTTGAGGTGAACATTTGAGCCAAGTTTGAAGAAAATCCTTCAATTAGTGTAGGACTTACAGAGCGGACACGACATATAGTGTAATATTTGATTGTTTGATATTTGACCTTCAATTGTGACCTTGACCTTGAGCTGACACATGGGTAACATCAGTTCTGCACATCCCCTTGTTGAGGTGAACATTTGAGCCAAGTTTGAAGAAAATCCTTCAATTAGTGTAGGACTTACAGAGCGGACACGACATATAGTGTAATATTTGATTGTTTGATATTTGACCTTCAATTGTGACCCTGACCTTGAGCTGACACATGGGCTACATGGGTTCTGCACATCTCCTTGTTGAGGTGAACATTTGAGCCAAGTTTGAAGAAAATCCTTCAATTAGTGTAGGACTTACAGAGCGGACACGACATACTGTGTAATATTTGATTGTTTGATATTTGACCTTCAATTGTGACCTTGACCTTCAGCTGACACATGGGCAACATGGGTTCTGCACATCCCCTTGTTGAGGTGAACATTTGAGCCAAGTTTGAAGAAAATCTTTCAATTAGTGTAGGACTTACAGAGCGGACACGACATACTGTCTAATATTTGATTGTTTGATATTTGACCTTCAATTGTGACCTTGACCTTGAGCTGACACATGGGCAACATGGGTTCTGCACATCCCCTTGTTGAGGTGAACATTTGAGCCAAGTTTGAAGAAAATCCTTCAATTGGTATGGGAGTTATAGAGCGGACACGAAAATGGAGACGGACGGACGGACGGACCGACCGACCGACCGACCGACCGACGCGACAAAGCGAATCCATTATAGCCCCCCCCCCCACATTTTGTGGTGGGGGTATAACAAGTTTAGTTTTAAGAAGTCACATTTAAACCATCTTAAAGCAGCTTTCAGCTTTTCTAAACGTTAAATATGCTTTTTTCAGATATTTAGATAAATTGTTTCATATAATTGTCAGATCAAAAGAATTAAGGTGGAAAATGAAATATGCCGACGATATAATACATTAACAATAAGGACACCCCTTGATATCTCTTATCTACCGGTCCGCATTGAAATAAGTTTTATACATGTATTGGGTATCGGAAGTGTATAAAATGAACATACTTGGCTTTGTTATCAGATTCAACAACTGGCTGTTTTCCAATTAAGCTGTTCTCATACTCCAAACCTCTGCAAAGCAAAAAAGGAATATAATGAAATTTGTGATTAGATTTTTATTATGTTTTGATTTTATATGGATGTTTTATTTAGTCGCAAAGACACACAATCAAAAATACAGTTTTACTATTTGTTGATAGAAATACACACTGATAAATAAAAACAACAACAAAAAACAAACAAACAAATAAAACAACTCTCAAATGTAAAATCTGATGTTTTGTCAGAAAATTATTTTACCTTGAATGCATCCTCTGTTTTAATTTCTTGCAGCGTTTCTTCAAAGATTTTATTCTTTCTTTCTCCGATACTATCTTTGGATGGTTGTTATTGTCTGGGGCATTCACAATATGTTTCAAATTGAATGTTTCCTGAAACATAAACAGGATTTTTTAGCTTTCAATTGTAAGAGTAGATATGACATTTAGCGCTACTTCTGTCAAGTGATAGCATCTATAATACTATAGAACCAATATTTACACATTTTAAAATTCATGTTAACTCTTTCTAAAGAAGGAAAAAAATTATTTCTTTTCAAGGCATACTGTGCCTTTAAATGACTAGCCTATCGATCCTGAAACAATACTTACAATTTCTTGTTTTGTCATGGAATTTCCATTATTGTTGTGTCTAAGAGCTTGTTGATGGGTTTTACCTCGTAGATGACTCAATAAATATACTTCTGATGGTATCTAAAATAAAGTAAAAGACATAGTACCAATTTTGCATCATAAAAAATTAAATACCAAAAATAATCATTTCTTCATACATGTATCTATTGAAAGTTGATTCTCATTAATCATCGGTATTGTGTTTAGAGTAATCTTATCACTGGTCTTAAACCACTGAGGTTTTTCGAAATGACAGAACTGGAAATAAATTCTCGAGATCAATGTTCCATTTGACTTAGCTCTAGATCAGTCACTGTTTTCAGAATAACTATTCCAAAAAAAATTCTATGTACAAAAATTCTGTATTACAAATGGGGCATATCTTCCCGGCAACATATGTAGTAAGCTCTGGAGCTTCATTATGATCTTATCTTTATTATACAAAAATGACAGAGAAATACAAATACGTTTTTCTGCTTTCAAACAATACCTTACAGTAAAATATAACAAAATAATATACGTACCAAAGCATTACAAATGGTGCACATCTTGCCGACAGCGTATGGTGTAAGCTCGGGAGCGTCGTTATGATCCTCGGTCGAGTGACGTAATATACTCATCTCAAATGCTTTCTCTTTTATCTGCTTCAACGCCTCCATATGTCGCTGAGAACTCTCCACTTGCTATTTATAGAAAAAACAAGCAAAAATTTTACAGTCGTTGCTTAGTACTGGTTAGTTCCAGAAATAGATACAAGATTGTTGTGTTTTCCTAAAAAATCTGACTAACATAAATTCTGCATAAACTAAAAAGTAAAATATACAAATGAAAATCGTGAATAGAATAGTATAAATATGTTTTATCCTACAATCTACTTAAAGCGATCAGATTCTCTAAAGGGAGTAGTTTATTGTGTGCACAAACCTTTTGCTGAATCTTTTTCTGTAGTTCCTGCTTCTGTTGTTCATGTTGGGCATTTAGTGCTGCCAGTCTCTCCTCACGGTCCCTGTAAGATAAATCATATACCATTACAAGTACTTACTAACATGCTGTTTTTTGGGTTTTTTTCTCAATTATCGACTATATAATCATTAAACAATAAATTTGCTCGAATGACAGTGCCATATAAATAAAACAGAAACGTTTTTAGGACACAGATGCCCCCACATTCAACTGTTTGTCAGTCTATGGACAAACAAGGGCAAATCTATACACCACTAAGTTGGGGCATAAAAATTTCCCTGCAGGGAACAGATAGCAGTTACTTTTTTTATCTTATTTTTTATCCTATTGAAATTCAAAATTTCATTTTAACAAATAGTTCGAAACATAGAAAGCCTTAATGATAATAATACTGGTAAGTGTTCAAATGTTCACTTAAAATTTGTAATTTTATTCATTAGAATTACAAACAACTTGACATCCAACAATGAAAATAACAAACTTAAAATGTTTTTTAATCACAGAAAATGTAAAATATATTTAAGAATTGTATTGTTACTTTTCTTTAGCTCTTAGAGCATCTTGTCTCTCAGTTTCTCTCTCTGCTTTTTGCTGCTCCACTCTCGCATCTTTTATTTTCCTCCTCTCCTTGATTTCCTGCAGACGCGCAAGTCTCTCCGCCTGCAATGTTTTCCTGCGCTCCTCAACAGCAGCTTCTTTAGCTAATTTTTCCTCATGTTTACGCTGTCTCTCATCCTGTAAACCATAGGATATATACATGCAATTACATTATCAAGAGGTATAAATATGTAATTATTATATACAGTTTACTATCTCTTTCTGAAAACCCAGCTCATATACATGTAATAATGATATATATATTATCAAACAGTTCCAACGCTTTTAATGAAATAAAGACCTAGAACCATTGTAAGCTCTGATAGTTGTTAGATGTATATTTCCTAACTTGTTTTCAGATGCATATATTTCCTTACATGTATTATCAGTTAAAACGGATATATATTCACTTTTTATTTATCTTTACTTAAAGTGACATTATGCTCATTTTTTTCAATATCAAATAAGCTGAATTGATAATATTTTTCAAACTAAGACTGATTTACCAACAGTTTATTTTTGAAAATGTTTAGGATAATAGAAACATCGTAATGCGATGAAACCAGGTTTTCAACTTTTAATGTTTCGCAAAAGCTTTGTCATCAAGTGCATATTGTCAGCATTTTTCAACTTAAATGTTGTTGTTTTTTGTGTGGAATTATGGCCTTTGATTTAATTAAGCTCTGTCAAATATTTCTTCTAGTAAAAGTATAATAACTTTATTTAATATTGCAACAATCAACAATCTTCTCTATAAGTACATACCTGTATATCCTGTAATCTAGCTTCAGACTCTTGTTGTTTGGACATCATCTCAAGACGTTTATTCTGAGCTTCTAAACTATTGATAAATGCTATCTCATTGGCCTGAAATATATCACACAAATCAATAAACATCTCAAATTTGTTTTATATATAACACAGATACATGTATTTCTCCCAATTTCTTAAAAACTTCACATGGGAACTACAATTACATATCAAATAAATCTTGGTTCAAATATAACAATCTTATTATCCTGTCTATGTGTAAGCCTTGAAGTATATTTTTTAAATATTAGATTTTAAGCCACAGTCATTGTGCCACTAATTAGCCTAATTAGTGGATAAACACCTCGGGTGCTCCTCTGTGCATCATTCTATTAACAAGGGGTCACCCATTCATCAATTAACAAATTAGCTTTTTTACAATGACCCAATGTCTGTTGCGGAATTTGAATTCACTTAAGTCAGGGGTGAGTGATTTATGGTCAGCGACCTGAACAATGAAAAACCTATCATACAATATTTCTGGTATTATGTTTACAAACTGAAGAATACCTCGACTTAAAAACTTACAAAAAAAAACCTCATAGCAATACAAAGTAACTCTTGCAAGAAGATTTGAATTTTTAGTTGAGAGAAAATTCTGACATTTCTAACTCAAGACCCCCTTGACTGGCCTCACACATTACCTTGGCTTCTTCATCATGAGCTTTCTGAGCTTTAGATTTCAACATAGTTTGTCTTTTCTCCTCAGCTTGTTGCATTTTCCTCTCTATCATCTCCTTCTTCTGTCTCATCAACTCTTCCTTCCATGCCCTCACCTCCTCTACCTTTATATATGTAATACAACAAAATATATATATATAACATGGCATGCATTTTCTATAAATTCTTTTTGGTTGGGTTTTTATGTGGCACCAACACAGTATAACTCAGTATAGGTCAAATGGCCACTTTGGACGAACACCTGAGGTGCCCTTCTGTACATTATTTTCAGGCACAAACAAGCCTTTTTCAACACAATTGTTCAAATAGAAATAATACTAGTATTTCTATTATATTTAATAAGGATGAAAACAAAAATGTTTGCCAATCTTTATGTAACAATTACTTTTTGTGTTGCAAGAAAAACAAGTAATACATAGAGCTTTTAAGAAAACACTGCTGAAAAATAAGTTGCATCACAAAATATAAACTGGAGAAGTGTCCATAGGAAAAGGAAGCCATCCAATACCACTAATTTGTCAGCCTAAAGACAGTGTGACTGAACAACAGCAGAACAGACATAGAAGGCAAATCTATATGCTCAACCCCATCCCTAAGTCCCCAGTGACATAAACAAGAACTGTCGGAGGGCAGTAAGGCTCGACTATTCGAAAAAGTTGTCACAAGGGTGTTTTATTGAGTATAATAATGCTTACCTATGAATACATAAAATTGAACGAAAAGGTACAAAGGCTTGTTATTAAGATGTTTTATCAAGTAAATCACTGCTTTATTATTATGAATGCATAAAATTGTCCCAAAAAAGGCACAAACCCTTCAGTAGTTATGGAGATAACATCTTACAAGCAAAACTTTACCATGAATTTCTAAGTTGAAAAAGGGGAGAAAAATCAGCCTAAATACAAGATAGAATTATGGATCTTGGTATGTGACCTACAATTATGACCCTAAATGCATATGTGAAGTTTTAAATAAATATCTTTAATAGTTATTGAGATATGTAAAACTTGCATGTTAACATTAACCAAGAGGCTAAGTAAAAAGGGGGAGATAAATCAGCCTAAATACATGACACAGATTAAGCGCTGTTCAGTGATCATTATTTATGACCACAAATATACATATGAAGTTTCAAGTTTGTATCCTTAATAGTTTCAGTTATATGCAAAACTTGCATGTTAAACTCAACCAAGATGAGATTTTTTTAGTACAAAAAGGAACATAATTCAGTGAGTAATGAATCTTGAGATGTGACCTTCAATTATGACCCTAAGAACATGTGTAAAGTCTCAAGTAAATATCTTTGAAGACCTTTAACCTTTAACCAAAATTTCTAAATTTCAAAGGGGCAAATAATTCTGCAAATATTGCAGGCAGAGTTATGCAACTTTGCAAACTGATGTACATTGTTACTATAAAAAGTATTGTAAATTTCAATTGAATATCTCAAGCAATAATTGTGATATTTGACTTTACAAAAAAACTTTAACCAAAATTTCTAAGTTAAAAAGGGGCATAATTCTGTAAATATTGTAGGCAGAGTTATCCAACTTGTCAATCTGATGTACATTGATACTATAAATAAGTATAGTAAGTTTCAATTGAACATCTCAAGCAATAATTGAGATATTTGACTTTACAAAAAACTTGAACCAACGCAGATGCCGATGCTGACACTGACGCCGGGGCGATACTGATGTACAGTCTGTAGATTTATGACAATACCTTTAGGCCAAGAATTCTCAGTCTTTCTGACTTCTCCTGCATTAGTTTGTCTCGTAATTCTTGTGCCTTAGCTTGTTTCTCCTCATGACGTTTCTTCGACTCTGTTGGTGATCTACAATGTTAACAGTGAGATATGATTTATATCACATTCTGACCTTTACTACCCTAAATATCTTAAATGGAATAGTCCATCTTTCAGTGGCGACAAAAGTTTTCAATCAGGACAAAAGTTTTCAATCGGGACAAAAGTTTTCAATCGGGACAAAAGCTTTCAATCAAGACAAAAGTTTTCAATCGGGACAAAAGCTTTCAATCGGGACAAAAGCATTTAATTTTTTGGAAAATTTCAAACTAAATGCTGACTTAATAGCAAAAAGTGCAGACCATAACCAGAAAGCATGTGCAGTGTAACTTCTGAAAACCGAACACCTGTGGGACTAGCCAAAAAGTTCGGAATTTAGAAGTTTCCGGAATTCAGAAGTTTGGAATTATCTGAACAAGTAAAAACATTAGGTTAACATTGAACATCAATTGTTTAAGATATGATAAAAATTATAGGAAGCTTATTAAATTAATAAAATGGCAAAATTACAGGACTTTTAAAAGTTATAACTACATTGTATAATATATTATTAAATTTCATTATCACCTTTAATTGAATTTGTTGTTAAAAAAACATAATTTCATGTTGTACCAGCTATATGTAAACTGTATGTTTTGTTTTTGTTTTTCATCACAATATCCTCTCATTTTTTATTTTTCACACTTAAATCAAGTGTTTGACATGGGTGACAGGTTGTGATCGTAATAGGTGTCAAGATTTCTGCTAATTGGAATATACTGAAGGTTTTACAATCTCAATCACAATATTCCTTCGTCCATTTTCAATTTCCGGATTTTGGAAGTAAATTTGAATTGAAGTAACCCAAATTTTACCGGAAAATCGTTCGGAATTCAGAATTTAGAAGTTCCGGAATTTAGAGGTATTTATTACATAGAAAACAGAGGGAGAAATTTCGGGACCCTGAAAAATGTTCGGATTTCAGAAGTTTCCGGATTTTAGAAGTTCCGGAATTCAGAAGTTACACTGTATGTAATGCATAATCTTTGTCAGCATTAGTTGCATGGGTAGATTCAAAATCACCAGTTGGCAAAGAGTTATAGCATTTATTAAGACATAAAATTCATATATTCTAGGCAGCATATTTCAATTATTGTGTATCCACATTACCAGAAACAGTAAAGCAAAACTTACCGACCAATATTCAAGATCTATAAATAGATATATCTTTATGTATTACTCACTAAAATCTTTACTGAAAAGACGCCACATTTTGCTGAACAAAAATCGAGATCTATAAATAGATACCTTTAAGTCTTATAACTAACAGTAACTGAAATCTATTTGGAAAAGAAGCCTCATTTTGAAATAAAGTTTTTGATTATTAACAAACCTTTTTCGAGAGGGAGAGGAAAGTTTCTCGTGCATGTGAACAGCATGTCCAGGTGTCCGTGTGTCAGCTTCATCAACCATCTCTCCCCAATCCTTCGACTGCCCAGACCTCTCAGCAGCTAGAATTAAAAATACACAATATAAGAAAAATTCATATGAAGAATCTGACGTCCCTAGCCCAGATAAGAAACCAGTCGATTAAAGGGCAAATGATAAAGAGTTAACTTACCATCGTATTCCGCTACCATGGCATCCCAGTCTAATGTTCCTGGTGTTGATGCTTCTAATGAACTCATTGTATTCTATAAGTTTGGAGAGGAAGAGAAAAGAGAAACATATCAATAAACTTATACTGATGGTTTTTAAGCATAATTTACAGCATGTATGGTGCTGACATGGGCACAGAAGCTGATGCCCAGATGAGTAGTAAAGCTGTCTCTACCATTCAAATAATCAAGCTACTGCTAATAACCATTATGTTCTTAAGCACTTATTTCATGATCATTTATTACTAATGAAATATAACATTTTTAAGCTTGAGACTCCCATTTCATATTTTAATACCATCCTCCCCCACCCCATTATCCTATTAAGCTATGACTTCAACTTTTCACATTACATTCAAAACCCAGTTAATTAATCATCACTTTGGAGGTTTGAAAACCTGAGTGATTAATTATAAAGCATTTAAAAGATACACTATACACTAATCTACCAAAACCGAAAAACATATGATATCTTTCTTTTAATCTAACCGAATCTTAATACATTGTATGATTGAGTTTACAAGTAAGTTTCATAATGTTATTTGATTAATTAACATCACATCAGATGTTAATAAGTAAACATTCTTTTCCTTATTCTATGCATTACCTTATAACAGTGTACTTCAGCTCTCCATCTCGAATTAGTATAAAAAGTGTAACACTCAAATTTCTAACCACACAAGTGTTACCATTAAACTTCTAACTACACAAGTTAGTTAAGAACCTACCCCGAGTTCACTCTCTGTCTCAGTTTCTACGTCTATATCTGTGTTCTCCTCCCTCGCTAATTCCTTTAACAGAAGACATGTCATTGACACAATCCAATTTTAGAAACAAAGATGCCAAGTAAGCACCAAGCAAACACAAGCATAATTAAACAGCATCTAGGCAAAATATCTATAGTCATTTACAGACCTTTTATTCCTAAAGTGACTATTATTTTCAGCGCAGTGGACTTATTATACAAAACCTTTATGGTATGCTTTTCCTAACTTTAAATTATCTTTGTTTCCCCTCCCGCGACCAATGCCAGTTTCATTAGGGTAGGCAGGTAGGGCAATCTTTTTCCCTATGTAACGGTATATGGATTAAAAATATGTGAATGCTTAGCATGTTAAAGTTTAGAACTATATTTTCAAAGTTTTATTCAACATATACCCTGAAATACATACAATTTAATAAAAAAAAAACTGAGACAGATATATGAAGATGTGATTCTCATTTACAGACTTCTTGCATGTTTAGTAAAAATAATGATATGTTTTTGGGTTTGGAAGTACAAATTTTTGGGTAGGTGAGATTTTTGAGGGTAGGAAGGGAGGGGAAACAAACAATATTTTATTTTAGGCCCTATTACTCTGTATCATAACAATGGACTATTACAAAATCAAAAAAAGCAGCCGCATTAAATAAGTAAAACCAAGGGAAGTAATACCCCCCTAAAATGGCCCCAATTAGAAAATATGACACAGCTTGTAGTGTTTAATACTGGTTTAACCTTAGCCTAAGATAATATACAATGTTACTGGATGTTTACTTTCAGCCAAGATTCCTCCTCCTGTATGGCCGACTCTAGGGCCTGGTTCTGTTCTTTCTCCCACTCATCTTGCAAACAATTCTCCGCATCTTCAGCTGTAGCCAATGCCTTTAACATAAACACAATATATCTATAGTACAATGTATCATACACATATAAATATAAACTACTGTAATGTATTGAATTAATTTCAAAAGACATTAATTTGAAATATCTTGAAAAAGTGATCCATTGGAAGCATTAAAAACAATGCTAAATTACATGACTCAGTTTGATTGAGTCTAAACACAAGTGATAATGAAAATGTGCAACATGCCTCATGTGAAAGACACATGAAAACTTTGAAAATTTGAATTTTAAAAGAATTTGAATTCAAGAAAACATCTAACAATACCTTCAAGTTAAAATTAATTCAAATATTTATCCATATATTCAAAAAAAAAAAGGAAGAAAAAAAGTCAAACATTTTACCACTTCATAAATTCAGAGATTTCAAAAAATAACTTTTACCTGAATTTATAAATCATTTCTAGATCATAAAACTTTCCAATACTGTCATACAGTTTAAGATTTCATTTTTGGAGAGAGCATTATACAATTCCTTTTGAAAACAAATCATAATCTATAAAACACACAGAGACTTATATTACTCACATCATCTATCTGTCTCACAGAAGTATCTTCATCCTGGTCCACATCAACATTATCTACATCTTCTGTCTCCATAACATCAATTCCTTTACCTTCACTCATATCTTCAAGAACAGTTTTAATATCCTTTTCGGTGCTGTCATTTTTTCCTTTACTAGCTACAGCATTTAGCTCAGTTAGACTACCACTGGAGCTTTTAGAATTAATATCTTCTTCTTTCATATCTGTTTGCTTTGTGCCTTTACCAGCATCTTTTGTTACATCCGTACCCTTTGCAGAAGGTTTTCTTGTGTGTGGTTTTGTTCTAGATGTGTTGCTTTTATTGTTCGGATCCTTCAAATCTTTGCTTGCCTTGTATCTACTTTCAACACTCCTTCTTGGAAGTCCCGGGGATTTCTTATTTATAATATTATCAGTCTTTTTAATCTCACTTACTGAATTTAAACTTGGACGGTTCTCTTTTTCACTATCTTTACTATCAGTTCTTGGCCTTTGGAGTGGTTTTGAAATGTCACCATTTGGAATGATTTCCGGCCTCTCTCCCTCATTACTCCTACCATGAGTGTCTAAAGGCGGACTTGTACCTCCTTTAGTGGTAACTTTGTTGTTTACTTTGGAATGGTTTGTCCTTTTTTGGTACTTTTTAATTGATGCATTTGGTTCTGAGACAGATCTGAAGGAAGAAAAAATTACATTTACAGTACATTTTACAATGTATTTAAACCAGACTACAAACTGTTTTTTTATAAAAAAAGGTTAATGGTAAAGTACACAGGTTTACCAAGAAAGATACAGTGATCAGAAGTAACAGGTACTTGAAATCTCAAGACATGGTACATGTTTGTGAGCCACGTCACGACAAAACCAACATAATGGGTTTGCGACCAGCATGGATCCAGACCAGCCTGTGCATTCGCGCAGTCTGATCAGGATCCATGCTGTTCGCTTATAGACCCTATTACAAGTAAAGAAACTGATAGCAAACAGCATGGATCCTGATCAGACTGCGCAGATGCGCAGGCTGGTCTGGATCCATGCTGGTCTCAAACCCATTATGTTGGTTTTGTCTTGACGCAGCTCTTGTGTAGGCTTGCAAGACATGGTACAGTGGTTTGTTTATCCACTGTGATTATATCATAATATTATATGTGAACTTTTAGGTCAAGGTCATTCTAAAATTGATAAATTATATATGAAAGCTTCATTTTCATTTATTAATCTTAACTGCTTATCAAAATTTCAACAATTCTACCATCATTCAGAAGCTGAAAATTATTTTTTAACTGTTCTTCAAGTATTTTATCTAAAATTAAATGTAACAAAGTGAAATACAATATAAACAAGCAATTATCATAGTATTGCAAGCAATCCATAAGTCCCCTACCGGTTAGAACCCCAGCAACATTCTGATTTCAATTTTACCAGTGAATGAATGACATGAATGAACTTAAATCTTTTGAGTTCTAAGTTTGTCTATTTCACAGTAATGTGTTAAGTTTCCCTGCCTAGTAAGGCAATTATGTTTATACAACCTTGTCATATTTTTAATTACGATGTGGGATTTTAAAGTAAATCCTATAAGGAATGAAGAAGTTGGAGTAAAATATACCAATTTCTTGAAAAAAATCTAAGTTCAAGGGGGACATAATTCTGGAAATAGTCTTGCTAGAGTATTTAACCTTCTCAAAAATGTTGAGTGATAATAAGAAACATATATATGAAGTTTGAAGTAGATACATTATGAAATAAAGAAGTTCTTTAAAAAAGACAACAATTTTTTTCATAAAAATTCTAAGTTCAAGGGAGGTAATACTGATAATTTTTGTGCTTGAGTTGTAAACCTTGTCACATATGATGTGGTTGATGACCAGAAACTTATATTTAAAGTTTGAAGTAAACACCTTAAGAAATAAAGAACTTATAGTGAAAAAGCTGAAAAAATTAAATCAGAAATCTTGAAATCCAGGCTATTTGTTGCCATAGCAACCAGAATTTTTAACATAGGAAGAAAAGAAAAAGATGTGCATAATCTGCAGACTGCCATCTACCCATATTTTATGTTTCATAAAAATATTTTCAGTACTTTTTGAGTAATCACTGGATCCAGTTTATGTGTTAAATTGCCATATTTTCAGACTATTTGTTGCCATAGCAACCAGAATTTTCAACATAGGAAGAAAAGAAAAAGATGGCATAATCTCCATACTGCCATCTATCCATATATCAAGTTTCATAAAAATATTTTCAGTACTTTTTACGTTACGGACAGACAGACAGACGGACGGACGGACAGACGGAGGGTAAACCTAAAGTCTAGGGGACTAATAAGATGCAATTTACATTTAAATGAGATTTGTTCAGCATTTCCTTTTTTTCAAAATAATTAGTGGCTTTAGGTATCTTTTGCTAATGAAATTTCAAAACATTAAAAGCACTTTATGCATTGGATAGAAGGGAACTTAAAATGTTTACACATACAAAACATAGTTTATTTGTTTCTGCTTCAATTTTTTTTCAAGTCAAATAAATGCAGCTAGGGTCATATGATTAAAATTCAGTTGAACTAATGGAGAAAGATCTCAGGTGTATCTACTCTCAGAATCCAAGTCAACTAATTGACAATCAGTAAATTAATTTTTTGGAAAGATTCTCAGTTTAAAACCCCTCAACTTGTCTTACAAGATTCCATTCGAATCAACAAAATAAGAGGGCATGATACATAAACAATACACATTAAAAGAGATTACCTAGTAAGTTTATGATGTTCGTTCTTGATCACTGTGTGCAAGTTTTCCAGCGAACGCTGCGACGGTGACCCCCAGGATTTGGTCTTCCCTCCACGATGAACAGTCTCCCAACCATCATCCTCTTCTGATTCTGTATTTGATAAAAAAATAAATTTGTTTTGGTTTTTGGTTAAGCTCTGTTCAACTGAATACTTGGTCACTGAATAGTTTATAATAAATATACATTTGAATTTTGGTTTTATTTTGGTTAAGCACTGGTCAGCTGAATTGTTCTTCATTCATGCATGAAAAAATGTTGCAGCATTTACTAACCCATTTATATACAGGTTTCTACCAACATATAATATAAACATCAATCAACTGTAGAATACTAGCAGTAATACATTCGACAAATTTCCATAAAGCCATCAAGGAAAACATGGCCAGGACTCACATATACAAAGTACACAGACTTAAATGATCAAATAAATATCAAATATAAAGGCAGCCAAAAACACAATAATTAATGAATCAGATTCAGAATGCCTGATGCCTAAAGCAATTTTAATTAATCTGATTGAGACTTGTCACCCTTTAGATATAGAAAATCTGTTTTAAAGTTCACTGCTTCTGAAGACTGTTAAATTTTAATGCTTTCTTGGTCAATATGTAAGTTGAGACCTGTTTATACAAACCAATTCAGGGTTCATACAGACATTTAATGCCAAAATTCAAGGACTTTTTAAGCACTATTTAAGCACGTATTCCATTTTTTAAGCACATTTGTTGCACATATTCCGAAACAATCTTCAACCTAAGGATAGTACATCAAATACAAATTAGTTCAAAACAACTGCAATTTGTCCACTTACTGTTACATTGAGCAAACATTTCATTGATTTTGATACTAAATTGGATCATTTCTTTTTATTTTGTAATATGTTGATTTTTATCAACACTATGTCATTCAATCATTTTCAAGCATATTTTCAGCAAATTTAAGCACTTTTTAAGCACTTTTCAAGACAGTAATCAGATTCAAGGACTTTTAAGCACTTTTTTACATTTTTTAGCACTTTTTAAGAAAATGACTCAAATTAAACACTTTAAGACTGTACGAACCCTGCAATTTTAAGGACTTCTCTTGCCCTTTAACTATGCTAAGTAAAGTTATTATTACATGTGTTTAAATAAGTAGGATATCTGACTCACCATTAATTTCTCTATAAGAATCCGACTCTGTCAATGAAGACGGCACAGGGGAGAGAACTGGTGGTTCAGGCAACACAGGATGATCCTTCAGAGGAGTTACTTCCCTTGAACTATCAGTTACTGGACTGATGGCAATACCTTTAACCCGGTCTGCCCAACTATTTCCAGTACTTGGTGGACTAAAATAAATTGAAAATACATGATCTCACAGGGATAAAAGATGTTAAAAAATCTTTTTTAATTTTTGTTTCACCTGTTTAATTTCCTTTTTTTAAAAGAATTCAATAAAGAATATCAAAACAGGAAAAATTAATACAAGTACTATGTAACAATGCCAGATTGAAATTTATAATCAATAAAAAAATTTGATTCAACGGTTAACATCATTAATATCTGCTATCTTTTGCATTTTATCAGCTATTCTATAATAATGCAGTTTTCGGTTTATGAGAGGCTATCTGCCTTTTTCAGGCACTCACTCAGTCATCGAATTTAGCACTGGCCCGGTGGCTCATAGCCAGTGAAAATTAGTTCGGGCCAGTGTAAAGTTTAAGAAAATTAAATATTAATTAAATTTAAATATATAGTTGAATAAATTCAAAACTGGAATTCGGGCCAGTAAATTCAAAATCTTAAATTCAATGACTGGGCACTAGAAATAATATACCAAAGTAAAAGCTCAATTGAAGGGGCAAACAGAACGTCTACAGAAATCCCCAAAAAATCAAGGTCAACAAAAAATTCTTACCTTGGTTTAACAGCTACATTTTGTTCTGGATATGAGAAATTGAGTGCCCTCTGAGCGGGACTTGGTGATGTGCGATGACTCATGCCACTCGGTGACTTCCCCGGGGACATCTTACGTACCTCCCATGCTATAGATGTAGGTCTGAAAACAATCCAAAAAAGAAATATAAATCTTTATTTAAAAATTGAGCTATAAATCATAAATAAGAAATACATTTATTACATGCTTTTCCATGGTTTATTGAAATATATCAGTAAAATATAAAACTGATATTCTCACTGTTTGAAAGAGTGAAAATACCAATTTGATATTTTTAACTGTTTTGAATTTAAGCCAATTGAAATCAGTGAAAAAACAGCATGCACAGTACTGGAAACCAACTTAATGATGTGACGTTGTGAATGAACACCAAAAATTTACAATTCACTCATGGTTGCGCCACTCGTGAAATATACCTTTTGGTCCTCACTCGGTGAAAAATATTCAGATCTCAAACTGAACTAAACAAATATCCTCTATGCACTTTCCATTAACATATAAAAATCAGTTTTTGAGTGGTAAAAAAAGAATTTTAAGAAGCAAGAATGGGTTGTGTTAAAGTAAGTGATAACTGAAATACAAACCTATCCCCCTCTTTGGTAGCCTGTTCAAACTCTTTCTGTACATGGAGTCTGTCTATCAACGACTGGAAATCCTTTGTACTTTGTACTAACATCATAATCACTTCCTGTTGACATAAAGAAAAACATCATTTCATCATAATATATAAAACATTACAGAATTGAAATTACACAACAAGGTCCTTAACTGTTAACAGGAGTTTACAATAATCAGTTTAAAAAATAAAGAAACGCCTTTGAAGGAAAAAAAAGGAATTCAATTTGATGTGTATGATTTTAATAGATGTTTTAATCATCTAAGTGATTCAGATGACAGTGTTTTTCTGCACAACAGTGCAGCAGTCAGCACAATGTCAAACTCCGCAATACGCACAATTTAAGAGTCTGTCACACTTTAACAAAGTTATTAGCTTTGCCACCATGCCAACCTGCACATCTGTGACTCTGTACTGTTGGTAGCAAATTTTGTTTCTATTTTGATAAAAAAATCCTTTAAATTTCAAATGGACCCTTATATTTCAAATAGACTTTTCCAAAGCACAGCAAATCCATTACACAAACGCCAGCAGTTTATTCACATCTAACACCTTATTCTTGTTTCTTTATAGGTATATAGATATGAATTAAAGACAGCAGTTTATTCACATCTAACACTTTATTCTTGTTTCTTTATAGGTATATAGATATGAATTAAAGACATGAACATATCTTACACGTAAAATATACACGAATATCACTGTAAGGCATAAAATACTATGACATCCCATAAAATATTGTTACGTTATAAGTAAAGTATAGTTATGCTCCCCAATATGGTTCATTCTGTGGCATTGTTAAATGAACCACAAACACACACAAACACACATACACAAAAGATATTTCACTACTTACACGACATTCTAGCGCACTTTCATCTTGCTCACATGTCTCGTAGATGGCATCTACAGCTCGTTGTAGATTATCAAACAGGAACTTCCAGTACCTCGCTCTCAAGTCGGGTTTCTTGCCGCCATCAGATTTCGGCGATTTTGTGAGGTCCGACTTAAAGCTGGATTTCAGATCATTGGCTTCCTTTGGTACAGGTTTGTTACGTGCCTGACGTGCACGGGAACGATCTGAAACAACAAATAAATTAATGTTATATATAAATGATTTCCTTTTTACATCTTATAAGTGTATTCCATTTGGATGCATACAAATTAAGTACATATTGATTGATTTGCTTAGGTTTTAATAAGTGGTGTCAAGGTTAGCAAAAATATTTACTGGTTCATCAACCTAATAACCATGTCACATGTAAATGTTTAACCAACTGTACAAGAAGAACTCTTAAGATTTTAAATATTTACTCTTTATGACAAAATATGGCATTTAGTTTATATTTTGTTGTACTCAACGAGATATCCAATCAAAGAGTAATTATTTTTCCATGGATGTGAGCTAAAATCTTTTTGAATTCCATAAAACAAAAACGACAACAAATTTTAGAGGGCAGAAAAGGAAGCAAGCATACCTGTGCCTAGCTGATTATCTTGTACGGGGACATGATAGATAACAAGATTTCGTGCTGTCCTGCCCTCCTCCTGTACAATCTTCTTCACTCTATCAGAAGTGTTCATCCTTGAAGACATACCATCACGATACTGTAAGATAAAAGTTATGATTTACGTTACTTTTTAAGAGGTTTACTAAGTAATGCTACATTGACAGATTGACAGACAGACTGACTGTCAGGTGCACAGCTACAATACAAAATGAAATCATTCGGGCATATAAAAATGTTTATCAATTTTAGTTCTCAGTACAAGAGCTTGGAATTTGCTGGATTTCTCAAAGGAGAATATTTTATTCAAAATCCATGCTAGGATTGTGAGTTTCAGACCAACAATTATTTTTAGTAGTAATACCTAATGAAAAAATACACAAAAGAGAACTTCAAAGTTGAGGTTCAAGAGAAAACCTTCATGGGTAAATGCAATAAGAAATTGCACATAATAAAATAAAACAAGTTTCATGATAATTAAAACTTCTAAAGCAGTGAGACACAAATATTTAGTTGGAGACCCAAAATTCTTTGAATAGTCCAACTAATAATTGGTTGGTTTGAACATAGTATATAATGTGGCGTGATAGCTCAGTTGTCACTGACTGTCACTCCTTAGGTTCCGGGATAGATCAAGGGTAACACCCTTGAGATTTTTCAGAGACACTTTTAGTGTTTCCCACCTACCAGGTAACTTAGAGGTTAGTCAAAATATATTGACGTGCCAAAGCTTGATTCTGAGATATTTTCGTTCTGGGGCAGAATCTCGCTGATATTGCCCAGACACGAAAATAGCACAATATCTTGTCGCGCAGTACAATAAGTTGGACTACCTAGAGGTATACTGGTATGAAACCCAGGTAATCCTTGCATGTATCAGTGATATACACTGAGCATGTACTATTGTACAAGAAGGCAATTAACTAGACCAGTGTCTGAGGGCAGACATGCATCAATACTAGAAGTATAGTACTTACGTACCCGAGTACTGGTATACATGTCTGGTCTGAGGTCAGGATAATAGCAATTTTGTTAATGTGCCTTCTTTTATGTCTATACCAACTCAATGTTAATAACCTATGTTTTTACATGTCATTTCACTCTTTTAATCTTTAAAGCAATTTAAGCTACCATTTTAATTTACCGGTATGTTCCAAAAGTTTATGTCTTTATGTGAAAGTTTAAGGATTTAGTAACAAACCGTTTTCCTATACAAGAAGTACTAAAAAAAATACCTTTTTTGCACAATTTAGTACGCTTACACGTGATGATTAAACCACCATACTGTATTTCCTCTAAAAATATCATCACAAATTCAACAGTGTTCAAGTTCTTGTCCAAAAATGTTGTAAACATATTTAAACATCCTATTTAATACGCTTCAAATTACAATATTTTCTTTACAATACACATATAAAATCTACCTGAACTACATCATTAAAACCAACATTATAAACTATTATAATTCTACACACATGACTAATAATTATATAATCCAAATATACTGTAACACATCCTTTGATGATATAACATTCACAGTATTAATTAACTATAATACGCAGCACACTCCCTATATGACCTTGAAACTTTTCTATACTGGTAATAACTGCTAATAACTCCTACAGGTTTTATTGTGTATAAGATACAGGTACTGCTAGTTTATGATAAATGTTAGGTACCTGTACATTATATAGTGTATACTCATTCAGATCATTCAGAGATAAGCTGAAAGTTATTCCCATGCTCTTAAATACATATATATACATGTATTATCATTACAGGTAAATAAACACTACACTTCTTAAGGCAAAAAGAAAAACATATGGTTCTTAGCTGCATTGACATTTAAATAAATTTTCCATTACCTTAATTTGCTTTTAATTGGGAACTTTAGAACTGGCATTAAGATCTATCCTTACCACATTGAATAATAATTAACTTAAATGGACCAGTCCATTTTTCAATCTGGACAATACCATTGGCAGGAAGATCTGTACTGACTAAATAGTGAATGATGCAGACCATATTTAAATCAGACTGCATGGAAACACACTGGTCACATGGGTAGAATCTCGTGCCACTGTGTAACCTGTTTGCTATTTAGTCAGTATAGATTTTAAAAAAATTCCCTATAAATGATGAATAGTTTGATCCAGACAATTCCATTTAATATATTTAGAGGGGTATGGGTTAAAATTAATCACTTTAACTTATTATAAACTACTGAATCTTTAATATGAGTTTTTCCAATTTCATTTTTGGAACAGTCCATTAATAATTTTAGGTGAGTCATGAACAATGAATCTGTCTGGTTTATTGTACTAAATATGTCATTTGTCCTGGATCTATGTCAGCCAGAGAAATAAAACACCATGTTTTCTAATTATAGATATATATAGTATATAAAACACAAACTCAATGTATGTCATATCATAGAAAATATTCATAACACTTATTTGTTTTGTTACCGTAAGTATTGTAAACCATAAGTAAATGTAACAGTAAACAATAATTTTTAAACAATGACACTCCTGTTAAGGTATCAATATCTAGAACATGGATTGATAAAATAATGGGAATGACCCATGTAAATAAGATGTTGTTCTGACAAATCAGATATGCCTTAACAGAAAGATGAAAGATCACATCTGTCTTGAATTTCCAAGAGACTGCTTCAAAAGGTAAATATTGCGAGGACTTTAGAACATTTGCACTACCAATACCATATTTACATGCAAATGCTCAGTGTCAAGAGAAAAAGAGTAAACAGTTTCTGATAGCAACCTGGGTCATAAAAATCTATTTTAAGTTAAGGTGGTCTGAACACCATACGCAGCTCCATATAATTTAGTTGTGTGTTTTTATTTTTAATAAATAGGACTATAGGAAATATTAATATTACCAAAGCTTTATTTTCTTGAGGTTACTATGACAGTGTCCAAAGGAAGGAAATGTATAGTATAAGACAGCAACACAGCTGTTTCATTATTAGTGTAGATTGTGTGGAGATGGAGACACAGTTCTATACACATCATGTATAACATGTACATTGGTAGTTTGTTGAGATAAATTTATATATTCAATACATTATAATTATGTATGGGTGTTTTATGAAATTATTAATACTTGATGATTTATTATCATCAATGCTTTGCAGAATCATTGGTCTCTAATGAATAGGTATATACATGTAGCCTGAGGAAAATTCTATATTTCTTTGTTAATTCATGTAAGTGTACAAAGCTAAACAAGAGGGTCATGATGACCCTTATTATAATATCGCTCACCAGATTATAAAGGCTCTTAATCAATATTGTAGCAATGAATGAAAAGTATTCTGATATTATAACCTTCATATCTGGACCTGAAATAGTGCAACATTTTTAATGTAAATAAAGTTTATCCATATATGGGCTGTCACCTAGTTTTTGACCCCCGATGTCACATATTCGAACTTGACATACAACTTTTCTGTAAAGCTATTCACTGTAAGCTTGGAATAATTGTTCGTTATCAACACTGAGGGCAATGAACCCAGAGTCATTTTAGCTTTTTAACTTTAACATACATAACCAAAGAGAAATAATCAATTGAATCATATTGCTTGAAATTGGTAAAGGTGATTTCCCTTGGTTATTGTATGAATCGGTATAATATATGTTTCCGCCGTTTTCTGAGTTTTGATAATTTTTATAAAAGGCAGACATGTTTTTCAGTTGTTGATATATTTGTAAATTATATAAAGAATTGTGGATTTTGGATTTAGGTTGGTACAGTTCAATATTGGTTGCTTATTTTGTTTAAGTGACTTACAAATAAGCTGTTTGTCTGAGGTTTATTTACAGAATATATTCATGTATATTGTACATGATTTGTTAACAATGCATCTGATAATCATTAATGGCAGCATAATTATATGTACTTAAAGTTAAGTATCTATTTGCACTTATTAGAATAAATCATTGTCATTTTCTATTGTGCAAATGTTAATTGCAGTTTGTTGCAGTAACACCACATTACAGTATTTTCGTGAATGTTTGTCATTCGAGCCCAATCCACATTCTATAAGTTTCACTCTATTCATTTGATAGGCCACTGGATTGAATTACTAAATATTGAATATAATGCAGAAAACTGTACTTTGATTGTTCATTAATTAATTTAGAAGTAATTAAATGATGTAATGGTTAAATGACTGTTTTTATTTGCTATTTGATGTGAAATATAATTAATATGTTATAATCATGTTAATGATGACTTAAATTGTATTTTTATTGTGATGTGTTAATGATGTCGGTATGTACCAGGGACTGCGTTCAGGGCGAAGTCAGGCGAAAACTTTGCCGTAAATATTTTCACGTCGTACAGTGCATATATTTAATATTGCTTTATGGCTTGATATAATTATATATGTGTGGAAACATATATTCTTTCATTTGTGACTGGAAGCTTCATAATTGATTATTAAGAGTACAGGATATGACTTTAACCTCAAAGGTTCATGAATACTTGGAGCTTTATATTTATACTGAGATGGTCATTTCAATTAAAAGTTATATAACAAACTCAACCTTGTTTATAATTTATACCATTCATTGCATCTTAAAGGGGATAATTTAAATAAGGTATCACACATAAAGTTCTCAAAAAGCTAACAGATTTTCACTTCCAACTGGAAGACCTGTTCACTATTATAGGCAGATAATTCTTCAAATACAAAAATTTACTTAGCTTTTATTACACTACTATCCAGCATTGACATAAGGAGACTGCTGCTCCTTGAAAACGCTAGTTTGTCTTATCGAGAACACATTGATTGACCCATCAACTTTACTCTTCATCTATTGTAAAGGTAAGGGGTAGGCTATAGTATATACAGCGGTATACCGGTTATTGCAAAAAAAATCATGTCAGGTTATAATACACAGGTCTATATGATTCTGAAAAACCGGTATATACTGGTATACTCGAGATTACTTGAGAAGTCCTCTTGTCTTTAAGTCTGTTTCGCCTATTGTGTAACGGTTTGTATTTAAAATATGAACTTATGTCTTATGAAAATGTTAGCTGCTGAGTTTGAGGCTGTTGAGAACAAGAAAAGAAATCAATTATTTGGAAGTTTTCTTAAAAAAAAAACTCAACTGCTTGAACCAGAGTTAGATTATTCTTAGTTGTATTAAAGTAATTTAGACTTGACTTTATCTAATAAAAATCTTGAAATTAGACAGGTAGACTTACTTTATTTTGAATTGTTGTTTTTTTTTGGTGCATTCAAATACATATATATGTTTGAGCCAAAGTTATTGACCATATTTATCCCCTTTTAAAAACTTTACTTTACTGGATATTGCCATATATTGCGAAATGTCCAAATATGATTATATCGAAATCAAATATTGCAAGATATCACAGTACCAGCTTTCATGGCAATACCCTATGCTAGTAGAGATCAACAAATATTTTTGATACCTGTCAATAACTGAAGACCTTATCTTAAACAATATGCATGACAAAAGACTTGGAGATGATACAACAAACTATGAGGAACTTCGTAAAAGTCATTCTTGATTATTATGTATATTTTTTTAATTTCAAAGTTTATTTTTAAACAACTATGTATTTCTTTGTAATAGAGCAATTAAATGATTCATGGTTCGATTCGTGAACCATCAAGTCACGAGCATGAATCAAGACAAAGGCCCTTCCAGACAAAAGCTCTCCAGACCTGTGAAAATGTCAGGGCAGACAAAAGTCCTCCTGTGGAAATGACAGGGCGGACAAAAGCTGTCCAGTGAAAATGAGAGGGCAGACAAAAGCTCTCCTGTGAAAGTGACAGGGCGGACAATAGCTCTCCTGTGAAAATTACAAGCTGGACAAAAGCTCTCCTGTGAAAATTACAGGGCGTACAAAGGCCCTCCTGTGGAAATGACATGGCGGACAAAAGCTCCCCTGTGAAAATGACAGGGCAGACAAATGCTCTCCTGTGAAAATAACTGGGCAGACAAAAGCACTCCTGTGAAAATGACAGGGCAGACAAAAGCCCTCCTGTGAAAATTGTCAACATGAACTTTGTAAATAGCTGTCAAAAATATAATTATGCTTCAGCTTTAAAACGGTTTAGACTCTTTTTGTCCATGGTAACCTCCTTCAAAGGAAGGCAATCCACGTGTTTTACAAATTGCGAAATATAAGGATTTTCATACCAGAATTTTTCCTTTGCTTGAAATTTTACCAGTCAGATCCATCAGACTGGCAGAATTCAGAATGTCTGCTATTCCACTAGTGTAGTAGTGGCAATTATATTACCACTATTTTTAAACTTGAATCATATGCTACAGATAATTCTGATTGCTGAAATGACAAGTTAGCAAAACTTCCAAAAGTCATCAAAAATATTTATTGAACACTATACACTAACTCACTAAGTAATGAAAACAGACCATAACTGCATAATATTACTATAGTCTATAGATTTAGTAGTTTAGAGAAAGAAATTTGATGTCATAAAAAATCTTATATCAACTAACTTATCAACAATATGACAAAACTTAACCGTAAAATTTTCAAACATATATTTCAGTGAGTCACTTCACCAGTTCACTATGTCATATCTATTTTTGTTTTGATGAAAAATCACTGAAGCATGCTAACATATCTGCCTGCCTCTACACGTTCAGATTTGAAAATAAAAATTCAAACCTTAACAGAATTGTAGGAACGTATAAGTACATAGAAAATATGGCTATAATGACATTTAAATCAATTACTTACATTTGCACCATGCGCGTTGTTATTTCTTCCTCTGTGGCCGGTTGTTTGTGATCCTGATTGTGGTCGATGCGATTGCCCTCCATTCTCAGACCGCATTTTAGGCGCTCCAGGATATCGTTTGCGTCTGGCGTCACTCATTCTGATAAATTAACGTCACCAACGAACAGACAATTTCAATTGTTGCCTACCTTGCGTTTATGTATAAACGATTTACTTTTATATAAAATTTCTGCTGTGAAACCGAATTTCTGCAATTGGAATCTGTCGCTTATGTCAACAATAAAATTATTAGACGTGTCTTTTTACCGTTGTAAAGCCGTACCGCAATTCCTCCCGGTGAAAAAACCTGTCCTATTTTTGAGAGTGAACAAGTCACATCTCCAGGGTGTATTTGAAAGACCCTAATTTGAAAGACCATGGTTTATCATTCCAAAAATAATTTTCATAGCTAAGATAGAATGTTTAAAGTCTACTCATGTTTGATCAGTTTTGTATGTTGACAGTGAAACCCCTTATTGATTCCAAATTAAAAAGGCTCTGTAAAGGAAATCTCTGTAAAGTATAAGACTCTTAGAAAATTCATTATGAAAATTCCGCAGGTTAGCATTTCATAGCATATTTTTCAGTTTCATGATATAAAGTTTCTGTTCTTCTTTTTTCAATATTTGAAGGTATCAAAAGTAATGGCTGGTGATGGTAGGCTACTTATATATAGTAATAATTAAGCCATTACCATTGTGTTGCTGCATGCACCAGATTGGTTTATATATTTAGGATGTTGATTCTATCATGGGCTTGACTAATTCTTGTAAATGTCTACAATTAATGATGATTAGCAGCAATTAACTCCAGTAAACTGATATTCTTCGCCTCTTCCGAAACAATGGCAAAACTTATCATACAATGTATGTATAATCAATGCTACTGTCTTTATAACTGACCATTGGTCATTCAGACAATAGTACATGCATATGAGTCCTCAAAGGAAACACAGAAAAATCCTGTTGAAAAATAAGAATACCATTTTTTTTGATACTTTATTTAATACAATGTAAGCATGAAGGATATTAATTTTGAATTAAAACATAATGTATGAATTGTATAGCATCTTAAAATCAAAGCACTCAAATACATAAAATTGTACATAAATTCATCAAGATACATTTAATCCTCAGTAACTCTAATCACTGATAAGATACATGTAGTACTCGACAAAGCACAACTCTGTTAACATAATAACATTTAACCTTCCACCTGCTGCATTTACATAATGGAAGAAGCTTTTCTTTTAATTTGGAACAGTCCATTTGAAGTTTAAAGGGATTTCAATATCAAACTAGAACTATCACTAAATGTGATTAATACCCCCACAAGACTGCTTCGGAAATGAGGATGTTACTAGTAACAGAATACCTTGTAAAATAATTGAAATATAGAGTTATGGTTGTGGGCAATTAAAGATAGTTGTGGTTCTTATATGTTGCATTGCCTTTCAATGTGGTTGGCCATTGATGAAGTTTAATTGAATTACTCTGTAATAAGTCCAGAAAGACAAAGAAAAGGAACAAAGGGCAATAACTCTATAAATACTGAAGATAGAGTTATAGTTCTTGTGCACTGCACTTCCTCTTATTGTGCATGACCATTGTATGAAGTTGTTCTGAATTCCAACCAGTACGTTTTAAGTTATGCTCCTGACAAGGAAAAGTATCAAAGGGCAGTAACTCTGTATTTTGTCAAAATGGAGTTATGGCTCTTGTGCACTGCACTTCCTTTTAATGTCCTTGACAACTGTATGAAGTTGTATTGAATTCCAAACAGTAGTTTTCAAGTTATGCTCTGGACAAGGAAAAGTAACAAAGGGCAATAACTCTGAAATTAGTCAAGACGGAGTTATGGTTTTTGTGCACTGCACTTTCTCTCAATGTGCTTGACCATTGTATGAAGTTATATTGAATTCCAACCATTAGTCTTCAAGTTATGGTCCGGACAAAAAAGGCAATGGAAAAGTAACAAAGGGCAATAACTCTGTAATTACTTTAGATAGAAATATGGCTCTTGTGCACTGCACTTCCCCTTATTGTGTTTGACAATTGTATAAAGTTGTTTTGAATTCCAACCAGTAGTTTTCAAGTTATGCCCCGGACAAGGAAAAGTAACAAAGGGCAATAACTCTGTAATTAGTCAAGATAGAGTTATGGTTTTTATGCACTGCACTTCCTCTCAATGTGCTTGACCATTGTACGTAGTTATATTGAATTCCAACCATTAGTCTTCAAGTTATGGTCCGGACAAAAAAATCAATAGAAAAATAACAAAGGGCAATAACTCTGTAATTACTTTAGATAGAGTTATGGTTCTTGTGCAATGCACTTCCCCTTATTGTGTTTGACAATTGTATGAAGTTGTTTTGAATTCCAACCAGTTGTTTTCAAGTTATGCCCCGGACAAGGAAAAGTAACAAAGGGCAATAACTCTGTAATTAGTCAAGATAGAGTTATGGTTCTTATGCACTGCACTTCCTCTCAATGTGCTTGACCATTGTATGTAGTTATATTGAATTCAAACTATTAGTCTTCAAGTTATGGTCTGGTCAAAAAAAAAAAACAATGGAAAAGCAACAAAGGGCAATAACTCTGTAATTACTTTAAATAGAGTTATGGTTCTTGTGCACTGCACTTCCCCTTATTGTGTTTGACAATTGTATGAAGTTGTTTTGAATTCCAACCAGTAGTTTTCAAGTTATGCCCCGGACAAGGAAAAGTAACAAAGGGCAATAACTCTGTAATTAGTCAAGATAGAGTTATGGTTCTTGTGCACTGCACTTCCTCTCAATGTCCTTGACCATTGTATGTTGTTATATTGAATTCAAACTATTAGTCTTCAAGTTATGGTCCGGACAAAGAAAAAAGCAATGGAAAAGCAACAAAGGGCAATAACTCTGTAATTACTTTAGATAGAGTTATTGTTCTTGTGCACTGCACTTCCCCTTATTGTGTTTGACAATTGTATGAAGTTGTTTTGAATTCCAACCAGTAGTTTACAAGTTATGCCCCGGACAAGGAAAAGTAACAAAGGGCAATAACTCTGTAATTAGTCAAGATAGAGTTATGGCTCTTGTGCACTGCACTTCCTCTCAATGTGCTTGACTATTGTATGTAGTTATATTGAATTCCAACCATTAGTCTTCAAGTTATGCTCCGGACAAGGAAAATGCAACGGACGTCTGGACCGACCGCCCGACCGCCCAACCGACCACCGGGTGACTCCTATATACCCCCCCAAACTTCGTTTTTGGGGGTATAAATACAAAAATTGAGCTACCAGCAGTATAAAGCCTGGTTGAACTGCACGGATGTACAGGGTTGCCTGGCTCTATACTGTTGGTAAACTCTGATGACCTTTGCTTCCAGCAGGTTAAGGCCTAAGGGTTAATCAGAGTGGAAATGATAACAAGTATATAATCATAAACACTGTTGCTCAAAGCTTATTTGTAAAAAGCAATATTTATTGGACTCTCAGCTGAAATATTTTAATGAGTATTCCAGTGATGAAGATGTACACCTCTGGTAATTTTGGGGAATGTAAGAATCATATGTTCTGTAAAAAAAAAATTTCTAAATTCTTAGCACATAAAAAAAAACAAAAACTTTATACACAATAAAGTCAAATGACATTATCAAGCCAAAAGTGTTTTTTGTTTCGTTATGATGAACAAACTAAACATATCACATTTAAGTAATGTCATGTCAATGTTTCTTGGGTTCTAGCACTAAAGACAGTTATGGAAGTCAAAAATAAAACATCATCTACATCACGTCTTCTATAATTGACACAAAGAGACAGGAACAGACTGAACCTACAAATTCTACATCAATTTTTATATTGAACTGCAAGTGATGAAAGATGCTAGATAAATGATTGACAACAATTAAATACTAACTAGTACACTAGAGATTCAATAAACTTAATATAAACTAAAATGAGCCGTGTCATGACAAAACCAACATAGTACATTTGCGACCAGCATGGATCCAGACCAGCCTGCGCATCCGCGCAGTCTGATCAGGACCCATGCTGTTCGCTTATCAACTCTATTACAGAAACTGATAGCGAACAGCATGGATCCTGATCAGACTGCGCAGACTGGTCTGGATCAATGCTGGTCGCAAACCCATTATGTTGGTTTTGTCGTGACGCGGCTCAAAATTGCTAACAAATTATGTAAGTTTTCCTTGCATGAGATCAATTCTGATATATACTAAAATGATTTAATATTATGTTTCTATACCTGAATGTTTTGACTTGCATTTCTATTGGCATAATACTGATTGAATTCTGGTTGGGGTTCACAAGTATAAATTCAGGATAAGAATGACATCATTCTTTTGATTTGATTTTCTTTGCTTTATACAGCTTTTCTTTTTTTTCAAAATATTAAAAATTTATTTATATGATAGGAAAAACTATTATTTATAAACTTTTAAAGTAAACAATTTTTGGTTACGGTAATATGGACAGCCAGTTCTACTGGAAAAATACAGCTTCAAAAAATTATAAAAAAGAAAAAAGGATGAATTTGAAAACAAAGAAAATTCAATTCTTTCATATAGGATCATAGATGAAAATTTGGGAAATTCTGGATTTAGCATTGTAGACCAGGTTGTTCTTTCACATCTGAATTACCACACACATATTGATCTTTAGAGGTGTATTATTAATTAAGAAGTACATTGTATATCATTTATATATACAACTTGTATATCATTTATGTATACAACTTACACAACAGAAGCATTATACATGTGTAGTTGTGATTTACGATTTCATAACAAGAGCTGTCAATGGAGACAGCATAATCAACCTATTACAGATTATGAGATAATTATATTTTGCTCAATTTTGATATTTGAAAAAAAAACAAAACAAAAAAACAACTGATATATTCTTGAAATGTAACATTAACATCTTTTGAACACACCCAGAGAAAATGTGTTACATTTTAAACTTTATACGGTACAGGTAATCACAGTATGATTACATAGTGTCATTAAAAAACTGGCAGTTTTTATAGGAATAGACCAAACTAATATGACAAATAAAAGAAAAAAAATTCAGCTTCTCAAACATAGTTTATACATTCTCCTATTCAATTTAGACCTATTCAGGTGGAATGTACTAGATTTCAGTAAATTTCTGCAATAAAAGTGTTTAACCCAAAGATGAGCATAGTATATCTTTAAGCAATGAACACAGTAAAGAAAGACAAAAACCATGAGAAAAAAATCTGTTACATTCAATATAAATATATTTCTATTTCAATATGAAGAAAGCAATGTCCAACATTTCTGCACCACATATATGTTAGTGTTCATCCGTGCTGTTCCACAGAAATTAGAAACTTCGACTGGACCAAAAGCCACAGGAGAATGTTTCTAATTTCTGTAGAACAGCTACTGATGAATACTAACATACTTAGTGTCGAGCTTTATTTGGCACTTAATTACGTCACTATATGCGGTACCATGAAGTACTATGAAAAATAGAAGGCGACTATGAACGGAATTCGATATATTGTATGGACTTTTGTTCTTCTATGAAAATTATCACACACAATTTTTAAGAAATACAGTGTTTTTATTGGATGATAAAGCTGGACACTAAATAACATTAGGGTATGTACATAAAATTAGTAATATAAACATTCCTTAACACATGCAAGTGACCTTTTTAATGAAAAATCAACAGAAATTTCCAAGCTTCTTAGCTTTCTAAGTTTCTTAGCTGAAATGAAAAAGACAACAATCTAAAATCTGAAGTAAATCCATTCAGTAACAATGAAGATAAAAAAGTAAAAAAAAAATCATAACATTTTACCAGGAAAATTCTAAGTTCAAAGTGGAAATAACTCTTCTTATAAATTTGCTTGAGTAACGCACCTTGTTATACATGATGTGGGCGATGATAAGGAACATATATTTGAGGTTCAAAGTACATTTCTCAATAAATTTGAGTAAACAAAAAATAAAACATATTTAAAGGTGATTATTCCCAGACTTATGAACCTTGTAACATATAATGTGGGTGATGATAAGTAACATATTATTTGATTTAAATCCTTATGAATTACCGGGTATATAAAAGTGAACACCACAATAGATTTGGTCTGGTCTTTAAGAGAAATTTAAAAAGAGAACTTGATTATTTTTAATCTTATCTACATAATTATGTTATAATAAAATAATCAAGCCATGAAATTGACATAATACTAGAAAATCTAAAATGTTGAGAAGCAAATGAGAAAAACGCCGAGTAAAGTTATCAAACTAAAATAAAAAACGAATTTCTAAACCATTCACTGACACTGAGCAATTAGGATAATTCTATAAATCACAGTAAAACACTGCATTGAGCAAAATGACTGGAATTTCAACCAAAACAGGAACATTCTGGCCTAGACAGGACAAATATTAAAACTTTGCAAAAAGAAAAGGAGGAATGAAACAGAAAAATCATGAAAATGAACAAATAGGAAAAAAAATCTCATGAAAAACATTGAGTAAATATATTTCATTAATTAGCACTTTTTTTCCAACTTGAATACATAAATTGCTATTGTTTGGCAATATTGACCCCCTGAGACCTGTACCGTAATGATTTATGGTAACCCAAGTCTAATGTCTGAAACATTGTAGAAATATTGTATTAAACACAACTTTCCAGGATTAGTTTAAGTTCATTGAAGTAGCTGTTGTTTTAATGAACCCTTAGAAAATATCAAAATTATTTACATACAAAATAACAAGAAAATATCAAAATTATTTACATACAAAATAACAATCCAATTATGTAGTGCTTTTACTTTTATACCACTGCATAATAAACATGAGCTGTCCTATGAGCACTGTACTCAATTTGCTGGACAGATTTAAAGATATTGAGAGATATAGAGTCCTGGAGAGTAAACTGCACATTTTCTAATACAAATGAGCCATGTCATGACAAAACCAACATAATGGGTTTGCGACCAGCATGGATCCAGACCAGCCTGCGCATCCGTGCAGTCTGATCAGGATCCATGCTGTTCGCTTACAAACTCTATAACAAGTAGAGAAACCGATAGCGAACAGCATGGATCCTGATCAGACTGCGCGGATGCGCAGGCTGGTCTGGATCCATGCTGGTGGCAAACCCATTATGTTGGTTTTGTCGTGACGCGGCTCAAATGTAGTTCCTTGGTGAATGCCCTTTAATTGAATGGCCAGTTTTGTATTTTGTTACTCAGGTTCCAGTCCTCTTGACCTAAATATGGGTGTGCTAAGTAGAACTTAATAACATCTACAGCTTGAAGTAACTTCAAATGAATTTCCTTGGTTACTGAACTTTGATTTAATGGTCAATATTACGGGTCCATAAGACCTTGACCTTTTACCTTTTGTTCAAAAAATGGGTGTGGCAGGTTGAACTATTCAACGTACATCTCCAAATTTTAATTCAATAGCATTGTTAGTATTGAAGTTTTTAATATGACCATACTGTATACGAAGAAAACTTAACCAAAAATTTAATCAATACCTACAAGTTATTACATCTGATTTTTCTTCATAAAATGGAACAAGGAATTTATAACAATCCTTAAGCAAAATTTGTACACATTTGTTCATAAAAATCTACAAGTTTAGATATAATACATGTACTGACAAATGACTGATATTACTGGTTAATAAGTTAGCACTTTTAAGGCACTGTCATTTAAAACTAACTAATCAGTACCATGTTCACTTTAGACAAACATTTTTTGACTACAATTTATAAGTTTCAATTTTGCAGCATGTAAATTTGTCAAAATAATTATTCAAGTCTGCCATCAGCAATTAAAAACTCTGGCCAACTTTTTCCAAAAATTACTGCTCGCGTCGTCATTATAGTGCAATCCAGTGTAAATACTAAGAGACGGTGGTAACAGGTCAAGATTCAGGTTGGGTAAGTAAATTGGAATAATATTCTCCTGGGACATCTTGGTCAAGTGATGAAACAAACTGGACTCCATTTGATTTTTCCACCATCCATCATTGATTGACTCTGAGGAAATCAGCAAAATTACATAATGTGACTTCAATAATGCATTTTCAAAATTTCCGAAAACACTACGCCCTGCAAGACCATCCTGATGCTCCAAGTATCCCTTTAAATTGTGCTTGCTCTCAAGGTACTCCTTTATCTTGTGGGCAAATTGTGTATCTTGGTCATTATTTTCATCAGAAAGAAGAAAAAAGTTGTAAGTAAATGTGCTATGATCCCGGCTCATGGTTATTTCTCTTGTTTCTTACAGCACATTCTTCAATACCAATCAGATGTCCTGAAATGAACACCATACATATTGTTTATATTCAAAATTAATATTTCTCAGCATTTTAATTTTTTTATTAAACTTAAAACTTCACAGCTTTAGATAAGATTTTGGGTCAATAAGATTTTACTTCAATTCTTTTAGCCAATTATCAGTATTAATATATCAATTAAAAGAAATCAAATAACTCATAATTAATAAAAGTAATTTAAATTGTAAACATCGGTAAACGCTTAAATGATATAACATTTACTGTTAGACCTGTTGGGTTATCAACTGATAAAACTGATAAACAAGAGCTGTCAGAAGGACAGCGCGCTCGACTTTTTTAGTGCTTGCCTATAAAACAAAACTTTGACAGTTAAGGGCACACAAGACTTTAACTAGGAATTTCTAAGTACAAATCAAGAAACATTTTCACAGAGTTATCTTCTCTTGCTTACAGATAGGTCTCATGATGGCACATAAGAACTCCAACTTCCAAAGTAATATCTCAAATGGTTAAGTCAACAAGTGGACAAGAATGAAAATTTTAACTGAGTTTCTAAGTCAAAAAGGGCCATAATTCAAATAAAATCCTTAACAGAATTACCTTCTCCTGCCCATGTTTTGGGACCATGATGGTAAACAAGTATTCCAACTTTCAATTTAATATCTCAACCAGTTCAGTCAAAAAGTTGACTGGTACAAAAAAGTTAACCAAGATTCTAAGTCGATAAAAGGCCTTAATTTTTAAAACAAATCCCTGACAGAGTTACCTTCTCTTGCGTACAGATGGGGGTAATGATGTGAAATAGCATTAAAAGTTTCAAAGCAATATCTCAAAGGGTTAAGGCAATAAGTGGATTTTACCCATATTCAATGTATTTTCTAAGTCAAAAAGGGGCATAATTCTGTCAAAAACCTTGACAGAGTTATGTCCTCTTGTCTGTTGATGAAGGTCGTGATGGTAAACAAGTATGGTCAGTTTCAAAGCAATACCTCCAATGGTTTTGAAATAAAGTGAGGTGGTACAAAAAACTTAACCAAGCTCAATACACTTTCTAAGTCAAAAAAGGGCCATAATTCTGTCAAAAACCTTGACAGAGTTATGTACTCCTGTCTGTAGATGGAGGTTATGATGGTGAACAAGTATGGTAAGTTTCAAAGCCATACTTGTAATACTTCTGAAATAAAGTGGGGTGGTACGAAAAACTTAACCAAGGTGTGACGCCAACGCCGACGCCGACGCTAACGCCGACGCCGACGCCGGGGCGAGTAGGATAGCTCCCCTTTTCATAGAAAAGTCGAGCTAAAAATTCAAGTGTGCCCATACTACATGACTTTGACACAATTTTTTGGTTATTTGGCAAGCAGATTTATGAGAAATAGTAAATAAACCACTCTCAATTCAAAATCTTTAAACTCATGTAAGTTCTCTATTTCTTCATCAAATATGACCGAATAAAATGAAGGCTTAAACTTAAAGGGAAAACTTGCATATCATAAGTGTATTGTAAACCCGAGATCAGTGACGACTTGCGCCACTTAAAATGATCGTATATAACATACTGTAAATCATTTATATCAATATAACTGATTACATTCAATATCTGTTTTGGTGTATGAAATAAAACGACAACTTTGTTTATTTTTTTAAAAACAGTAAACAGTAATTGGCCATTTAAACTGCTAGGACTAAGATTATCATCATTATAACTAAGGGAAGTTAACGTATTTTCAGCCTGTAGATAAAAATATCACACTTGACCCTTGAAAAAAATCAGTTGTTTTGTTGGCATATCTGTTGCCTCTCAAAAAATTAAAACCCTGATTATGACATGTTTTAAATCATAGCTTTCAAGAATGTTTCATAACATCTATAGTTGTTGAAAAAAACTTAATTTTTCAGCTAGTTAATTGGTTAGTCCAACAAATTGTACTGCGCGACAAGATATTGTGGTATTTTCGTGTCTGGGCAATATCTCGCCTCTTAAATTGAGATTCTGCCCCAGAACGAAAATATCTCAGAATCAAGCTTTGACATGCCAATATATTTTGACTAGTTAATTGGTATGCTAGTTTAACTTAAACTTATTGTTGTATGCGTTGTGATATTATGTTTATTTGTGTTATAATGGGCAATTATGAATATCTCCTCTCAAGAAAAGAGATAATAACCCAAACAAAAATATCTCAGAATCTTGCTTTGGGACGCCATAATATTATGACTATCATCACTATGTCTAATATAAAGTGGAGAAGATCCTTACTAGCCTGTGGCAAGTTGTTATGGGGCAGATAGTCAGTGGGGCAAATTGTTATTTCACCAATATATCCAGCAAAACAATGATGAGTGAACATCAAATCTATTAAAGAACACGCATACTGTGATACAAATGACATTTGTTTTTGTTACAAACTGACAAATGTTCAACGGATAGTCTTGTTTTATCTCCAAATCAAAATGAAATTCGTTAAATTAAAAACAAATAAATATATTTAAAATATAACCAAATATAAATTATTTTCAAAACAAATGAATAAAAAAATAGCCAAAATACGTTTCAATATTAAGCTGTTAAGTGGGGCGAAATTATCACTACAATGGTGCGAGACGTTAAAGGGACGAATCGATCATGTAGCCCCATTTCCAAATCCTGATAAACACATGACAATAATGAAATTATTTGTAAAACAGAATATTTGGTATGATATTTACCAACCAATCTGATAAATTTATAAATCTTCGTAAGGCCTAATTCACTAGAATGTGTCTCTCATTCATCCAATGTATCAGGATGGCGTCAGCAACAGGTTATTTACTTCAACAGCCTAAAAATCTCCGTTGCGTATTTTAGTGGTACCGCTTCAACACCGGTTGCGGGTCACTTCCTGGTATATATTAGCTTAAGGTCTTCAGCGTACCCGTTTATATATATGACATGACGTGAACGCTGAAGATAACCCCGTAGGAAAAGTCCACCAATAATCGTGCCAGGAATCTGACACGCTCGTATTTATTTATCGAACATGCCACGAAGTAAAGTGAAGCATACCTTGATAAAACGATATATAATCTGTTGATAAGCCAAGGATGGACAAATAAAAATCTTATTAGGAACATAAACTACCTAATAGTTTCCGACAGGTAAAAATTTCGGCACTTGGCCGCCATATTGCCAAAATGTTTGACCACGTGATTACGAGATTGACCTTTATGAACCCATGTGCCTCCAATATTTTTATAGATTACTTTTTTTAAGATGTTGAAAAAGGTTATTTACTGACTGTTATATTCAATAAAATCATATTTAAATACTTAAAAAAATTATGAAAATAAATAAAAACATTATCTTGAATAAAAATATCGAAATCATGTCAACAAAATGTTCTAAATATAGTACACAACTCTATTCAAATCTGTTCCCGCGAATGACGTCATACGAGGTCTCGCGTGGCACTTGAATGTCATGGCCGACTGTAGTCGGCGAAAATTGATGTTTTACAGTTAAATAGGCAATTTTAATGACAGTATTAATAATTTATTACTTGAATTGGTATAGAACGATATTTAAATAATTGTTTTACCGTAAAATGCACAAGAATTGATCGGGTCAAGTGTATTTGCAAGTGAAAAACAAGAATAAATCAACTTATGTTATTCTGGTTAGGTTTCGTAACGGGTCTAATCCAAAACTTTAATGCCGTATCTGATGAAAAACAAAAATGTTAAAAAGCGGCTTATAAAGTTTTGGAAGCCAGAACTAGGTATATATATATTTTAAAAATTCTTGTTTTATTACTTATATGATCCGTGTCATTTCTTTGAATCAAACTTTTTAGAAAAAGTAAAATTATGTCTTTTCTTTCATAATCTAATTATTTTGCAACGCTTATTCTGAAAGTAAGAATTGGAATTTTAGTAACATGCTAAATATTCGGATAGGAATGGTATTCGGATTTTCTGTTTTATCTGATTCATTAACTTTGAATTCCTGGATCCATGAATGATTGGAACTGTAGGGTTTCAGTTTCTTTCATATTCTCTTTTCTTTTCAAGTTAGTTCGTCCACATCTTAAAATATCTAACAAATGTAAACGCCAGTCTAATTGTCATTGTTGTGATTTCCTTTTTCTATAATTTTCACCTGGGACCAAAAATAGCAAACAGAACTTTTCGGCCCCAAACCAAATCGGCCCCTATGCAAAATCGGCCCGGCCCTTTTCTGCGAGACGTTTTGGCCCTTTTTTATTACAGTTTTATTATAGTATAAAAGGACTTTTTATCCTTTAAATCGTTAAAAATTGTATTATATTATTGACTGATGGCACACAAACAATTAAGACACTTTAATTCTAAATTAATAATCCATTATAGATCTATCGATCTCTTAATTTAACTATTGAGATAAATGCTTTTTTTCATGGTGTAACAATAAATAAAGACACTTAATCCTTAATTTATAAAACAGTTGACAAACTGCAAAAACTTTTTGTTGATAAAAAATGTTTGTTTAGTGTATTGTTATGTGTCTTTCTTTTTAATCGTTCTGATTAAAATAAAACGCTTGATGATAATAAGCAGGTAAAAAATCTGTTTCAGTGTTTGTGTACCATGTTTTGTTTAATAAAGTTTATGTTCTGTTTGGTTTGTTTTGATTTCTACTATTTTAGCCTCATTGAATTACAAAATCATAATTTAATTTTTCAATTAATTCTCTCATTCCTTTTATTCATTCATTTAATGAAATGCTATTAAAATTCGGGCATAAAACACATAAAAGTAAGACTTATTGTTAACTTAATATGGGGCCGATTTGGTAAAGGGCCGAAACGTTGGGGGCCGAAACGTCAAGGGTAATTTGGGGCCGATATGTCTTGGGGCCGAAATGACACGAAATCCCAAAAATATACCAGAAAATTTATGTCTTGCATGACTGTTATTTCGGTGTTTAAAAACACTGCGCTTATTGATTGGTCTGTTTTAATTGGACACCAATTGAACATAGTGACCAATAAGAAAGTGCGATTTGCCTGTCCCGTTATATTTGTTCCCAGTTTTCACAAAAACTATTTGTGATATACATTGACGATACACGAATTAACAGTTTCAAACTAGCAGACGACAGGCTCTTGTTATCAGTTATGCTCCGAATAAAGATAACCAGCTGCATATCTCTGTATAAATTTTATGTAAAATAGCCAACAGGTAGTAAGTTTAACAGTAAATTTCAGTATTTTTGGTGTCAAAAGATATGTTGAAGTTTATATTGATACAAAGCTAAGATCACAAGCTTTTAATTGGTGTAAGGATTTTGAAAATCAAACAATAAATTGCAAAAAACTAGCAATTTAAAATAAGGCATTGTTATTACTTTGTATTGTTAAAGCATTTACTCACAATTAATTAACTCTTGTTTTGATTTGATATTCCTTGGTTATTTTCATAGTTCATAGTATGTTATAGAAACTGTTTATGGGTGTATTCTTTAGTTTTGCTGTTTTTGTTATTTCAGTGTGTTTAGGTTTCAACTTGAGCTACCCATGTCTGTTTTCAAGAGGTTTTGGAGTGGAGTGGAAAGGAGTAGCAGTAAATCAGTATGCACAGCTTATTTTATTCAATAATTTTGCACTTAATTTTCTGAGCATAGAATTATAAAAAGATACAAAGGAACTATAAGATACTGAAATGAACCTAAATCCTCTTTATTAAGGTTAAATTAAAAAGGAATAAATTAGTGAAACATGTACTGAGTGATTATGCTAATTTATATGTGTGTATATGATTATAATGGAAGCTATGGCCTAGTGGTTAATTAAGGTGTCTGCCTCTCAAGCCAGGGATCATGAGTTCGAGCCCTACTCGAGGTCACAACCATGTCACCTCATTTGACACTAGAAAGTTATTTCCAGGAAGCAGACTCGAAAGTTATTAAAGGTACTCCACTGAGGTACGGCCGAATGTCACAAAAAAAAGTAAAATTTCACGAACCGATAATTTTTTGTTACCTGCGTGTTAGGGACATTCAAACATAATCAGTGATACATTGATATGTGTTCTTTGGATTGGCAAATCGTTTGAAATACATATTTTCTCCAATTTTGTGGGAAAAGCGTTTAAACACCTTTCAGTTTGCAAAATCTGAATAAAAACAACGGTCACGTGATGATTCTCCGGATGACTAAAAAGCGAAACGGAGAATTTTTTGTTTGTATCGGCAGCAGCAACGAAAGTGCGAAAGTGGAATATACCAACAATCCATAAATTTAAAAGCAAATTATGGGTTTTGTTTGTTAAATTTTCTTGTTGTTCACATATTGTTCTTGTTGAGAAAAATTCTTTCAAAAGCAATTTCAATATATTTAGAGCATTACATTATTGTAATTCATGTTTTGTTTTTCTTCATTGTGATGAATTTAGCTTAAACGTACGGAGTTGGACTGACATACACAAATTTTACAAATATTCTATGTTAATTTGTAGAGCTTTCGCCTGTAATAATTAGGAATATTAATGTATTAACTTTGTAATGGTTTAAAATATCATGATATCTAGGCTAAGGGAAGAAAAATTTACTTTGTCAATCAGTGTAATGGGTTCCTATTTCAAAGGTTCATTTGAGTTTAAATCTGACCACCCCGTTCAGGAAAAAAAAAACTTTTCGTAATACCTTTTATACAGCGAACAAGAACTTGAGTATTGTAAGCATAAAAAATCACACGCACACACAGAATGTTATTCCAGAGATTTCTTTTTAAACTCTATCAAAAGTACTGAAAAGCACTGGCTAAATAGAGAATGAATCCGGCCTCATTATAGGACATTTAGGCTCAAACTTTATTAGTTCTATATTTTTCTTATGTATCTTAGTGATTAAATTAAATTCTATAAGAAAAAATCGATCTTCCTTGCTAGATAGATCTGAAATTTAATATTTATCATATTTACATTGAAATTACTGGCATTATTTATCCGCAATTGGATGTAAACTTTGTTTGATGAGAAGATTACTACGTTTTGATCTGACATTCCAAAACTATTAGGTAATTGATTACCTGTTCCATGCACATGGTAAACATTATCAAGAAGGTCGGAAAAGGAGTTTGACAAATCTGGCCTCTATTAATATATCATTATTCATTATTGATTTAGCAGCATATCCTGATTAAATTTCTTTTTCATTGGAAGGCCTCCATACTTAGGTAATGGGTCAATTGAGTTGTGCTTTAATGTTACCAATATATTGAAGCCTTTCGGTGGAAAAGAAATTGAGAGCGTTATAAGAAGTAAAAAAGGAAAACTGGAATAAAAACAAACAGGCGCTCAAACGTTCACAGGACGCAGCCCCCCGACACAGTCAAGCTTCCACAGCAGGGTTATTGCCGTGACTAGTTTGAAATAAACTTAAAAACTGATTATTATAGTTGTTGTTTTTTAAACCCTAACTTTCTTTCAAATTAAACGAAACAAACAAAATTCATGTACTTGCAAGACAAAATGTTGAAGGCAGGTAATAAAGTAGCTTTACGAATTGCAGTAAGATATTATTAACCTCACCTCATACAACAAACCATTGCTTAAACTATTTTTATAATACTTCCAACTTCCTAGACGTATACAAACTTTGGGAAAGGCAATGTATATCTTAACCATTGTTTTACTCCTTATAGGCCTGTTGTATTCATGGGCATACTCATTGTTAATAGTTTTGTTAATATTTTGATAAAAGGTCAGGTTCATTTCCCGACTATTTTTGAAAACACGAGTGACTGGTTTTCAAAAAACTGCAATGGCTAAATATTTGATCAGCGGTGCATTTTCATTGCACTTAAATAAGTAGGACGAGAACCCTGCTTTTCTTGCTTTATAGCACTAATCCCTTTACTTTTCTCTACTTTTTGTCTCTTCTTTCTATCCTGTTTTTTCATTTTTTTGTTTAGTCTTTTTTATTTACACTGAAAAGCCTGAAATTAAATTTTTTCATGTGATAATTAGCTGTGTTCCTGTTTGCTTGGTTCGTGTGGGTGTTGCATTCATTGGGAATGTTACCATTCCTTTGTGTATTTCTGATCGAAGGAATACAAAGCTAACCTTCAATCTCTGACACAGGCGGTTCACGACCAAACCTAACAACAAAGCAGTTCTTTAAAACAGCTGAAAACAAGCGATTTAAAAGAAAGAAATATTTTCATTTTGTTTATAAATATCCAACAAATTACAACGCATTCAAAGTTAAAAGTAGCTTTTGAGTTATAGAAATTGTCAATGAATGCACATTCACAAATTACGTGGGTGAATATCATTAATCAATTGAAAATTGCCTATTTTAAGCGATGTCGGAAAGCGTATACACAAAATAAATCTGACTGTCGAGTAGTGGAATATTATACATGTCGGACTGTTTTGGCGAGAAGACTTTTGTTTAAATGATTTACATCAATGTTAAACAACAGGTTTAATCTTGAAAACAAAAAACTTCGAAATTAATAAGGATTACAAACCCGAAATGCAATGGAAAATCAAAATTTAGTTTATTACTTTGATTTTATTCAGGCAGTGTTCGTATATCTTCTCCGTGGTGCAAGGGTAACGCGCCTGTCGTTTAGTGTGTCTGGGGTTCAAATCCAATTCAAAGCAATTATTTTTTTTATAAAGTTTTCTTTGTTAAGGAAATAGCCACGATATGCAAGGGATAAAGTGTGGCTGTCATTAAAAAATGAACATAAATGATTTTTTGATGCAACTCTAGTCATGACAAATTTCCATATGTATCAAAAAACTCTTGATACCAAGCAAGAAGAATTATAGTACGTAAAAATAAACTTATACAGGAAAATAAATACAGTTTATACAGTGCGATTTAGATTGCAAAGATCAATTAATCTTCCTAAGTATTTCGGTTATAGTGATTATACCATAATCCAACGTTAAAGGTCTCCTAAAAAATGTTCTTTTGGAATTAAATACTTAGTGTAAGCACTAGAACATAAACCACCAGATTGCTTGCAAAAATCTTTATCGGCAGGATAAAATTGGTTCACAAAACATTAATTTTTCACAGTCATGATCAAATTGATCAGACTGTCATTTTCTTCCTTGTTACTGAAAGATACGAACAGACTGGTGATTTTCTTTTCCTGTTACCGAAAAAAATACACACTAGGAAGATTTCAAGTAGAAGAGAACGTCACTGACAGAATATTTGAATAGGAAAGAATTTTTGCTAAAGCCAAGTTTATGAAAGGAGAAATCGGGGATGCTACTTATTAAATTATTTGCCCATAAAAGAGGGTTTATATTACTCGTTTAGATTATTTTTCAAAAACCAAAAGTCTCAAAAAGCAAAGGTTAGCTGATATTAAGATGTAAACCGCGACAATATAAAATTAATTTTGACCTGTGAAACTGGAGTGAAAATGTGTTAGTTTATCCGGTTTTTTTCTTCAGTGCCTTCAGCACTTTGATCTATATGTAGTACAAGTAAACTATAATCGTTTTTCACCGAAAAAATCATTAAATTCTTAAACAAGTTTCTAATTAGAATCATAACATTTATTGTATCATAGTTTGAAAACATTTCTGTTGAAAACGTGTCAGAGTTAAATCAAATTCATATACATGGACAGTGCGTAACTGGAGTGCAGGTAAATAAGTTTCCAACACTCCAGAGCATGGCCCATTGATGTACCATTCTTTTTTTTTGCGGGGGGGGGGGGGGGGTGCTTTCAGTTTTTTTTTGGGGGGGGGGGGGGGCTTTTAGTGGAATAACGATAGAAATGCCACATTCAGAAGCTGGTTCATAGGTTTTTTTCTGGGGTTTCATATTGTTACAACAGGGGAACGTGCATTTAATTTGCCTATGGTATGGAATATGATGTAATTGTGTGTGGAACGTGTATGTACGATCCTATCAAGATAGCCTACGAAACGTCACTCATTACATACACAGATGCCCGTTTGTGCCAGAAACAATTTTGCAAAGGGGGCACCTGAGTTCTTACTCCACCAGTAAAACTGAAGAGTCGCCAACATGACCTACAAAGTTGTGTGCTGACGTAACCCCCACTCCATCCCAAAAAAACAAACAATCAAATCAAATGAAGACATGTCATTAACTGCATTTGATTTTAAATACGTTATTAGATAGCGTTAAATACATTTATTAGTGTGATTACGCTGTGCTCGTTATAGTATAAATATCACCGATGCATTATGTTTGCCTTAGAATATTGAAATTGAAACTGAAATGTCAATGAAAATAATTGTACATGTTATATAATATCTTTCCGTTTTGTCTAGAAAATGTCCGCTTCGCTGGCGTTTGATTTCTCAAGACAACGAAATTGCTACCTTGATTATCTTTTATACAGTTTTTTCTTCGTTATACTCAAGTTATATAAACATGATAGGTTAGAGTGTTGAGAAAAAAATCAATAAACCTTTTTTATCCCCGTTTACTCTGTTGTTCCAAAAAAAAGTCCGTTGCGTATTTTAGTCATACCCGATGAATTGTGGGTAACTTCTGTACATGTCTGGGAAAACCAACTTTCATTTTTGCATCAAAAGCTAATGTGAAAATGCATTTTCTAGCATAATTGTTGTTAGAGGGTTGGTTAAAGTGTAAGTTATTGTTATTTTAGTTATAATATTGTGATTTGTGAGGAAATTTGTAAACATTTTTTTTGGACACCAAATTACCTGTCAGACCTCAGTGTAGCCCCTTTAATATAAGTTACAAGAACTTGTTTTGCAATTGAGCTACAATAAATATGTTTAAACTACATGTACTATAATTTTAATGAATTTGCTGTTTGATAAGGGGCAAATGATTATGCAATTTATTGTATATCATTAACAATCAGCATGAATTGATACTGAAAGGTTTATTCAATGACTCTCTGAAATACTCAATAAGCCACTATTTGAGCCGCGTCATGACAAAACCAACATAATGGGTTGCGACCAGCATGGATCCAGAGCAGCCTGCGCATCCGCGCAGTCTGATCAGGATCCATGCTGTTCGCTATCAGTTTCTCTACTTGTTATAGGGTTTGTAAACGAACAGCATGGATCCTGATCAGACTGCGTGGATGCGCAGGCTGGTCTGGATCCATGCTGGTCGCAAACCCATTATGTTGGTTTTGTCGTGACACGGCTCAAATATAATAATCTCAGCTTCATTAACACCATGTAATAATTTAAGCTTAGATGACTTTGATATCATAATGCTTGACATGATATCTGCAAGAATTTTAAATTTTATGCTTTTAGGCTTTTTTACCTTAATTGAACTCCTTTAACCATGTATGGGGACCATACCAAAGAGTTCAAATCTTCATGTCGCTGCTTTCATAAATGATATTGTGGATGATGTGATATAAGAGACATTCTAATGAAGGACACTGAAATATTCTGAAAAAGCATATCAGAAAATATTATTTGCTATAAAAATTTGTGTGATAGAAATACAACTTTTGATGTGAATATTGACCATAAGTCACCCCTGTTAAATATGTTTGCAGAGTATCGACTTTTATATAAATCAATTGACAATATATTTTTATTTTTAGAAATCTGAAGTTGTTGATGAGATAGCTGAATATCAACCTTATAATCCATTCACAGAACTTTTGTTTCTTGAGCAGCACAATGATATTGTACGACTACTTCTTAGGATAGACTCGAAAAGGTGAGAATAATGATGCTTTCTGACATTTTTGTAAGTAACATACAATGTAGCACAATTAGGCATGGCTGCCCTAGATGTCCTGGCCTTTTGATTTTTTTTTTCTATCAAAAAGGGACATAAAGAGAAAAATATCAGCAAAAACTGGCTTAAAATAATTTAGACATTAATTTAAGTCTGGACCTTTGCTGAGCTTTTTGCTATAAAACTATCAATGAAAACACTGTATGCCTAGAGGCAATTCACCCACATAAATGTTAGATAATGATATATTCTGGAAATGCATCAGAAACCTTGATTTTATCAACTAGAACTTGAAGCCCTGACTTCATGTTCTTAAACACATGTTTTTTAAAATGTGCACCGAAAATGCACCAAAAGCCACCATTTAATATTCAGAATATATGTATGTAATATGGTGAAGATTTATGTTTTCAATTCTAATGTAGATGTGTTTCTGCTGCTGACGACAATTTAGCCGTTGTTTGGGATATACAGTTCGGGTATAAGCTGGTAACATTGAGTGGGCATACAAGGCCTATTACATGCATGCTTAATCTGTGTAAAAGGGGAGATAATCAACAACAGATAGTAACAGGGTCTTCTGATAAACAAATTCGGGTAATGTAAAAAAGATTATTATAAAGATTTTCACTGTTTTGAAGTAAATTTGATACAATGCATTTGAAATACATCAGTCTTATTGGACAAAAAATACATTAAAACATTAAATGCAAGGACAAATCACTATTAATACTTACGTATAAGATGAATAACTTACAGGATGGGTTCTCACTTTATGTAAAAAATGATTAGCAGTATTTGGCATTGACTTTTAAGATCTGCAATTTTCTTTGTTACTAAACTGAAATTAAATTTTGAATAAATTTCATTCTTCAAACTTTGAACAAGTATCCATTGAGTGCATTAAACTTTTATGTAATCACATACATATCCCAATATTTGTAATACTATTGCATGATTGTTACATGTTTGTAACAGTGCCATTATTGGATTTTACAGATTTGGAATATTGATACAGGTGATTGTTTGAATGTGTTGACTCAACATGAATCTTCAGTCAAGGTTGGTATATTATAAAGGTTAACCATACACTAAGCCAGTTAAGAGAACACTTTTGACAAAATTGACATCTTAAATAATAGGATAAAAAGATCACAAACCAACAAATTTTATCAAAACATGTTTCGCTTTAATAAGCTTCATCAGTTTATAAATACCATAATATAAATATAAATACCAAATAAGTTTTACTTTGAACTTTAAATTACCTTTATATTGAAATGAATCACTTACCCCTCACCGCTGTGGGTTCGAATCCCAACAGGGACTTTGGATTCTTTCATGTGAGGAAGCTGTCCAGCTAGCTAACGGAACGTCGGTGGTTCTACTCAGTGCCCGTTCGTGCCTGAAATAATGCATGGATGGGCACCTGAGGTCTTCTTCCACCAGTAAAGCTGGAACATGGCCAAATGACCTATACTGTGTCAGTGTGACGTAAAACCCAATAAAACAAAGAAATAAATTATATTGAAATGACCTTGATTATCAAGGTCAAAATGTTGAACTTTGTTGAAATTGTTAAACTTTGTTAAAAAACGTAGATATCAATTGTGAGTGCATTTCAGTGCATTTTTTCACTGTTTGAGTTAAATGATCAAGAATATAATCACAATGACTGTTAGGGCGTTACTAAGGCAACAAATGTGCTGGCAGATTTGGGTTTGGACTGGTTATATTGGTACATGTATAACCAGTTGCTGTCAGCAGTCTATGGCTTTTGGAATCTTTCTTATTTATAAAAAAAAAATCTAATTTGTGAACAAAATAAAATATAATTGGAAAATATTTCAGTGTTTACTGTCATTTGGAGGAGATGGGTGTTTTTGTTCCGGTGGTGAAATTTTATGTCTATGGTCTAGGAAAGGTGACCTTCTGGCTTCTTACAAGTGCGACGAAACTGAAAGTATGTGTGATTTCCAAAATTATTGATTATTTAGAAATTTTAGGAGTAAATAAACGTCATTAATTTTCAGATTAGTATAGTTAATTTACATGTACATGTAAAGAAATAGGTTTAAGAAAGCTATTTAGATATGTGTATTGAATTGTAATATTTAAAAGCGAATTTCATGTACAAAATTTGTATGCACACCCTCTGATGTAGCAAAGACTGAGACATGTGAACACAAAAACATTATACTGTACCAATTTTTCAGTATTTTTTTCTTAATTCAGAATTATAAACAGCTACTCAGGATACCATTGCTAGTTAAGTAGAGATATTTAATTATAAATACCATTGTCAGTGATGAAGAAATACATTTGCCCCAGTTTGTTGTATTTTTAGGTGATATAATTAAGATGATCGCGATAAGAAATGATAGAATTGTTGCGTCTATGGATAAATATCTAGGTAGGTATATTTTATTTGTGTGTCTAGGCTTCTTTAACCAAGTGGTTTAATTCACTTACTTTGAATAATAAGTTGTCTGTACTGTTTTGGTTTTGAACCTGCAAGGGTTATTTTGTTGTTGTCTTTTTTCTAATTTGAAGAATATTTTCAGTTGGTACATGTAGGTATAACGGTTACTGGTGCAATCATTGTTTACTTGTGTATTCATATGGCAACATTAACAGTTGTTGCATGGCTGTTGTACTAATACAAAAGTTATTTCATAAAAAGGTTACCATAGCTTTCAAAAGATGTAGAAGTTTAAAATTATTCCTAACTTGAAGTTGAATAAGCCATCAAGCATTTTTTTCTTGCCCAGGTTGTCATGGTGACAACTTTAATCTTGACCATAGAATCTTCATTTTAATACTATAAGATGGAGCTTATGTAGTCATTGACATTGTACATTGTATTTTTAAATTTACTTATCTATTTTTTTTAAAATATCACCAATTTCAGTTGTTTATACAATAAAGCAAGTGCAGGGAGAAGAAGCAGAAATTTCCCTTGTGAAGAAATTACCCCCACATAGAGAACCAGTGAGGTGTCTCATCAACATGGCAGGTAAGTTATTTCCATAAAGAGAATAATTCAAGTGTCTTGTCAAAATAAGTAAACGCCACATAGAGAACCAGTCAGATGTTTTATCAATATAGCAGGTAAATTGCCTCAACATAGAGAACCAGTCAGATGTTTTATCAATATAGCAGGTAAATTGCCTCAACATAGAGGACCAGTCAGATGTTTTATCAATATAGCAGGTAAATTGCCTCAACATAGAGAACCAGTCAGATGTTTGTATCAATATAGCAGGTAAATTGCCTCAAAATAGAGAACCAGTCAGATGTTGTATCAATATAGCAGGTAAATTGCCTCAACATAGAAGAAACCAGTCAGATGTTTTATCAATATAGCAGGTAAATTGCCTCAACATAGAGAACCAGTCAGATGTTTTATCAATATAGCAGGTAAATTGCCTCAACATAGAGGACCAGTCAGAATGTTTTATCAATCTATAGCAGGTAAATTGCCTCAACATAGAGAACCAGTCAGATGTTTTATCAATTATAGCAGGTAAATTGCCTCAAAATAGAGAACCAGTCAGATGTTGTATCAATATAGCAGGTAAATTGCCTCAACATAGAGAACCAGTCAGATGTTTTATAAATATAGCAGGTAAATTGCCTCAACATAGAGAACCAGTCAGATGTTGTATCAAAATAGCAGGTAAATTGCCTCAAAATAGAGAACCAGTCAGATGTTTTATCAAATATAGCAGGTAAATTGCCTCAACATAGAGAACCAGTCAGATGTTGTATCAAATATAGCAGGTAAATTGCCTCAACATAGAGAACCAGTCAGATGTTTTATCAATATAGCAGGTAAAATTGCCTCAACATAGAGAACCAGTCAGATTTTTATCAATATAGTAGGTAAAATTGCCTCAACATAGAGAACCAGTCAGATGTTTTATCAATATAGCAGGTAAATTGCCTCAACATAGAGAACCAGTCAGATGTTTTATCAATATAGCAGGTAAATTGCCTCAACATAGAGAACCAGTCAGATGTTGTATCAATATAGCAGGTAAATTGCCTCAACATAGAGAACCAGTCAGATGTTGTATCAATATAGCAGGTAAATTGCCTCAACATAGAGAACCAGTCAGATGTTTTATCAATATAGCAGGTAAATTGCCTCAACATAGAGAACCAGTCATATAGCAGGTAAATTGCCTCAACATAGAGAACCAGTCATATAGCAGGTAAATTGCCTCAACATAGAGAACCAGTCAGATGTTTTATCAATATAGCAGGTAAATTGCCTCAACATAGAGGACCAGTCAGATGTTTTATCAATATAGCAGGTAAATTGCCTCAACATAATGAACCAGTCAGATGTCACATCATTTTTAGGGAAATTTCAAGAGTGAGACTAAAAAAATATTAGAGCACCACACTAAATAGCGTATTCTGGTATATACGGGACAAGGGGCTTGAATGATAAAACGCTAAAATCTGGCCCTTTCAATCAGCGGAATGAACTTAAAATGTCTAATTCATCTCTTCCCACAAATTTTTATATGATAAATTAAAAAAAATATAAGAATGAGCAAAAAAAAAACTATATTTGTCAATTTTTTTATTATGATTTATGCAAGCGTCTAGAGCTACTGCTCCCAACACTGTCTTCAGTTAAATCCATTTCAAAATATACATGTACTGATTGAGTCACCAAAATAAAGTCCAGTATCAGATGACACAGGTCTGTTAACTGATCTTTGTCACTACTGGAACTTCTGGTTGCATGGGTAAAATCTGTTTCCATCAGCAGCCTTAGGGTTATAGACTTAATATGAGCCATGTAACGACAAAACCAACATGGTGCATTTGCGACCAGCATGGATCCAGACCAGCCTTCGCATGCGCGCAGGCTGATCAGGATCCATGCTGTTCGTTAACCAACTCTATTACAAGTAGAGAAACTGATAGCGAACAGCATGGTTCCGGATCAGACTGTGCGGATGAGCAGGCTGGTCTGGATCCATGCTGGTCGCAAACGCACTATGTTGGTTTTGTCGTGACGCGGCTCATACACTTCTCCGAATTAACTTGTTGTCTTATAAATTTGTTGCTTTTATCTTTCTTACAGATGACATATTTGCCAGTGCCTCTCTAGATGGAACTGTTAAGTTATGGAAAACAGATAGTTTACTATCATACCGGTATTTTAACTCGGAGAATGAAGAGTACCAGGGCGCTGAAAAGACTTTCCCATACAGCGTAGATACTATGCTATGTTTAAAAAATGTAAGCTGCCATTCTAGAATTGTCCTGAAAGTTATTGAGAGTTACCATCAAGTTCAAATTTTTAAACTTGAGGAAACTGAAAGAAGAAAAAATGCCCTGAAAACAATATTCTTGATAATTGCAAAACTTGTAATTGTGCAACCTTTATAAGGGTGAAGTCCCTATTTTCGAAGGAGTAAGATGTTAAGAAGATTTCACTGTTACATTAATGTTGTGGAATAGATTTGCTTAGTTCTTAGATAAAATTACCATATTATTTTTGTACATGATAAATTTACAAAATTTAACATCATAAATACCATGTACATACAAAAGGGTTGGACCATAAGTTATACCAACATTAACTTGGGTCTTTAAAGGAACTCCACTGAAGTTTATAAGCCTAAAAACATAAAAATTTAATTTTTCACATAGATAAACATGAGCACTTAAAACAGAAATATAAATAAAATATAACCAAGAAATATACAAAAAATACATTGAAAATCATATGTTTGTGCTATTCTCAGTCCGATTTGAGTGAAAAGCGTTTAAACGCTTTTCAATTTTGGGTCATTTTTCACTATCATAATAATTATTCTGGAAAAACGGAGGGAGATAATGATCTGAAATTTTGCACATACGTTGTTAGTATAGATCTACATCAACTGGAGTAATAATCTCAAAAAATTATTTCGAGTCCCGTCATGTCAAAAAACCTCAGTGGAGTCCCTTTAATCCCTAAAGGTCTATCATGTTGGGTTAATGGTCACATAATAAGTAAGTGAGGATTTTAGAAATTCTTAGATATTTATGAAGTAAGCGATGTCAGTTTCGTGTATTACTAATTGTTAAAAAAACATGCTTATCAGAATAAACAAAGAAAAATACAAATTAATTAGAAAAATGACTAAAATGAGAAATATTTACATAGTGTACAAATGTAATTCTTTTTGATGGAATTATCACATTTATATTTTCAGAGATATATTGTAGCTAGCATTGGTTCCGGATTCACTATATATGACATAGAGACAGGTCAAACTGTGTTAAGAAAAGAGCATGCCCACCATTCCAAAATTAACGATATAACCTTTACATGTGAAGGGTAAGTTTGGGAATCTGGCCAGATTTCTGATTGATATTTTTTTCACAGCTAGTATAAAACCAAGACATACCTGCAATGAAATGATATGTTTTGTTAATCCTTATGCTCATTTGATAGTTTTGTTTGGTTTTAAAGAAACTCCACTGAGGTCCAAAGGCGTAAAAACATTAAAATTGAAAACCTTACAAAGACCAAGTGAAACAGTAAAAAAGGAAAATAATCAGTAAATAATATTAAAGAAATTGCTAGGAATTCAATGAATATGGATTTTTTTTCGCAATTCTAAGCTGAATTTGAGAGAAAAGTGTTGTTTAGGTCATTTTGTACAAAAAAGGATTGTTCTGGAAAAACAAGGTGAGTGAATGACCTGAAATTTTGCACACAAGTTATTGACCCAGACCATAATAAAATGTTACACAAATCTTGTAAAAATATTCCCAGTCCTGTCATGTCAAAAAACTTTAGTGGAGTCCCTGTAAGTCACACTGGCTCTGTAAATTGCATATAATGACTTTCCTGCTATACTGGTGGAGTAAGATTACTGGTGCCTTTTAGTGCATTTTATCAGGCACATATAGGCAACTTGAATTGAACAATGACATTCCATAAACTACATGTAGCTGGTCACCTTTACTGGACAATGCTGAAACAAGAAACTTTTTAGTTAAACTTTATTCAATACAATATCAAGTATTTATTGACACCAAAATAGAGAAAAACAGAAATCTCTTAAGTACACTCAAAACACACAAAATAAAAAAAAATTTGCAGGCTCGGTTTGATTGAGCCTGTTCATGGACAGTACTTGAAAGTCTTACACTATCTGCGTGATTCTCTTTTGAAGATTTATAAACAAATTGTTCATACATATACAAATGTTACAATGGAAGAGTTTTTTTTAAACATTTTAATTTGCTAGTTAAGCAGTGCCAAACAATGAATTTTGATACAGGTAAACCATTAATTACAGGTTGTATTTGGCAACAGCAGCAGTGGATGGATCTATAAGACTGTGGAGTTTTGTAGATGTAATTAAAGACACTATACAGGGAAACTCTGCATCTCATAAACATGGGAATACAAGCTCAAGGTTAGTCATTACATTCTTGATACATGGGAAAACTTACCAGTACCAATGTTTAAAATAGCAATTTCGGTTGATATGTTGTACATCAAATGAGGGCTTTCATTAAGTTCCAAACTTTGGTAGTCAGAGACTGCAAAATGTCTGACAATTAAGAAGTCACATTATATAGGCAAAGAAGGAAAAGCAGTATACATGTATTTTGAAGTCACAAGTCAAAATCAGGTGTAAATGACTCCCAAACTTCCACTAATGGAAGTCCTGCAAGTTAAAAACTGAGAAAAAGTACTAGTATGTACTTTGCTTTGGTTTATTTTTGCAATGTTTGTGTTCAAGATTTTATGAAAAATTAATGTAAGGGGAGAGACACCTTTGACTTATGTAAAAGAAGATATCTTAATATATTTAGATTCTATGTCATGTTGTACATTATTTAGTTTGGATTTAATTTTGAGTATAACTTTATAATGTGTTTAGTGTTTGAAAGTGTGTTGTTATTAAATATAGAATGCTTGAGAAATGGTTATCTGTGGAAAGTAAGATGTCATTAGTGGGAGAATGTTTGGCTCATTCCGGACCTGTCCAGGTATGTAAGCTGTTTTATTATTATTATTATTATTATGCAATATTTTAATTAAAAGATTTTATGAAATGGTATTTGCAGTTAACATTATTCAATTTTGAATGTGTTAACTTTAAGCTGTTATTATTATTCTAAGATGTTTTCTTTATTTGGTGATAGTAAACCTTTGTGGCTGATGGGTTGCCTTGAATGGTTGAGGCATCCGTTTAACCCTGTCTGATTGTAGGAGGCAACTTAATGGTTTTGAATAATTGGAGTCTATGCATCTCTTAACTCCAGCAGGTGAGGTGGGTTTGACCCCTGCTGTTGCTTTAAGTTTTATCACCCGAGGTTAGCGGAAATCATCTTTCCTTTTTCAGTGCCATCTGACATTAATTTTGTTGGTGTGCCATAAAAACACAAAAACAAAACAAAGAAAATACTAGTAATAATTTATTGCACAATAAGCAATGTAATACATATTAAAATTTGATTTTTTGTTTGATTAACATATGTGAAAATTGTTTTATAAATTAAACAGTCTTCTACAGTTGTGTTGCCAGATTAATATCATGTTCTGCAAATAAACCAATTTTAAAGGGAATTATAGAATTTGCAGTTGACTACTTATTTTTTACTACTTAATAAACCAATCTGTAACACATGTGATGCTTGATTAATATAGATCTATGTAAAACATGTTCTGCAAATAAACCAATCTTTCACAAAGGTATTGCTTGATTAACATATGTAAAAAATGTTCTGCAAATAAACCAATCTTTCACAAAGGTATTGCTTGGTTAACATATGTAAAACATGTTCTGCAAATAAACTAATCTTTCACAAAGGTATTGCTTGGTTAACCTATGTAAAACATGTTCTGCAAATAACCAATCTTTCACAAAGGTATTGCTTGATTAACATATGTAAAACATGTTCTGTAAAAAATCAACCTCTAACACAGGTGCTGCTTGATTGTGATGATGAAAGTATTGTGTCTTGTGGGGTTGATGGACTTGTTATTGTATGGAAGGTACAATTTAGTTTCTATATTTCTTTATTTTAAACATGAGTAACATTTTTACTAGTAATTAAATTACTATACATAATATGTGTGTATTATGAAAGTCATTATTTAGCTATTTATATAAATAAGCCTATCAGTTAAATATATTATTACTGATTCATGCAGATTGCAGCCCCAAGCCATAAAAATGGAAGAATAATTTTGTTAAGGTTTTTTTTTTAAATATATAGATGTGTTATAATTACAATTCACTGTTTGAGGCGTCTGTTGGAGTGTGATTAAGGTTGTTGACTTCAAACCTCTTGGCTCTCACTGCTGTAGGTTCAAGTCGCTCCAGTGTCTTTGGATTCTTCATGTGAGAAAGCTATTCAGCTAGAATGTTCTACTTAGATACCTGTTTGTGCCTGACAAAATGGTCATAAGGCACCTGAGGTCTTCCTCCACCAGTAAAGCTGGAAAGTCGCCATATGATCTATATTGTGTCAGTATGACGTTAAACCAAACCAAAAAACAAAATTTGTGATTCTTCACCCTATATAAGAGGCATATAAAAGACCTCTTCCCAATCTAAATTTTCTTTCAAACCATGCAGTTTTTCCAAAAAATCTGAACACCAGCTTCATTACTTCCCAAATTAGCATTTTTAGGGATAATCTTTTCCTAAATCAAGAGACTTAGCCCTCTAACCAATTAGATGAGAAAAACCACCAAACCTTTTGCTGAATCAGGAAATTAATATTTAGCTCAGTGATCTGGAGCTTTGAGTTTATTTGTTTGAAAGGTGATGAACCTGGGTTTGATTCCTACCAGAAGTAAGAGTTTGTTTCTGAAGCAATTGCATCTTCCTGTTATAAAGTTATAATGTATGTAAGATTTTTTTTTATCGAACAAACAAGATATGGCAACTTCTCCTCTTTTAATTTTCAGAATGAGAATGTGCAGATGATAAAACGAAATCATGTCATACAAACAATGATGATGTGTGATGGAATTGTGTGACCGTAAAAAAAAATCAGACGGTCAAAAAATCAAAAGGTCAAAAAATCAAAGATTAAAGAGAAGCTGTCACTATAGAAACATGAGAGATTCATTACATATCATTAAGATGTTGTGTCTGTTTTGAAACATGTGCTACATATTGGAATGACTATTGAACTAGTGATCTGACTTCTAGCTTACTGTGATTGCTCTTAGACTGATAAGATACATGTACTGCAATAACTTGAGCTTACTACAGCCAACACCAAAATACAGCAGTCATTTTGGCTAACTACCATTGGTTGCTACAGCCAACTCCATATACAGCAGTCACTTTGACTTACTACAGTCAACACCATGATAATGCAGTCATTTTAGCCAACTACAGCTGTCACTTTAGCTTACTACAACCAACACCAAAGTACAGCAGTCACTTTGACTTGCTACAGCCAACATCATAATACAGAAGTCACTTTTGGTTGCTACAGCCAACTCCATATACAGCAGTCACTTTGACTAATTACAGCCTAGTCCAAAATACACCAGTCACTTTGGCACCAAAATACACCAGTCACTTTGACACCAAAATACAGCAGTCATTTTAGCCAACTACAGCAGTCACTTTGACTTGCTACAGCCAACACCAAAATACAGCAGTCACTTTGGCTTATAACAGTCAACACTAAAATACAGCAGTCACTTTGGCTTATTACAGCCAACACCAAAATACAGCAGTCACTTTGGCTTATTACAGCCAACACCAAAATACAGCAGTCACTTTGGCTTTTTACAGCCAATATCAAAATACAGCAGTCACTTTGGCTTTTTACAGCCAACACCAAAATACAGCAGTTACTTTGGCTTATTACAGCCAACATAAAAAAACAGCAGTTACTTTGGCTTAATACAGCCAACACTTAAATACAGCTGTCACATTGGCTTCATACAGTCAACACCAATATTCAGCAATCCATTTGACTTACTGCACTCAATTCCAAAATACAACTGTCACTTTGGCGTATTACATTCCATACCAAAAATTAGCAGTCACTTTGGCTTACAACAGTCACAAATAAAATACAGCAGTCACTCTGGCTTGTTACAGTCAGCACCAAAATACAACTTGCCAAAATACAGTTGAAACTTTGGTATACAGTTTTTCATTTTGGTCAACTTAAGTCAACACAAACATTAACAATTTGGCTAAGTAAAGGCAATTGCAAATATATAGTTGTCTCTCGGACTTATTACAGTTGACACACAATACTGGAGCCACTTTGACTTTTTAGTCAAAGCTAAAATACAGTAAAGGCTTACTGTAACTTCTTGTTCATGAATCAGGAAAGAATTGAGATATTCTGGTAGTGGACAAGTTTTTACAATGTTATAAGGATTTAAGAGAGAATAAACCTAGAGTGCAATATGGACATACCCTTATCTAACTTTATGAATGGTTGAAAAAAAACAACAGTAAACCTATAGTGCAATATGGAAAGGTCCTTATTTAATGTTATATATGTAAGAATAAGAAAAATTGACACTAAGTTCTACTAAGCATTTATTTTTTATCTGTGATATATTACTTTCTTGTTAATTTCTTGTCTTATTTTGTCCTGTTATATAAAGATTTATTGTTGTATTAAAGTCATTGAAATAAAAATGGTTGAGATGTTTTGAAAAGTTTGAACATGTTTGTAATGTTGAATGATATCCTAACATATGGAGTGTTTAGTATGTGAGGTGAAACTCAGTAAAAACTAGTCAAGTTTTATGTTTTATAACTTATTTATTTAAACAAAAAGGTAACTGTTAAACAGTTACTTAACAATAAAATATGTGCAATGAATTTATATATACACTGAATTTATTTGTACAACGAACTGATAAGTGTAATGAATTAATTATTGACATGTACAATAAAATGCATATTCATTGACAATTTACATCTGTTGACATTCATTAACATAAATATAAACAACATTTACATAGATAAAAAAAGGAAAAACAAAATACACATATATGTTTGTACATATATTTTGTACTAATACAATGATGAACAACAAAAATTATCACAGTGAACATATTATTGATCAAGCAACACTTTCAAACGAATGCTTATTATACACATCAACATGATTTATTTTTTAAATAAATGTGCTCAGTTTGAGATGAATAATTTGAGCCGCGTCACAACAAAACCAACATAATGGGTTTGCGACCAGCATGGATCCAGACCAGCCTGCGCATCCGCGCAGTCTGATCAAAATCCATGCTGTTCGCTATCAGTTTCTATTCTTGTTATAGGGTTTTGTAAGCGAACAGGATAGATCCTGATCAGACTGTGCAGATGCGCAGGCTGGTCTGGATCCATGCTGGTCGCAAACGCATTATGTTGGTTTTGTCGTGACGCGGCTCATTTACTTATAAAACTGAAGTTGTCATTTTGAGATGAATACAGAAAACTTACACATATTCATCTGCTCTGTGTATGCTAATTCTTGGATATAATACCTCCTTTTGGTTACACTAACCCTGCCCAGCTGATAATGCTTAGGTTTGACCAGTGTGCACAATTGTGTGCAAGTCTTACCAGGTCTAAACTTGGTTGTTCAGTTTTTGCAATTTGAATATTAAATCCCCTTAAATTTGAATGGCCTGTTTCAAATTCAAAGGTGGACAAATCCACAACACAAATTTAGCTATTTGCATTTTATCAAGTGAGAGAATCACCAAATATTGGAGTCCAAAGATCTTCGCATGCTGTACGCAAAATTGTAGTGAAAACTTCTTTGCTGTATTTCTGTTCATTTTTTTCGTAACAATCTTCTAAAAAGTTGTCTCAGTTTGGATGTCTGTTTAGTTGTTGTTGTTGTTGGTGTATAAGGTACAATGTTTATAGCACTGTTTGTTGACGTCTCAGAATAATCTGTGAATAACGTGAACAAATTAATTAACCTCCAAGTTCTAGTCATGATCGATTGATCCAGGGTAATATGTAGATGTAGACACGTAAACTAATCTTAAGTAAAAAATAATCTTTAATTGCTTCACTGTCATACATGTAGCTATAAAATTGTTGTTACACACCCTGCTAGTTGTGACAGAAACTAGCCATGCAACCATTGCAGACCAAGATCAACTGGCACATCCATGCCCACTGATCATTTTCTACACTGTTTGCTATTCAGTCAGTTAACTAATTCCGAAATTTTACCTTAAAATGGTTATATCCATATTGAAAGATGGATTGGTCCATTTAAGATATTTAGCGAAGTTAGGATTAAAAAGTTGAAGACAAGGTGCTTGATTACTAATATATTAATTTTATAAATTTCTGTAACAGGTCAACTTAAATATTAACAAACAATCTCTGTTTTTTAGCTAGATTGTGTTGGGTTCTTTAACCTTTATAATGATACACTCTTTTTTCCTAGAACAAAACCAGAATTAACCAATAAGTGTCAGGAAACAACCCCTTGGCACAGATTGGGTTTTAAGCCATATATGGCAAGCAATCGAGCATGTTAACCACGCGGCCATACCGGTCACCTCGCGGCCATCTCGAATGAAAAGTCTGACAGATCTTCAGCCTTCGCCAGAGATTATGATATAGTCTAGCAACTCATTGCAATACTCTCTTAGTTGAAGCTTTGCATTTTATCTTTATACAGAAACACCTTCATACATAAACTAGTTGGCAACATCGTTACATGCAATAATAAATCATCAAATATTAGGTAAGTTAAAAAAAAATATCAGTAGATATTACTTACGATATGGTAGCCATGAATCTGTTTCTTGAACATACTTATATTGAGGTGTACTGAAATCTTTCTTTACATTTGGATCCCACCATTCTTGAGCTACATATCGCTGTAATTACAAAAAGAAAAGTTTATTTTGTTTGATATAACTGAATCATCGGTTATATTTTTGATATAGCTAGCTTATAATAACATCCTATCTTGTTTTACAAAATTTCGTAAAAGCCGTGCATACTAAAAACATAAATCTTGTAATCAGTATACATGTAGTATGGTACATTCCTAAATATAGTCTGTAGAATACAAAAAGGTTTTTTTCACATTTAACGGATTCAATACCACAGGAATATGCACATTAACTAGCTTTAGTCCTGTTTGAAAAACAAAAGATGAAAGAACAGCAATTTATAAATTTTACTTTTTTGTTTTCTGAAGCCTTAGATTGCGATTCTTTCGGTTTTTCCTCCTTCAACTTTTCAAGAAACTGTTTAGTATTTTCTGTCATACGTCCTTCCTTTTCCACTTCTTCTGCAAAAGCGTCTAACTGACCCTGATCACCATTTTCCTGACCTTCGTCTGCTTCTCGGTAACATACTGAAAACGAAGACATTTCCATATGAACACTAGAGTGGACACAGTCGAAGAATTCAAGATTACAGAAATAAAAACAACACAATCTATCCGTCTTTATAAGCATTGAGTATGTAAAAGAAATATTTAGACACAGGCCATCTGAAAATGTCCTCCACCGGTTAAGTTAGCCATTGCAGTGAATTAAAAGAAAGGACTGGAGTGAACACCAACCAAAACTGAGCAGCCTGATCGACGAAATGTTGGGTCTTATGAAAGAGAAAGGAATTATAAGACCGATATCGGAAAATCTCCATTACTCAATAAACGGAGAAAACATATCAAATTAGACAAAAAAGAAACAAATTTTACAATACAAATGTACATGTATTACCTGCTAAAAACATATCCGTAATTAAGTTAAAGTCTTTCAGTTTAAGGTAAAAGCCATTAGAGCGCTCGGCTAGCTCCTCATAAAATGGTGTTGACACATTCTGGTTCAATGCCTGTACTCCATATACCTGAAATAAGACAACAAAAGATGAATGATTAATTACCAGAAATATAGCACTCGACAGCAGATCAAGTTGAAACTCTACTTCTTGAAATCGAAATATATAGGCCTTCATATTGTTTTTTTTCTTCTGTTGACATACTACTTGTGAAAATATCAGTATCTTCTGACTGTTAAAAGGTTATATAATTCGTAATAGTTTTATACATAATGATTATTAGTAAATGGTTACCTTGACACCCATGCCAGCTAAAACATCAAGTTCGTCCCGCCAAAATAGGTTCTGATCTGTATAAGAAGGTGGGTGGGGTATTTCATCACCGATCATTACGAATGCTTTAGCGCTGTCTTCAGACCAATCTAGCTGCTGAGCTTTACGTAAGGCCCACTCATATGCCTGGAAAACACGTCATACGTTTTCTTATACAATCAACTTCGCAAAGCTTTCTTGTTTATTGTTTAAAAAAATACTTGTATAATATGTGCGTAAGCCCATGTATACAGATATTATAAATCTTTAATGATCTAAGATTTCGTCAATACAACAATGTAAAATTAAAATAAAATTCATGGACAGATTCAGATGGATATGTTAAATTAAGGATACATTTTCTCAAAACCATTCTCTAAAGCAATTAAGTAGATTCTTTAACAAGACTGGTGAAAAAAGAGCTACATTATACAGGAGAGGGAAAACAAGTCCAATAAATAAGAATTTGTTATATTTTTACTTCTTGGCAAAGCAATCAGGCTTGCCAGACATATGCCCTATGTCTACAGGAAAACAAGAGTGATTATCGAAGCTGCGCTTCCGATTTGATTATACATTGATTGCTCTTTTTATTTAATTTGTAGCCTATCATTTTAAAATCTTCATGTTCTGGTATACGTTTTCTTACCTCCCCTCCATTACCCCCACCTCCTGTCGACCCTACTCCATTGACAAAGTTCACTACCGTCTCAGTATCACTCGTTAAATCGACGGAAGTAACCACATACTTATCAAAATCGCAGAAATCACCATTGGCCATGATTCCTATACGCATGTTTGGGATATCACTTAATAACCGTGTGCATGTCTCACGCAGTTTCGTTCTAACCTGAGAAGTAAAATTAGGGAAAAATTGAGAAATGAAATGGTATACTATAAACTAACCTCTGGCGCATCGCATCCGGAAGTTGAAGGGACATTGTCAGCAAAGTCTACGAGGTTGTCGACGTCAGTTGTGAGGTCAACATAACGCGTCACATATACATCATAGTCACAATAGTCACCAACTGCCATTATCCCAATGCGCATGCGTGGGACGTCTCGCAACAAACGTCGACATGTTTCACGTAACTTATTTCTTACCTAAACAAATATTAAAATGCCATTAAGGAAACTATCGGACAATAGTTGATGTGCATAGCTAATATGCATCGGAATTGCTTTTTTTTTCTTCAAGGTATACTTATTTATGTATCTCCACACTTTTTCTTGGATTTAGTTAACTTGAGAAATGTTCAGGCATAGATCTGAGGATTTGTAAGCAAGAAGGGTTCCTTGATCATTTACTAATGTTTGTTTCTCCGGATAAAACTTTCAACCATTCATAAAGCAGAACAAAACAGCAGCGAGGAATGAATTGAATTGTCCTGAACTAAAAGAAAATATGCGCCACACCAAACACACAATAATTAACAGACTAAGGTCTTTGGAGCTTATTATACATATCTAGACATCTTATTTCATTAACTTATTGTTGTTATTTTCTCATATAATCTTCTTGTTATGTTCCAAACAAAGTTTCATAGTAACTCGGAAACAAATACTGATTTGATAGGTCTACATAACAATTGTTATATATATATTGATGTAAGATTAGAAATAACATTGTATCTACATCGACCATCAAATGAATTTTGCAGGTTAAAATTTTTGTTCAAAGTAAAGTTCACTTACCGTTGTCAAACAACTGTACATACTGCCCGTTGTATCAAAGCAGAAAACAACTTCGACGTTTCTTCCGCCAGTATTAAAGGTGTTGATTAAATCCTAAACCAAAGAACAACAAAAGTATATAAGATTATGATTATAGGGTTTAATTACATTAAACTTTTACTACAGGACATTTAAAGGACAAAATTTAATCGTCTTTGTCTTAGAGTAAAAATGTATGAAAAATGAATTTATAGTAAATCGGACATTTAGAAGGCACATGCAGAAAAGTTCGTTTTATCTAGATCCATAAAATTATATAGATGCTTACCATATAAGCATTTAAGATTCTTGTGACAAATTTTCAAATATTATACTAGTAATAGTAAACAGTTAAAACGTCATATTTTCTTGTACCTGTTTTTTCTCTTCGTCAACTTCTTCTGTAATGTCCGAATTATTGCCATCTGCAAATAAAAGAATATTATTTTGCAATTTTTATGCTTTAAGGTTATAAAATTTACCCAATGTCCGTTGAAAATGTATTTATCACTGTCTATTTAACTAAAAATTGAATATCTCTGCCTGTATGAAGTATAAATGGACATCTGTTAAATACTTTTTTTGTCAGTTTTGATTTTATTTCACTAATCGTATGTGCATACACATATATTGTTTTTTCCCTTCATTTTTAGTTGGGTTTTAAAAGAAATAAAAGGAATCATTATTGGATGAATGTATATAATACTATACATATATACGTTTATTATTTTTGTGATGGGAAAGGGAAATCTAAGTGTGAGGTACACATGCTATATATAACTACTAATGAATCTACCTGACTGAGAAGATTTCACTGGAGTATATTCCTGCACGGTGATAACCGTATCGTCAGTCACCCCTACATCACACAACAAGTTTGAATCTCCGCTGATTTTCTGTCCAGTGGAAGTCTTTAAATAAACAAATAAAAAGTAATATCTTACTTTATATTTCAATACTTTCGTGTAATTGTCTAAAAAGAAAAACATGTAAAATATTGAAAAAAATTGGTTTGTAAGATTGTTTAAGACCTATATCAGACCACCCTGTGGTATATTAAAATCATATAAATTAAACAGGACAGTGAATCGGTTATAAGTAGGCCATATCAGCAAATTAAATGTTAAGTCAAATTAGCCAATATACGATATGCTGATAAAATGTCATTACAATACACGTTGACATTCAAGAGATATTTAAATCCACGAATAAAGGCAACAAAGGATTTATAGTAGTTATTCTAACCTATACAATAATATTGTGTTATTACTAATTTACAGGTTCTTTGATTTTTTTTGTCTTTGTTGCTGTTTTTGTTGTTGTTGTTAAATATAAGAATAGATATGGCCTACCTTTAGTATCTGTGTAGAAGGCGAGATCCCAGTCGCTTCATCTATCCTATGTTTCAATGTAAGGACGGTGTCTGTGTTTTTAAGTGTTAAGGGGTCGCACCGGCCATCAGGAAAGTTCACCATAATACCAATGTCTTTTGGGAAAACGATCTGAAATATAAAGAAAAGGTTAAAATAATAGTAATGTACATGTATTAATAATAATATATAGATTCAGATCATCAATACATTAAAGTTACAACGCATTGTATAGTACATAAATTATAATATGTATTAGAATAATTTATAATTATATAGCTACACACGTACGATGTTACACAAATATTTTTGAAAAGATTTAACTTGGATTTGAAAATGAACCCTTACCTCAGCCTTCAATATGGTTTCTTCACGAATCCCCAAATATCCAATCGTTTTTGATTTGTCAAGTATTTTCCCCTGGTACTTTAAGCGAAGCCTTCCTTCAGCGACACCCTCACCCTTGGCAACATGTGCAGCCACTTGGCGCACGGTGTCCGACGGTAAATGTTGCGATGAGATTGCTTTACCGCTAGGAAGTTTGATATACACATCAACTGAACAGGTGGCCATGTTTTCTTATTCCTTAATTTTTAAGCTACTACCACAAAATGCTTATTAACATTTCTGTTTAACCAAGTTACTTTCAGTTTTATATATAAACATTAGAGTTAAAAATAGACTATCTATTTATAAAATGGATCGCATCATTGGCAAGTATAAATAGATAATTCATTTCATTGGTTCATAAAAATAGAATTTAGAGTTGATTTTTTCCGCCAATATTCGGCAATTTACGGCTTTAAACGGAAATTTCATTCGTAAATTAAAGTAGGCAGAATGAGTAGAAGTAAACGCTGTACTTCGAATCTTATACAATGATGAAGAATTTGATACCATTAAGTCTTTCCTGGTGTGCTAATAAAATGTATACGCGACTGGTCCATACGTTAAGGTTGTTTTTCAAATAGCTATTGTTGCAACACATTAAATATCACCATATTATAATAATAATAATAATAATTAATAATAATAATAAAAATCGCGATATACAGTATGTAACAAATAACTTTCTGGTCATTTGATAATTTTCTTTCCTAATCCACTCGATCACTAATATTCTCTTAAATTGTTGTTTTGTTAATCATGTTACTGTTGTATGTTATTTGCAACTATACTTATAGCGGCTAATAAACTTGAAACTATACAAGCAATTACCTTCCTTGAAAGAAAAACAGCGACAACAACCTTAGTGAAACCTCTTAAAGAAATTGAACTGGACAAGTTGATAATTACTAAAAATACTAACCTGTGTTTTAAGTTTATATAATAAGGGTCCGCACTGTACGGACCACGTGAAATGATATTTCATTTTGTATTAAATTTTATAAGAGATAACGTGGTCTTGATGATAGTTCAACAAACTAAAACAAAATAAATGAAAGGCCGTAGGAATGTAACGTTTCGTGAGTTGCCTTCCCCTTTAACAGTGTAGACCTACGTACATAACTAACCTGTCATTATGTGCAGATTTGATTGTGTTTGTTTGTTTGTTACTTGATCAATGAACTACATAAGTCTATGTTTTGAAATGTTTGAGTCAATTAATTAAGTGACCTTAACATTTGCCCAAGAATCCCTAAAATCAAAGATCATAATAATATGTAGATACCATGAGAAGAATATCCTTTATTGATTGAAACCGGACTAACTGCATGAAGGCCATTGTGATATTAATTCTTAGTCTACATACTACAAACCGATTGAATGAGGGCTGCCATTCAATGAAGTTGAAGTTTGAGCGCTGACAGTCAAATTGTACTAAATGAATAAACATATTCAAGGTCGGTATTACTTGAATCCTTTGACCGTTCACCAGTAGAGCTTAACTTAATGGTGACTTAAAGATGGAATTCTCAAGTGAAAAATCAATGTTCTATCATTTTTATTCAAAACTCCAGTCAAGTAAATGGAACCAGTATGACGTCATATGGTAGCCTTCACGCGAGTCCTGGACAAAGCAAGATGGCAGGAGATCTGGATTCTCTTTTACCGGGGATTTCGGGACGAGATATGTACCGTTCCACGACAGGTCACAGGTTGGTGGACTAGCATCTTCTATGACTGAGGAGTGGAAGATTAATGAAACAGTCTGAAAATATAAATGGTGGACATTCACAGAATATGGCTATTCAAAGAATCTTTAAACTTGATTGTGCATGTCTACGGTGGCATAGAGGGGACATCAGAAATATTTCATCTATCACGTGCGCATGCGATAGCTACTACGTGCGCACGAGATAGCTATCTCGAGCGCACTTAATAGCTTGTAGTAGCTATTACGTGCTCACGTAGTTGCTATCGCGTGCGCACGTTTTAGAAAAAAATTATTTCTGATGGCCCTTTATGCAGTTGAAATGATTCCAAGTTTATACAAGTGCAACAACTATTTAGAACATCCGTTCGTCTTATTTTTATAAAGGATAATCTATTTTATATACATTTTTATTCATATCTTAATTACTTACATTTGGATTTAAGTCTATAAATACTCTTATTTAACTGAAGATTTCCCTTTAATCTGTTCAGTTGACGGGCGGTATAAAATAAAGAACATCCGACATCAGTTTTCACATAAGCTACCGAAAGGAAGTCCTTTCTCACCTTAAGGATATGTATAAAGCTTCGAAAATAAAAATGGTGTAATAATGTAAATGTTCAAAACTCACATATTTATTATAATTCTTCCCCGGTGTGTAAAATGTATACTCGATTGGTCCGTGATCACATTCGCCAACCTGAAGGTTCTCAGATTTGTTTACAGGGACCACAGGTGTGGCAATTGTCGAAATACATCTGTAGATATAATATAGATATATGTAATGCATAAATAGTAATACCCAGACTTTGCATGACAATTTTTGAGTAGATGCAAAATGATATCTATATCAAAGTGACAAAAATTCGAAATGATGTAAGTATTTCTCACCCTGGAGGGTCCGCCCATGTGTCATTCACCGTCACAAGAAAGCGTACGAACTGAAGTTTCCTAGGTGTTTCTGAACCCGAGAAAACTCCTTTCTTTAAACTACAGATGAAGAAATGAGCGGCTAACAATTTTACGGAAAACATCTTTTAAAAGTTTATCTTCACCTTGACAAATAGATAATAATATTTTGTGAGTATTTACAAGAGATAAGGTGACCTTTACCTTGACAGTCAACAAACCGATCTCATATACATGTATGTTAACAAGAGGGCCATGATGGCCCTAAAGTTGCTCACCTGTATATAGGGCCCCGAAGCGGGGCCAGTTTAAACCCCAGGGCTTTTATTTGAACAAACTTGGTTGACACCCATAAGAAGATGTTTCATGCTAAACATCTAAGGTCTAGCTTGTTGGGTTTTTTAAAAGAAGATTTTTTCAAGTTTTTTTCTTTACACACATAGTTAAAAACAATGACACACCTGGGGCAGGGCCAGTTTTGACCCCAGCGCTTTTATTTGAACAATCTTTGTAGACACTTACTAGACAATGTTTCATGCTTAATATCTGAACTCTAGCTATTCAGGATTTTTCAAAGAAGATTTTTAAGTTTTTGCTATACACATATAAGGAAAATCAATGTCCCCTGGGACGGGGCCAATTTTGACCCAATGGCTTTTATTTGAACAAACTTTGTAGACACTCACTAGAAGATGCTTTGTGCTTAATATCTAAACTCTAGCTATTTGAGTTTTTTCAAAGAAGATTTTGTAAGTTTTTGTCATACACATATAAGGAAAATGAATGACCCCCGGGTCGGGGCCAATTTTGACCCCAGGGCTTTTTTTGAACAAACTTGGAAGACACTCACTAGAAGATGTTTCATGCTTAGTATCTAAACTCTAGCTATTTGTTTTTTTTTCAAAAAAGATCTTTTAAGTTTTTGTTATAAACATATAAGGAAAATGAATGACCCCCGGGGCGGGGCCAATTTTAACCCCAGGGCTCTTATTTGAACGAACTTGGTAGACATCCATTAGAACATGTTTCATGCTAAATATCTTAGCTCTAGCTCTTTGGATTCTTTAAAGAAGATTTTTTAAGTTTTTACTATATGCATATAGGGAAATCAATGACCCCCTGGGGCGGGGCCAATTTTGACCCTAGGGCTTTTATTTGAACAAACTTGGTAGACACCCACTAGAAGATGTTTCATGCCAAATATCTAAGGTCTAGCTCTTTGGGTTTTTTAGAAGAAGATATTTAAAGTTTTTTCTTTTGGTTGCCATGGCAACCAGAGTTCTGCATGGAATGGAATTCTTTGAACAACTTTGTTAAGGCTTCACACAAGGAACATCTCTGTGAAGTTTCATTATGATCTGCCTTATGGTTTCAGAGCAGATGTCGTTTTAAAAGTGTGAACGGACAACGGACAACGTACGACGGACGAAGAGTGATCCTAATAGCTCACCCTGAGCATATGCTCAGGTGAGCTAATAAAAACGAGGTAAGAACATTGGAATCGGCGTTCCCTCATTTACGGATGCTTGTCACAGAATATATATATTGCAGTGGGTTCCGAGTGGGGACTTCTATTGACATTGTACAACTAAAGGTCTCTTTTGTCATTTCATGTACATTTATTTTTGATTTTCATAAACAACAACATTCAAGATAAGCACTGATAAAAGGTAATTTCAACTAATTTGAATATCGTGGGTTTTTTTAATGTAAGATGAAGAAAATAAACTGAATCCAAAAATTATCCTAGTTTTGCAAGCATCTAAGTGAACGCACGTCAATACATTTAATTTAATTGGTTGTCGACGACTAGATGTTTTGAGTAAAGGCAGGTGCTCAAATAGTTTCAACGTTGTTTAAAGATAATGGAAAAAGTACACAACCGTAACTTCTGTTTAACCATTCTCAAAGTTAAATTCTAAAGATCATATTTAAGAAGATTATTGGTCACTCGAGTAAGGAAAAGCCACTATTTTTTCCAGCCATATCTAAAAACTACATGTACACACAAAAAAATTGATGAATAAAAGTTACTGAATGTAAAACAGTGACCAAATTGGATGCTTAAACTTTATCAACAACATTCTCCACGCCCCTCAAAGAAAAACAAAACAAAAAAACATATATGATGTGTTATTTAATAAAAAAAATAACTGGATAGATCACAGTTTATTGACTGAAGAATACCTTTTACAAACATATGTCACTAATTAGAATCAATGGCAAACATTAACATATGAGCCGCGCCATGACATAACCAACATAGTGCGTTTGCGATCAGCATGGATCAAGACCAGCCTGCGCATCCACTGTTTGCTATCAATTTCTCTTCTTGTTACATGTATAGGGTTTGTAAGTGAACAGCATGGATCCTGATCAGACTGCGTGGATGTGCAGTCTGGTCTGGATTTATACTGGTCGCAAATGCACTTGTTTGGTTTTGTCATGGCGCAGCTATCTTACATCTATAATAAGATATTAATCATTTAAAGCAGTATGCCTCCAGATTAGTGTTATTTTTTATGATCTTTTAAAAACGAATTTACAAATAAAATATTATGAAGTATACAAAGAAAATAATTTACACATTGCAAACAGCACTTGCAATCCACATAAATTACTGGTCAAAACAAGCAAAAATAGCCCTTACTGCACCAGTAACGCAGTAGAAATGTAGTGATAAAATGAAATACTGCAAATTCAGTCCTTTTTCATACATAACATGTAATTTATTACTTGAACCTTGAATCTTTTATACTTTTCGTGAAATCTTAGTACTTTTTGTCAAGTGTATTTTCAAAAAAATAATATTTTGGCTCATCTGGAGGCATGCAGCGTTAACAGGTCAGATCGAGGAAAGACTACATTTAAGTTACTATCAGTTTCAGCAGGGTAAAGGTTGGAGATCCACAATTCAAAATGACCAAAAAAACTTCTTTATCATTGCCTATTCAATTCTTGGGCAATATAGTTTATATTATCTTGCTAGCCTATACAATTCAATGTCACTTGTGTACCCCAGATTTATTTCAAGTAATTCAACTAAATTTAGATTCAAAAATACATGCTATCCTTAAAGACGATTATAAAAGGCCTTTGAAGGCAATTTTATCAAAGCAAAAAAAAGAAAACAATAACTATTCTGAATTCATGATATTTACAGGACATTAAGCTTTAAAATAGATTCTTGATAAAAACAATACGCTGATCGTAAACAATTTGTATGTTAAATATAATTTTAAACGCCATATAATAATGCACTTACAGATGGACAGATGAATACAAAATTAATAGATAAATATATTAATATATATAAGCCATCATAATGATATTTTAAAAACTCTCTATCTTGTTTTTCATGGGTTTAATATAACCAATGTCATCATCCAATTAACACTGAACATTCTATACAAATGTAGTACCTTACATCTGTAATTTCAATCAACATACAATCCTTACATTTTTTGTATAAATTATTGAGTACATGTACATACAATAAAAGTCTTTACTGAAATAGATGTTCATTCAAATAACTTTGGTCCATACAACATAGACAATACACTGTATAGACCCAAACACTACACTAAAATCAAATAGTCAATAAATACATGTAGTCCATATATGTCATCTCAGTGCAATAGCAGGTAAAGTCCTTCTAAATTTAATACCAGTTATTGCTCTAAGGTGACAAGATCTTCAGGTCATGTAATTCTTTTCTATCCTTTTGCAAAGTATTCTATCAGTGAACCCTGGCGTTTTCATATTTGAAGTTTCAACCATTGGTGTTTCATATTTGACGTGTTTATTTCTGTTTTTCATCCATTGCACCAATATCTGTTCATTCACAGTTGTATGTATATATCTTACATTTACAAGTTTATCAAGCATGTTCATTCTCTCTCCATTCATCATCCAAGTACTAACATAAATCCTATCACTATAACATTGATGCCTATCAGGGGTACTGTAAAGAAAAAAAAACATCAAAAGTCACAACATGTTTTAACAAGATTTTCAAGGCTTTATTTTTTCTGAGATGGTCCATTTTGAATTTGAAGTGACCAATTTTGGTTTTACGACATACAATGTAGTTTGTGAGGCCTTGAATGCATTTGAAACCCTCATTTTGGCCTACATATTCATAATGGTATAATGTATCTTATTAATTGACAAAAAAGACAATTATGTTATATACCAAAAGTAAAATAAATGTACTATACAGATTTATTATTTCCACAAAACTAATAATTTTAATAATATATCTATAATGAAGAAATGAATGTCTTCTTTGCCTTTACATTTTTAGGAAAAATAGCCATGTTCATCAACTCTGGGACATACTACATGTATAACTTATAGTATGTCCCAGATCAACTCTGACAAGTACATATGTCTCAGTACCATGATTAATGATTAAATACAAATACTATACAGTATTACTTTTGATTTGAACTAATGGACTAATCTTAATAATTCAAAACGGGTCATCCCAGCTGGAAATGGGTTTAAAAATTTATATTGCCAACTTTACATATAAATAATAAACTAATGAACAGACATGTACATGTATAGTAAACTGAGAAAGAACTAACTTCTCATAACTGTTCTTATTGAGCGTATTAAATTCATCACTTGTGTTTTCATCCCAGGCTGCTCACCGAACCCTCTCTGATCTGTGCCCCAACCAACTGAAAATATAGAACTGCAATACTGAAATATGTCATTAATGTAAAAAATACGCTGCAGTGTGGAATAATCCGAATATTTGTTTTTACTTTCATGTCGGAAGAGTAAACCTTTCAATAGAATTCTGACAGCGAAAATGAACTAAACCTTATTATTAGCAAAACACAAATACGATTCTAGTCTTTGTTCCAAAAAACAGTGAAAAAATCCTGCAGACTGTAGTACATAAAAAAAGTATCCGAATTATGATCTGTCCGAATTTTATCAACTAGCCTGATGATAAAATTTGAAGTACTTAGGCGAGTGATGAAGAAATACCTACTCTTAGATAAAAACCTTTCTTCGTGAAGGATACACACTGCATTTAAACATAATATTACAGCTTCTATTAACGAATAAAGCCCAAAAGCCATAATTTCAAAAGATTTGTTGGCAATTTAGGCCTGGTAAAATATTTAACGAATAGGCCACTGGCACCAGGCCCCGTGTTCACAAAGAAAAGATCAGGATCAGGATCAACTGATCCTGATTTTATTTTCATTGTTTTATATAACTAAAACTGATTGTATTATGCTATAATTAAATGATACTTATTCGAAATGAAAATAATTGCTTATTTGCAAAGAAACCAACCTATTTTGGGATAAAATCAATAAATTAACAAAACAAATACAAAAATAATCGGATGAAGTTTAGGATCAAGATCAAAATTTGGATCAACTGTAAAATGCCCGTATCTTGTAAAAATAACAATAAATTTATTCTAAAATTTCATAAACATGCTATTTCAAGTCCAGTTTTGTCAAGTTAATATGGAATATTTAATCTATGATGATAAATGATGGAGAATGTTTGAGTTTTTGAATTTGATCCTGATCCTTAAATCTTTGTGAACACGGGACCAGAAGTTCAAGTTTTTTTCCCCTACAATCATTAAAATCAGTTAAAGTCATTTTACTCTTTAGTTTAATCATCTAAACCATAAGACAACGTTTTTTGCTTGTTTTTCTCTGTATAGATTACAATTTATAAAAAGGACAAAAGAACGAACACGTAGTTTTTCGGATGATTTTATTATAAGACAGCAATTTGTAGGTCTGGTGACAGTGTTCCAATGTAATGCTTATCGCCCTTTTGCTCGTTTCTTTCCTTTCTACAATTGATCTGTAAAATGAACACACGTTTGGAAATAAAGTGGTTTCAAAACTGTGTCAGTTTTAAAAAGTGCGATACTTTAATTTTTAGCATACGCCCCGTGATTGATATCGAATATCACGTGCACGCGTCACTCATCTTATCAAAGAATAGTATATTTTCAGTTGTTTTAATGACATAGACTCACAAATGAGACTAAGTTTTGTTTATATCAATTAAAAAAATCGACAACTTTACATTATTGATTCAAACAGTTAAAAGATAAACAAAAGTCTTAAATTTTCTTATTTTTTTACCAAGCAAGTTAATACAAGAATAAATATAGTATACATCTGCTTAATCATTAATTAAGTAACGTTACATTAAAAGTATGTTGAAACACAATCCTATCAACTTTTAAATATCATCTAAATAAAGCGCCATCTTATTTTTATTCCATTCATTCGTGCAAAATCGGGACCTGGTTTATTTCCGGTAACTATAAATCAAAATCTATTGTATAACGTTACAAATATAGGTTATTAGTTTAAATATTAAGAAAGTTAGCGCAAAATTTGGTGACTGATTTCGAATGCCAATGACGGGCTCATTTTCGTATATGGATGATAATGGATGCATTTTACGTTTAAAAAATTGTTTCTTTGGTTAAAAATGGATTTCTTTTTGCTCTCATAACTTTTCACGTGCAGACAGTCGAAGTCCTTCATATTCTAAGAGGCCAAATTAGTTTTGAGGAAATTTGAGAACGATATCTTAAATGTGTATTTATCAAAAAGGATTTTGAAAAGTGTAACGCATAATTAAATTGCATTTCACTGCACACCACATACGAAATATTAAACTGAATAATATTCTTATATTCTTATAATCTTACATCAACTGGAGATCTTTTAAAAACGAAAAAATGCAAAAGATTATAAAGAAACATATTCAGAATTAAACCAAAGGTCATTTTTGTGATAATTAGTCCGATTTGAGTTTTAAATTTATTTTTTTATTAAAAAAAACGCATTTTAAATTTGGGTCATGTTGCTTCATGAAAATATTATACCGAATAAAATAATTTAAGGGTGCGTTCAGAGTAGGTATACTTAATTACCATTGGCATACCAACGGTACTAATGCACGGTACAATCGCAACTACTCGGCCCTTTCCGTCAGTCTTCTATTATTACCAATGGCTAACTTACAGACAGACTAAGTAGTAGTAATGGTAAAGTTGGCATGTCAAATCTATTACGTCATTCAAAATTGCAATTCTGATCTGTTTTTCAAAAGATCATTGTTGTATGAAACTAGGGTGTTTCAAATAGAATCTGATAAAACTTGAAATAATATTGACCATATATAGTACTTAAAGAACTCCACTGAGGTCTTTTAACATAGTTAGGCTGGAAATATTCTTTCGATGTGAATGTTCCATTTGATAAAGGTACATGTATAGACCAATAACTTTTTTTTCCAAAATAATTATTTTTATTGTGTAATCGTGTCAAACAATTTAAAAAAGTGTTCCAATGCTTTTCAATCAAATTGGGCTATGAATAACACAAAAATACGATTTTCAAACTATTTCTGAGTTTATTTCTTCATTATGTTCTGCATATTTTTCTGCTTAAAGTGCCCAAGCTGATTTATGTAAGAAATTTAAATTTTATCTTTTTAGACTAAGGACGACGGTGGACCGTTCCATTGAACATATACATGTAAGTTAAGACAATGTAAAATAGTGCAGATTTGCAAATAATTTAAAGTAATTCATACTTAGATTTTTTTTTAAATAACAAGTATTTAAAAAGTTATACCAAACTTATTAATTATATAAGGACCAAATTTTTATATAAAGACCCCATTTTAAAAAGGACCATTCACCATTTTTTGCAGTATCATAAAAAGGACGGGGGACATTTTTGGGTTATGGAATGCCGGAGGGACATCCCAATTTTGTTTTTTGAAAATTTTGAATTGCTTATTTTAACCGATTTGCTTATTTCCAAAGGCTGATAGCCAAATGAAAAATTTGTTTATTGCCAAAATTGCTAAATTGCAATTTGCTTATTTTTTAACCCTTTTTTTCTTTTTGCTATTTCCTATTGCAATTTCTTTCTTGCAAAAAAAAAATTTCCGGGGCCGAAGTATAGGAACTTTGACACAACAACCTTTTAGTCAGATCTTTTCTTTACCAACATATTTTGTAAATTCATTTTTTTAAAAGAAATGTTGGTAATGAATTTGTTGCAGGATCCACCAGATTATTAAAAAACGATGGCGACATTTCCGAGAAACAAAAGCGGGGGCAATCCCTACCCCAAGGGGATACGTGCCCCTTAAAAAACACCTATTTAAAAATTTGATTTTAAAAAACCCCAAATTGGACACGTTAAAAAAGGGTTTTTCAACAAATTTTTACATATCCGAAAAAAAATACATATACCCCAAGCTAAAATTTAAAGTACTTAATGTTTTATCGTTGTAAAAAAATTCCAATTTTTTTTAAATAAATATTAAAAAAAATTTTTTGATTATTACAGACCTATCACTTAGGGGGAATCAAACCCCCCAGCATCGTGCTTGAAATCCTTATAAGGGTTGCAGCTATAATCTTTTTGTGCCTTAAGTCAGGATTGGGGGCAAAAAATAAACATTTGTTTTTAATTTTAAATGAAAAATTTGGGTTAAATGAAAATAAAAAAAATTAAAAACAAAAAATTTTTTATTTTAACATAAAAAAGTCGTATTCCAGCAAAATTTGTCACAAGGCCCATTTTAGGGGAGAACAATAGAAAAACAAATGAAATTTTGGTGCAGCTAAAAAGGGGTGTTTGTTTTGGGGCCCTAAAAATACCTTTTTGGGTTTTGAAAGTTTTTGAAAATCACTTATTCATGGGGATAAACATTTTGCTTTGGTTAAAATTTTTGAAATTTGGGTCACATTTTCCATTTTTTAATGACTTTACTGCATCAGGTGACCATGACCATATCAGCCCAGGGGAAATGGACAAAGCCCCCTTTTAATAGTTTACATGCGCCCATTTAACCTTATGGGTAACATTTGAAAACCAAAGAACAGATAATACAAAAAACAAAGTTTTCCATACAATAAATTTGGTACCTGAAATTTAGTAAAACGGCACAGCTTTTGACTTTGTAATGCATGCTCTGTAACGCAAAGTTTATGCAAAGTTGCCAGTAAGATGCATGAATCAGCAAAAGTAACAGAGATATGACAAGAAAAAAAAGTTACTAAGAATAGCATCCCTATTCTCTGAATAGTGGAGCTAAAAACGGAAACTCAAGATAATTAAAAAAAACAACTACTTTCTGAAACTGAATTTTATTTTTTTCGAAATTGATTAAAATGTAATCCATCTGTCTTTCTACCTATAATTCTAGGTAATTGATGGATTGATCATAATTGTCACAAGTTATAATTAACAAAACCTTATAAACATAATATTAACATGATATAGGTTCATGAGCTTGAAATAATAAGTCTACAAAGACTTGTTATTTTATATCAAAACAAGAACTTAGCGAGTCGGGACGTGTCGCCTGACAATAGCCATAAAAAAATTATGTATAACATGTATAAGCAAATAAGCAATTAAGCAAATAAGCAATTGGCAAATAAGCAAATTGGCAAATAAGCAAATTGGCAAATCAGCAATTAGCAAATAAGCAATTAAGTAGTTTTGGCAAAATAAGCAAAGTGGCATGTCCCTACCGGCATTCCATAGTGTGACATTTTGGTGGGAAAATCTATAATAAATGCTGTATTCACCGTACCATAATAACATCACTACATGGTTAAGAATAATCTGGGATTCGTACCCTAGGAATGTTAAATTAACTTATCTGAATACATATGTACAAAAAAGTATAGAATAAAATGAGATTTAACCGTAGCAGATGATTTCGGGTAAACAAAGTGGGTGATCTCAAAACTTTTGGCACGAATCTATACATTTTAGCCTTATGTTTAGCCGATCACATGACATTGATTTGCCACGTGATACGACAAAATGGCAGACCTTACCTCCCCGGTACAAAATTTAGCAGAAGCGAAGAGTAGACCATGAACAGGTAAACGCAATCGTTTTTATGCACGTTATTGCATAAGTTTAGACATTGTAATGTCCCATATGACATTTAAAATTGTAAAGAAGGGGGCGGGTTGAGGGTTGTCTCGAGATGCTCAAAACCTACAGTAGGGTGTGTGCAACAGACAGAGTGCAACAAATCCTACATGTACATGTATAGGAGATTGCCCACGGCTAAACGAGATATATATACATATATTAGACCTACT